TATATACTATATATTATAAAGTAAATAAGCTACTAGTCGAGAGAGAGCTCTACTCTTAAAGACTACGATTAACGCGTTTAGAAACGCTATATCTTTTACTTAAAGAAGATAATTTCGTTCTTCTAAATAATATATTAAAGTAGAAATTTAAATCTAACTACTTCGGACTTTTTTAGATTCTAAAGAAGCTATAGTTTAGTACGTATATACTAAAAACGATAGACTAGAAGATCTTATATCTATTTATCTATAAAAGCCGTCTAATACGATATTACTTAATAAATTTAGATAAGTAGACGATTTAATTACTTACTAGAATATAGTAAATATAACTCTAAATAGTTAAAGATAGTATAACGAAGTCTTCGAATAAAGTACTTTAGGTATTTAGTAACGAGTCTAATCTCTTAATATACTACGAGCTATTAATAATATTAAAGTAATAATAGATATTATAAGAATAACTAGAAGATAGTTTAAGTAAGATAAAGAAGAGCTATAAAGTTAAAGTAATACTAGTAAATAGACGTTAGCGAAATAGAGGATAGAAACTAATATTCTATAGCGTAATATCGATAGAGAAGACTATAATAGCCTACAAGAGATAAACTATAATCGGAGTAGTTCTCGCTTCTAATTCTCTAGAGTAGATTACTTCGCCTTTAAGTAGATAATATCTCGTCACTAGAAAGAGTAACGAAGATATTAGTACTTCGAGAGTATTAAATAAAATAGCTAGAATAGAGGTTATTTCTCTATACGCCTAGGTTAGGTAGAAATAGAGAAGTAGTAATAGATTATTATAGTCTAACCCTCTCGATATATAGAGAATAGGGAATAAAGGGACTTTTAGCCCTCTTAAAACCTCTTCGATACTCTAGAAAAGAACGGAAAACTATATTTAGAATAGATAAGAAATCTTAAGAAATAAGAGTAATTCTATCGGATCGTACTAAGACGTCGTTATATAAGATACTTCTATTCTATTCTATACTAAGCTACTCGAATCTATATCGATAGATATCGAGATCTATCCTACCGATATCGTAGAGTATATAGATAATATAATAGGCCTATTCTATATAAATTATATAGAGAATAGCTATAATAAGTTAGCTAAAGTTATCTCGAGTAAGAAGAAACTATACTCCGTTAATAGACTAAATTAATCTAAAGATATAAGGCTATAGAATCTTATAAACTAGAATATATCTACTTTATTCTTCTCGATATTCGCCGATACTATAGAAAGTATATTTATAATATCTTCTAGTTCTACTAGAATAACTCTTTCGATACTCGAGAGGAATCTCGTCTCTTAAGAGTACTTAAAATCTCGTAAGAAGCGAAGACGAGATAATTTATTATCTTCGTTAGTAGTCTAAAATACTAACTATAATATAGTTAAGTCTTTAGTTTCTTATTAACGATATATTAAAGGATACTTACTAAGATCTAATTCTAGACTAAAGATAATATAAGATTAAATAATCTAATAATAATAGTATTCTTTATAGATAATTTATAGAAACTAGAGTATAGACTAGGTCTCGACCCTTAGCTATACGTTATCGAGACGTCCTACGAAGCGCTCTAAATATATTAAAAAATCTAAAAATAACTAATAAATTATAGTAAATCGCCTTATATAGTAGGTATAGAAGAATCTCGCTCGCGCTCCTCTACTTATTATATTATACTAGAAGGTTTATCTATAAAATAGACTATTTATAGAGTATTATCTACTACCGTAGTAGTATAAGAAAATAGTAATATTTCGCGGTCTTCTTACTATAATACTATCGGAGCCGATCTTAGTAGTAGTACTTCTATCGGCGTCGTTATTTTATAGTAAGAATACCCTAAAAGGCCTAAACTAGAAGTAGAGTCTAGTTACTATATATAGATAGATAGCGGATAAATATTATATATAGAATAAGTAGAAATAGTAGGCTATTTATACGCTAGATAATAAAAAGACGGACGTTCTAGTATCGAGTAAGTTAATATATAGTCTTATATAGACTATATCGATAAACCTATAGAAGACGAGACTAGTACGAATCGTTACTATATTATAATCTAACTACGCTTAGGGTTATATACTAGCTTAGGAGATATAGATATATATTATATAGTCTCTTTAGTATAACGACGTATTTTTAATATACGTCTAGGCGAACTTCGTATCTATAATAATAGCTCGAGAGAAGAATCGATAGTATACTAACGATACCTTAGTAGTAGTTTATTAGTTATATAGTCGTATTCTTTCGACTCTAGACTAGTCTTAATAACTTCTATTCTTACTAAAGATATAGATATTATAGAATAATAACTTTATTAAGTTAGTATTAGTAAAGAATACTACTCTATATATATATCGGATTTATTAATTCTACGAATAACTTTAATAGTTTTCGATATATAGTATAGGTCTAAAGTCTACTACGTTACCTTCTAGATAGTAATTAATATCTTTTAACGTCAATCTTCTATATTCGTTTATAGTAATAATATAAAGTCGAATCTATTCTCTAGACCTTTAATCTCGATAGCTATACGACTATTTATCTCTCTAGTCTTATTAGCTATATATAGACTACTTATTTTCTTACTAAAATATACCTCTTTTATATCTTCTACTAGATCTTTTTTCTATATTTTAGAAGATTAAGTATAACGTTTCTTAATACTATATATTTAAATAAATATTAATATCGATATAGTAGACTAACGACGACTAGAAGCTTTACTACTTATACCTCGATTACTAGATAAAGAATAATTAACTTCGCGAATAGTATAGATTATATATTTTCTATTAAAAAGATATACTAAATCTATAGAAATAGGCGTATTAAAGATAGATATCGAAACGTACTTTAGGAATATTAACTCTCGATATAAGTCTAGTTTAATTATATAAAGATATATTTTATAATATAGATTATTTACGATATCTACTATATACTCTATAAGGGTATTTCTAACGTATATATTAGTAATATCTCTCTAACCGTAAAATTCGACGGGTCTTTAAGAAATACGACTATATAGCTAAATTAATAAGCTATTATTAGGAGAAAAGAACTACTTCTAGTACTATTTCGCCTAGATAATAGAATTAACTACTATATCGCTAGGCTTAACGCTATAAATATTATCGTCGATCTAGAAACGAATTAGTAATTATATCTTTCGATATAGTATAGTATATTTACGAAAAAAGCCGTCTTCGCTATCTTAGTTACTAGTAGGTCTTTAACTATCTTCTTAACTCGTTAATAGTACTAAGTATTTAGAATCTATAGTCTAGTCGACGTTTTAACTTATCTAGATAATATAATAACTATAATAGTAGTTATAGAAGATTTAGCTTTAATCGATAAAGAACTTAGGACTTAGAAATATAAATAACTAGAAAGAGGTATAAAAGAAAGTAAGGAGAAAAGAAGTAAAAGATATCTACTTATACTTCTTAAAATCTCGCCGAATTAACCCCGAATTAGCTTCGAAGAGTAACGGTAAGTACTATTACGTATATAGACTCTCTTTACTTATCGTCTTAACGATCTTAATTTACTCTTAATTTATTTAGCTTTACTATTTCGAGCGTATATACTACTTCTATAGCTAAAGATAAGAGATATATACTCGCTCTATATACCTTAATCGATACTAAAGATATAGATACTATAGATACTTATTCTAATAATAGAACTATTTAGGAAACGAAGTATTTAGGATATAAGAATACTATTTTATTCTCTACTATAAGGCTAATAAAGGTACTCGACGTCCTTCGACGATAAATAAGACTATTCGACGGTCTAGATAGAGGAGAATATAATAAAATAGATACTCTATATACTAAGTATTATAAAGACGTCGAGAACCGTCTTTCGGTCTCGACTAGCGTCGTATACTATCGTATAATCTCTAGAAAGTATATAGTCTGACGAGGCCCCAGGCCCCGTTGAAATAGGACAAGTCCTCCGTGAAATCACATATTGACCACTGACACTGCGCAGTGTCTTATTGACTAGGTACTGCAAACAATGTGAATATCACCAGTCTTCCTCCTGTCTGCCATGTAATAAACATGTACTGCCAGAAGTGCCGGCAGCCGATTCGAATAGATGGCTCAATTCGCGACCTCAACCCGGCCTCTTTCGATCTGCTCATCGGTACGTCGGCCCACTGTGCTTGTATGTTTTCAATTGTTAATATCATCTAGCATCTACGGCCCATTCCCAACAGAATAACACCAGTGCTTCTCGCCTGAACTACCCCAAAGAACGGAAAGACCTTTACGATCGTGTTGCGGGCAATGTGGAGGCTCCCATCTACAAACGGACCATTCCCGCACCTCAGCATGGTACCGCTACAGGAGGGCCAGACTCTAAGAATGGGCTTCCAGATATGTCCTTTATCGAAATAACACAGTCTCAGGTCGCCTTACATGAGCGGGACCTGTCGCACCGGAACGATCGGGGCACCGACAGGCAAGAAGAAGACAACGGTACTGAAGAGCGGGACAAGGAGAACCTGTTGTCTACTAAAGTGGCCAAGACGGAAGCTTTGTTTTCAATATTGTCCTCCCGTTCCGACATCGATCATCCGATATGCTCGGAATGTACCTCTCTCATTCTATCGGCCTACAACGCCCGCCTGGGTGGCTCTTTGAAGGAAAAAGATGCTTACGCGTCCTTTCTTAAATCTGTACAACAAACAGTCTCATCGACGCCACATGGAACTGATGCCAAAGCACGAAAAGAGCTTTCACATACTGAGAAGGACGAAGGAACTGCTTATGACCTCCTCATACGCACAGAAGGTGAATCTTGCCAGGTTGAGGAAGAGATTGCAGCCTTGGAAGAGGAGTCACAGCAGATGGATCGCAAGGAACAAGTGTATTGGTTGTCACGGAATTCCTTTGACGACCAACTCTACCAGGTCACAGTCCGTCTATTATCGCTACAGGAGAAATATATCCATGACAACCAACAACTCGAGCGGCTTCAGCGTACCAATGTGTACAACGATACGTTCTGCATCGGACATGATGGGTATTTTGGCACCATCAATGGCCTTCGACTCGGCCGCTTACCCAATCAGAATGTTGACTGGGCTGAAATCAATGCAGCATGGGGCCAGACCTTACTGCTCCTGGCTGTGGTGGCTGAAAGGCTTAGATATACGTTTCAAGGCTACCGTCTCCGGCCCCAAGGCAGCACATCCCGCATCGAAAAGTTGGAATACCCACAACAAGCACCGGGAGCAGCCCGCTCCACTGGTACAGACCGTGGATTACGTTCAGCATCTGCCAACCCGGAACCTAAGGTGACTCGTCTAGACCTCTTCAGCAGCGGTGACATGGCAATTGGGAGGCTGCTAAACCACCGGCGGTTCGATGCTGGCATGGTGGCCTTTCTTGATTGCCTGAACCAGTTGGGCAAACATGTTGAGCGAACATCCAGTATGGAAGGCACTACAAGCAGTAGCCCTGCTAGGAACGCCAGTGTCCGCAATCTACCTCCCAAAAGAGTTCTGCCGTATTCCATACAGGGTGACAAGATTGGCGACGTTTCCATAAAGCTTGGGGTCGGTTTTCACCAGGATGAGAACTTTACAAAGGCTTGCAAACATGCTTTGACCGACTGCAAATTTCTGCTGGCATATATCAGTAACCTTGAGGTTGGAAGAGTCCCATGATCGACAGGGAGAGCTGCTTTGGACCTTTGGACCTGGTGCTCCCTGTTGCTGGACTTCATCGGCTTGCCGCACCTCTCACATCTCTTGGCTTTGGTCGGCTAGGGATTTGAATGAGCAGACTGTATCTCACAGAAGATACCATATTAATTGCAGCCGAGATATCCTCGTGCTGAATGAAAGCACCTCCCCGCACCTCTACCGAATCTCAAAGACACACGTTCGGATGCTTGACCGTCTCAATCTGCGTTATTGGTGCTTTCAGACGGGGGAGCTTTGTTAGGGTGTTGGGTTCCGGGGGATTCTAAGGACTGAATTCTTCCCGGTGGCTGTCTTGCACGTTGCACATAGTTTACATTCAAGACCTGGCCTGAACGAGTGCTGACGCAAATATGCCTCTTATCTCATTAGTGGGCGGCCTCTCGAGACATTGGGCTATCCCCTGTGGTGAATTACACGACAACAAAACACAGCTTGGCTCATCATGCCTCTGAGGTATAGACTTCTGGCTGAATGACAGCGGCGGAGGTCAGGTAGCCTAGTATGCTGATTCCCATATCCATGACATGTACAGTAACCAGGACTGTGTCCCAATAGACGTCAGATTACTGGCCGGGTCTTATGTCTCTGTCACCTAGGTATCTGTCACGGCGTCTGTCACCTATTCTGTCTCAATACCTTGATTAGCTAAGCCGATCTTCTACTTTACGCGCCCCACGTCGGTATTTGAGGCTGCGCGTGTTGTTCGCGTCGTGTAACGTCTGTGAATGTTCATTAACCACGCTACACGGGTTTCAGGAATCTTAACGTCCAGCAAGCATTAGTCAGAACAATGGCTCGAGGAGCACCTCCTGCGGAACCGTCTGATTTTGAAAAGCAGCGACTTGCGAACATCGCAGAAAGAGATGCGCTACTCAAGAAGTTGACCCAGGAAGCCCAACAAGCCGGCCTCTACTCCAAACCTGCCACGACAGGCACCCAGAATGGGCAAAAGCGACCAGCGAAACGAAAGGACCTCCCCGCAAAACGAATCAAGAAAGAGATCGAAGTCGTACCTCGGCGCACATCGTCCAGGTTAGCAGGAATCCAAGCCGATAGCGAGGTGGCCAAACTGAAGGCCGAGGAACAATATGAAAAGGCCAAAGAGCTGGAGAGAGAAAAGCGACAAAGAGTGACCGGGGATTTGAGCTTCGCCAGTGGGACGAGCTTGATAGGAGCAGATGTTCTACTCAAGGGTGTGGCCAAACCGTATGAACGGACATTCGACGAGAACGACATCCAGGAAACCACAGACAAGGATCTGAAGGCATTACGGCAACGGATGAGCTCTTTGAAACTATGGGATGCGTGGGAACCCAACAGGATCAAGATGACGCCGGAAAGAATCTTCAGCATGATGTTCCACCCGACGCCGACCAAGCCGATTGTGTTTGCCGGCGACAAGATAGGCAATCTAGGGATTGTCGACGCATCACAATCTCCGAAGACGTCGGCGGTGAAGCACGAGGATGGGGAAGGAGAACAAGAAGAGGATGACGACGAGGAGGATGACGTCGATCCAGAAATAACCACCATCAAGCCTCATACTCGCACCATCTCGGCAATGCACATGCACCCTTCGAAACCGGAAACACTCTACACCGCGTCCTATGACTCCTCGATCCGAGCCACGGATCTTGAAAAGGCAGTCGCAGTGGAACTCTACGGACCGGCTGACAAGGAAGACGATGAACCACTTTCTGGACTCGATATGGCTGATACCGATCCGAATGTGGTCTACTTCACCACCTTGAACGGTGCATTTGGAAGATACGACGTACGACAAGACGCTTCTCAGGTTGAGATGTTCCAATTGTCCGAGAAAAAGATAGGCGGCTTTTCATTGCATCCGTTAGCGCCGCACTATGTGGCGACTGCGTCTCTGGACCGTTTCATGCGGCTTTGGGATTTGCGGAAGATCACCAAGAAGATGCCCACGTTAGTCGGTGAGCATCAGTCCAGGTTGAGTGTCAGTCACGCTGCATTCAATACGGTTGGACAGGTGGCTACCACTAGTTACGACGATACCATCAAGATTCACTCCTTTGGAGTCAACAACGAGACAGGCGAGGGCATGGATCGGTGGAAGCCTGGATTTCAGCTCGATCCAGCCGCTATGAACCCGGAGGTGGTCATGAGGCATAACAATCAGACGTGCGTGACAGCTTCCCTTGCTACTACAGAACCAGCCAGTCGCGTTTTCTTCCCCCATTTTCTCACCTCTTTGTTGGGATCAATGGTCTGAACACAATTGTCTGCATAAACCAACCAATAACTCGTGCTCAATAGTGGTCGATGGACAACGATCCTCAAACCCCGATGGCAAATGCATCCCGAAGACAACACCCAGAAGCTTGTTGTCGGCAACATGAATCGGTAAGTTGAGAACTGGGTTCCATGTGTTCTGCCTTCTTCGTCTGTCGTCCTTTAGCTCGTGATCAAAGCTGATCATTATTTCTTTCTATTCCAATAGCTTCGTCGACATCTACGGCGCTGACGGCTCACAACTCGCCCAACTCGGCGGCCCAGACGAAGGCATCACTGCGATCCCCGCCGTGGCCGTCTTCCATCCATCAAAGAACTGGATTGCAGGCGGCACCTCGTCTGGCAAACTATGTTTGTGGATGTAAGGCAAGCAGAATAATCTATCCAATACGAGCTTTTCGCTTCCCAGTCATCGACTGATGAGGATGGAGATGTCCCGGTGACGAAGAGACTTCATTTATGTGTAACGTCAACGGAGGTTGGGAAGGTCTTTTCCACATCCGCTTTGGCAACAATCTTTGACTTAAGACCGGTTCAAAGTCATATCTTCGCCCTCGCAACTCCCTCAAATTAGAGACCTCCGCCACCAGGCGCCGAGGCGCAGATAATTGTCATACGGATCCCGTGCTTGTGAGGTCTCGCCAAGTCTATCGGCTACCAGCAGAAGTACATGGCCTGAGAACTTGTTGAGGCGCCATGTTGCACAGTTCATGATCAGGCTGAAAGGAACATCACCTTGGCGCATTTACTCCTGCAAGCCCCCGGCTCGAAAGTCAATGCTTCGACTTGAGGGCTATCACCCGGCCAATTGTGGCGTGGTTTTGTTCACTCCGGATTTTGCTGCTTTTGCAGGATCTCCGATGATGGTGCTCGTCGATTGACTGTGGGCTACATCATATACACTGGGTGAGGCCGTCGGCAGCACATTGCAGTTTCTCCTTCCTTCAATAATCATTGCGAAACTCACCGAATTTCTTCCGTTGTCTCGATCCAGCTCGGTGATCACTGAGAGGCTGTCCGCTGGCGCCTATAACTTACACTTGTCTAACAATGCATCCCCTACAATGGCCAACACGAGGCGGTCATTCGAACACAGACCAGCCTGATGATGACCAAATTGCCCACGAACTTGATCCTTTGGTACCTGTTGCCGCTCATGATACGCAAGAGGATGATCTTCGGGCGCATACGGTCGAGGCTGATGACTCTTCTGTGGCATCGGCCGAGACCCCGGGACCGTTTCGACACTCGGCGCGGAATCAGCAACGACCGGGAGCGATGCCCAGGGTTGAGGTGAGGTTATCTGAAGCCCTCGTCAACAGTCTTCCTTATCATACGCCAATTCAAAAGCCGGAGGGCTACCCAGAGCTGAAGTACAAGCCCTTACTGCTACACCGTCGGCTACTAATTCCCCTGGTTGTATTTTATGTCTGCTGCTTGGCCTTTGTTGCGACACTCGTGGCGCTGAACACCTTAGCACCAACAGACCTTCACATCAGAAAGTCTGTGGGCTATAACGTTTTCAACTACCTGCCCTCGGTACTGGGCTCACTCACTACAACCACGTTTCGCTCATTGACCTCGTCGTACGGTCAGCTTTTGCCTTACCTCACAATGAGTACCTCCACCTTCCATAATCCACGGAGGAACGATGTGCACAACACGAAGACGATCTTTGAAGGGTCTTTGGTATCAGTCGATATAATCCCCAATAATCTTGGATTGGGCCTGCTCCGATATGGCCACTATCTCACTTTTGCATTGTTCTTGTTGCGGCTCATTGTCAGCGCGCTTTTTGCGTCCTTAAAAGCAGCCTTGATTCGTGTAACACCGGACTCACACGGTTGGCAGGTATCCGTCTCAAATCATGCGGGTTATGCGCTGATAGCCGGATATACGGGCATAATTGCAAGCACTTTAGCTATCACAGTCCGTACTTGGGATGCAACTACCGGCCTCAAGTGGGATCCTGGCAGTTATGCGGCTCAAATCGCATTGCTCCAGAATTCCAACGTACCCGCCGTGGTACGTGCTCTTGATTTGGATGCGTCAGCTCCACACTACGTCTTCTCAAGAAAGTTACGCACCATACCAGCGTCACTTGGACCACTTCGACTTGGCTACTGGCGAGCTGCGGAGGACGAGACAAAGATCTTGTACGGGATTGGGTTCATGGGAAGCCCGAGTGAGCCAGGTAAAGCTGCCTCCGAGTGACGCACGCGCTGATTTCCACACAGAAGAGACTATACGGACCCGTCAATCTCTGAACCATGGTTCTCGCTCACCCGAGGCTGTGAACGTCAATGTCGAATTTGAAACAAGCACAAGACATGGGAGTGCGGTTCTGTCGACCGGTATGCGCCGCCGCCACGTGTGAACTATCGATGTCACTAAAGGCCCCCGAAGCGTTTGTGTTGCTGTGGTCTATTTTCGAAGTTGGTATTGACGCAGACTTGTTCCAGACTTCAACAGGGACGAGTACAAGAACCCGACGCCAGAACGAGATCGCTACTTCTGTGCAGACTTCTGGCACTCGGATTTGATGCTTTTTATCGGGTTCGCCCTGTGCTGCACTGTAACGGGGGTTCTAGTTTGGTTCATAACCTCGGGCAAGCTGAAGAGTGGCTGGATCTTTGAGCATTCCGCCCCATCGAAGGGCGCGCCTACTTGGGTGCGGCTACGTGAAATCTTCATCCCGATCATTCCAGCCATGGTCAACTCTCTGATAAATCAGCTTTGGTTTAGTGCGGGCGTGTTCTATCGCGCCTCGGCGCCGTTGGCGGGCATGTTCGTTCCGCGCGACGCCAGAGAGAACATTCTGCTCGACTACCTCTCGCCAAACTCTGTGACGACCATTGTGGTTGGAGTTGGAAATCGGCACTGGAGAGTCGTGTGGTTTACGCTGCTCACTATCGTCGCTCCTTACCTAAGTGCCTTTGCGGTCAACATATTTCAACTTTCCAGAGGCGACCATGCCGACCAGCTTACGATCCTCCCGACAAACCTGTACATTTCACTGGCAGCCATCTCATTGTACGCCATCAGCTGTATTCTGGCACGTCCGCCAATCGAGTACCGCTTCCCGCGAATGGTCCTCAGTATCGCCGACCTCCTCTCCTACTGCTACGACTCGTCACTCATGACAGCCCCAGAATTCTCGGTCCAAGACCCCGACGACGAGGAGATCCATCTCCAGTCCAAGATCCACCTGGCCAAACGAAAGTACCATTTCGGTTTCTACAAAGGCACAGACGGCATGCGCCATCTCGGCTTCGACGCGAATGACTCCTCCAGTGGCTCGGGCGAAACGGCTGTGTCGGTCCATCACGTCGTCCCGGGCAAGTATCCTGTCTTTCCCTGGCTGAGACCCTGGTGGATTGGATCGCGCCGCCACGAGCACTGCCGCCCTCGTCTCGATTGGCTTCCATTTGCAGATGCGTCGTCCCATGCAGTCCAGCACGAAGAGGCCACCGGCGGACTCGCACGAATGAATTCGACAGCGGACTCGTTCGCTACCGCGCCCGAACTCCCCGCCGGCGAGTCGGGTCATGATGGCCAGATCCTCCAACCAATCCGCCGCGTGGATACGCTGCTGAGCGTGGAAGCTGGTCTCGGTCATCATCATCATCATCATCATCATCATCATCATCATCATCATCATCATCATCATCATCATCATCATCATCGGCGTGCATTCCAGCCCGCTGTCGGCAGCAGTGGTGTCACGAGAAGACTTGGAGAGAGCCACCATTTACAACAAAGACCTCCACTGGATGATGAGTACCCTAGTAGTCTTGAGACCCCGTGAGTGGGCCAGCTCCAGCTTCAACTTCAGCTCCAGCACGAACAAAGCCTGTGGTTCTACAGAGACATCATGCTAACACTACGCATATTTATGTTTATTTAACTGTCTCCGAGACTGGATCTATGGTAGCACCATTTTCCTTTACCTGGCTATCCGGGTGCGAACGAACTTCGGAAATAGGCCTGTTCAGCAGCAAAGCACTTTGTGAAGCGGATACGAGGGGCTGAGCAGATGGGTACAAAAATTAACTGGGCGTTTCTGGCAAATGGTAGCGGCTGTAATCACAGTTCAATCAAGTAAAGCTGGCACCCTCAGATAACTACCAAGTACATATTAAGTAGGTAAGCCATCGGTAAAGTCGATGAGTGTCCACTACAACCTCTGTAGGTGGGTATGTATGTTGAGAAAAATAGTTTATTGCTCAAATGGAGTATTTATATGCATATTAACACCACTACCACCACCACGACAGTAGTCACAACACAAAGATAAATAAAATATTTATGCCCTCTCACCGACAAATAATTTGCACTACGAAGCACCACGAGGCGCCAGGATCTGTCTACCGGGAGAAATAAAAAGTGAAAACTACAGCAAGGATTATTCAACGCCTCAGCACTTCAAACCCGATCAATGATACATAATGAGATCCAACCCGTCGATGCCATCGTTTATGCTCGCCGCGCTGGTGCTAGCACGATGATATCCTCCCACCACGGTTCTGCTCTCGAAGCCTTACTCTCGAGTCCCACAGGCCCTAACTCTCGTAGTATGTTTGTTCCGCACATTGTATGTTCCCGCTTTCAAGTTGCAGCAGGTCAATCGCGCAAACTTCCCATTGTACAAACCACAAAGCCCACGTCGCCGACTTCGTTCTTCAACGGCGTCCAATGGACCGCGTACTTCTCGTGTCCCATATACCGGCGCGTGCACAGAGTCAGATCCAATGAGATGGGGGAGCCCAGGCGCAAAGCGTTGCGTACACGTGATTTGAAATCGCTGCTCAACTTGGTTGGCGAATGGGCGGAGAGAAACCGGAACACATCCGTGCCCACGATCTGAGTTGCCGACGAGGTCGGGCTGGTCAAGGTTGTTGCTGAAGTTGAGGTCGATCTGTGGGCGTAGAGGAGGGAGGCAATGCCAGCAGAGTGAAAACTGATGAAAAAGGTAGAATAGTTGACCACCAGAAACTGTACCGCCAAGCCGAATGTATTGACACGTTAGTAGCCTGCCAATTTGACGCGGACCCAAATCGAACAAATTGGTTGTGTAGGCACAAGGGAGGACGGCTCTAGCATGGCACAAGAATTTCCTCGAGAACGACCCTTGACATATTGACATACCTTGGAATAAGCCGTATAAAAAGTATCCATTTGTCTCTTCAGTTGCATCCCATCCATCCTTCTCAGAACTCTCTCCTCCATCCCCGGTTGCGGATAAGACTGAACAGGAGAAGACTTCGCCTTGAAGGAGGAAAAGAACCTGCTTGCGCGGGAGGGCGGTTTGATCGGGTCAAGAGATGTGCCACAACTGCTAGCCTGATCTTTGTCTGGCTCGTCGGACATGGCCAGGATCTTCAATACATCAGAGGCATTGTGGATTGTGGTGGAACAATTGACCTGCCCTCCGAGAAAGAAGACCAGGTTGCCGCGGTCATCGAAGAGTGGCGTGGTGTAGAGCAGGTTCCAAAATGGCTCACCGGATTTCTTTTGGTTCAGCAACAACTCGACCGACTCTTGCCGTAATACAATGGCTTCTCTCAGCCGTCCCACTGCCGACTTGTCGGTATGGCGACATTGCAGGAAGCGGCAATTCCGTGGGATGATCTCTGTGCGCGAATAGCCCGTCACCTTGACAAATCCGTCCGAGGCATAAACAATGGGATTGTCCGCCTTTGTTGGGTCGGTCAGAACAAAACAGTCTCCAAGTCCAGCATATCGCAGTCGATCGTCTGCCAAAGCTTTCACAGCACTCATTGTCATTTGATGTCGGACGAACCGTGGATATATATCCATGGCGACCAGTCTCTCAATGTCCTTCTGCGCATCGACAAAGACCGACTCGAGTTTGGGCAGAGTCGACGTCAGTGCTGCCTTCATATCCCTGTTGACTTTGATCAGCAGGTTGCCCGGAATGTTGATTTGGTTGGCCGCATCGACCGAGATGTAGTCGCGGTGGATTTCAAACATGCTGTCCGCAACCTCATTCAGGAGCGAATTATATCTGTCCACCTTGTCGAGAAACTCCAAGTTCTCGCCGCACAGCCGCCATCGGCTGAATTTCAACAATTGGTGAAACGTGGCAGGGTTATGCATGGCGACTTGGAATACATCTTCGGAGAAGAAGTCAAGCACTGTGTAGCCTGATGCTGACGTAGGGGCAGTAGTACGCGAGGTCCGAGAAATCGTGCTTGGGGAGCGCTCATGGAAGCTTCTTTCATCCACAGGTTCAAGATCAAAGACCAGCTTTCCGAGCTCTTCCAGGTTGGCTTGGGCAGGAACACTGCGGCCGGATGTTTTCGATTGGTATCCCAAAGAAGGCATGCCAGAGGACCGCCGGCCTGGAGAGGTTCTAATTCCCTGGTGGCGCGAACTGTTGAACCTGTCGCTATCTGGCAGGTTTGATTCCGACCATGAGACCGTCGGGCGTCTGCTGGGAGTCTCCAATTCAGGACCTTCGTCCATCGTCCCTCTGACAGCAAATGCCTGTCTGACCTCTTCTTCCGAAGTGTAGTCACGCATCAGTCGGATCCGACCCGGAGTTGTAGGCACAAAGGTATCCATATTGACAAGACTAGGATGACAGAGCTGCTCTGCCGGGAGATGCTAGGATGAATTGAATATCAGTAGAATTGGCTTTTGTGACAGTGCACTAAGCTCCGCGGCACCGCTGGACGTATCATAATACGACACAGCTGAGAAGAAAAGGAAGGAAGACCGGCGAATCCGAATACTAAGAACGAAAGGACAATAATGCTGATGACAGTAGTGAAAGGCGACCTGCACGGTCTGTTCGTCAACATCCGGCGAGGGCTTGTCCAAGCATGATGCCAATACACCTGCTACTAGAAGGAGGTAGTAGGGATCATGTCTTGCTCGGCGGTGCAACGTTGCGGCCAAGTGGGCTTGACTATAGCAATATTCAGCCAACGCCCATGGAAAGAGCCACCCAAACAGTGCCTGACCTCAGTCGCTATCGAACAGCTGTAATGGGAGAAGCCCCCATATCTGAACCTTACCAAGTAGTATGTGCGGGAAACCAAAGTCCGTCTCCCGTCAGCATGGTCCCACTATTGTGGCTCGTCAGAAGGCTGCTGCGAAGAGAAAACATCTTGTGTTGCGGAGACTTGAAGAACCCTGGAGTCCGCGGCGGAGTAGAGCCTGGGACATGCTTGTCGGTCCTGGGTTTCCATGACGGCGTGAACAGGGCCAAACCACTCCAGATCTTAATTCGCTAAAAGTTCCACAGACGGGAGAAAGGATCAACAGCTGTTCCAACACTTAAGCCCACAGTCCAGTTATCGGCGTCGCTTGACAGACATCATCGGACTCGACGATCGTGGTCTTGGACGATGGCACTATTTGTTTGGAGGAAGCCATATCCGCGCCGTTATCGTGTGTGAAAGTGAGAATGAAGCGCGCCACAAGGAAAAAAGGGGCTCCACAAGCCCAGATCTTAAACCAAGCTCCGCAAGAAATGAGCGCTGATTGGTGTTGCCACTACGTCAAGACTCTGCCAGGATCTGGACATCAATCAGCTTGAGTTCAACTCCATGGTAGGGCCAGCCAGGGTGAGACACATCCGTCTTCTATTGATACTCATAGTTCGCTGTTGCATGCTTGTGATCTGACTATCTTCTCCGCAATGTTGAACAGCAGCAGGGCATATCACGACCGATGCGAGCCCTGTTGCTGCGCTTTCTTGATGACTTCGCATCAGATGTCGACCGGGGGTTTCCTGGTATACATGGGCAATTGTTCGCTCCCGTCTCCGTCAGCGAATGTAGATCAGGTTGCAATGTCACACTCTTCTATGACATTGACAGCCTTCTCGTGATGGACGGCTCGAGCCGGCTGTATTGAGACTTTGGACACTTGATGAAGTCGCCATTGACAATGTTCGCTGTATGGCACCAGGAATGGCTGAGAACAACGAAACTGTGCCGGTAATTGGTCTCAGATCTTGTAACGAGACTGAGGGCTGACCGTCTGCAGAACAACCTGTCGCTCTCGAAAACAAAGACGGCTCAGTCGCCAGACATGCCACATAAATTCTCGTTCTTCGATGTCATATTGGTCAGCTAGGTCGGCGGTGGAAGACTGGAAGTTGATGGGCCCAAAATCCGGACAGGCAAGACATGATACAACACAGGCCATTGCTTCGACGATAGTCAGCTGGGCTGGTTGAGGTGGGTAGATACATAGGTAGGTAGTCATCCCAAGCGGTCAGCATACAAGAGTGAGACTGAAAAACAAAACGACGAGTACGAAACACGAATCCCCGTTGATCCTTCTTCACCGAACATCCCATCCCATCCCATGAGCCCAGCGGTCTCTGCCACCACAACGCAAAATCCGGAGCCCTCCTCATAGCCATCAGCATCTCTTCTTCTCACCAGCACGTGCTCAATCATGTCTTGAATATGAACAGCTAATATATCCAACCCGCGCAATTCCTTCCAACAATAACCCGGGCCAGTGTGTGCTCGATTTGGCACTGTTGGCGCAACGGTAACCCGCTTGCTTTGGACCAGCACTGAGAATTTCTCACGCTGTCATTCACAAACAAGCTCCTCCGTATTGCGCAGCCACTATCGCACACTGTCCTGAGCATCAACGGCCAGGGGAAGACGGCTTCTAGGCCGCGACCTCACACCACCGTCAGTCCAGTTCGCTGAACCACGACACTCAAACAAGTTATGAGCTCGGGAGTGTGGTGTGGTACGGTGGTCTGCTGAGGCCGCGGGTTGAGCCATTCCCACTTCCCCTGGCCCCCTGATGAAAAAACCCACTGGGTTTCATCCCCCTCTGAGGTCCCCTTCCGGGGACCGAGGACGAGGGGGATGTTTTTGTCTTTCTTCGTCTGATTGGTGCTGGTGCTGTTTGACATATACCCAAATTCAGAAACATCTCAAACAGCAGTCAATACAAGAGCTCATCGTATTCCAAAAGTGCTCTTCATTCAACTCATCAGTTGTAGTCTTACACAAGGCCTGCCTTCACAGGATTGCCCAATGCCGAGAGCTCTAATTTTGGCTCTCTGATTTCTATCCAATCTACCAGAACCGAATTCAACATGGACGGCAGGATCCTCCAAGTCGAACCCGTCATTTACCTCCAGGCAAAACAGCGATTTCAATTTCGCTTTTCAAAACTCCATCTCATCATAGTCATGATCATACCGATACTCGTACGCGTACCCGTAACCATTCGCACTCCCATTGCCATTGTCCCGGGACTGTTCAGGCACAGCCACGCCAGCAATACCAGAAGCAACCTCGAACGGGGCATCCATCATATCGAAGTCACCGTCCTGACCACTTGTTTCGGCGGCAGCAGCAGCAGTGGCGCGCCTACTATTCCTCGCGTCCACCGCGGCACTGTTGCCCAACAGATTCTCCAATCTAGCCACTTCGGCCTCTGCGTGTTTTCCAGCCTCTTCAAGCGCAGCCAGCACCGTCCCCAACAGTTCATCAAGTCTCAGATCCTGCAACACCTTTTCGTAGCGTTTGACCTTTGCACGGTCCCACTCCTCTTCGACACGCTCGTCGCCAACGAAAGAGTCGTCAGGTCGCTGCTCCACATCCTTCCATTTGTTGCGAAATTCCTTGGCCACGCCGATATATGCTCTGGCGTCTCCCGACCCGGCACCGAGAACTGGGTACAAAGGGTTCGAAGGGTGGTCGAGGGCGTCGAGCACGTTGGCGTGGAACCGGTGAGCGACGCCATGAAATGTGCGCGAGTCGCCTATGATGGGATCGGAATGATTTTTGGTTGCGTTGTTGTTTTGGGGCGAAGGTCCATGATCACTCAATCGGTTTCTGCTTGCCGGCGCAACAGCAGAAGTAATCACAATCCCCCAAACGGCAAGCAAACACACCAGTCCGCGCTCCAGCAATGTGTAGAATTCGAAAAAGTCGATCTTGAACTGTCGCTCCGCTTCGATTGGGTCGATGACCATTTCGTACCGGCCCAAAGAGGCGCAGGGGCCGTGAACGGTAGGAGTAGACGGGTGTCCGTGGTTGTAACCGTTACCACGCTGTTGAGTGATTGTACTGGTAGTTTCATGGCTTTGATTTTGAAATTCTTGCGCCAAACTCAACGCCCGATGTGACCAGTGCGTCAGGCTGTTTGCTTTCCATGCCAGTCGGCGGAATAGGCGACGAAACCGCTGTAGTTCTGTCTGTCGTGCCAGATATTGTCGCTGTGCTGTGCTGAGCACGGCCGCCGCGGAGGTTGGTTTTATTGTCTCTGGTGTCGCTGTCGCGGTCGCTCCTGTTCCTCCCACTGGCAATAATGGTGCAGATGCCGCCACTGGTGCTAAAGATGTTGTCGCCGTTGTCGGTATCTGCGAGCTATTATTTGTATGATGCTGGTACTTGGCACCCGGGGTTTGGGTTTGGCTGAGTTTATGTGGTGACGGTGTTCTGCTATGGAGCGTGACTGGCGTCCTGGTCTGAAACTCACGCTCTCGCCGCACCTCAGGGCTCGCCCAGCGCGAGGCTGTAAGGTCTTGTTTGGGTTTGGCCATAAAGGGATGATAATAGGTATCCTGAAACCAAGAATCAACTCACAGGAGAAGGAGGTGTTGGCGGAGTTCCTGCGGTTCAAGGTGGAGAGCGCGAAACTGTAAATAAATGTATCTCGCAGTGTGAGGTTGAACGCGGATTTCTTTGGTCGGATATTATGTGGTCGCAATCAACCAGAAGATCAGAAAGGAACGCTCATTAACGTGAACATCTTCACTGCAGCGCCCAAAAAAATTAACAGCCAGAAAACGAATACCGAGCCATACCTAAGGTAGTATGTATATGCATAGACAGGTACTTCAAGCTTGGGTATTATTTTGGATATTAATTATTAGCCACAAGGCTTCTTCATACTATGATACTGTATCGTTCCAGCCCGCACGTGACTGAATGAGCCCCAGCTTCTTGGAAACTCTTTGCAGGTGCATCAGTGGGAAACAAAGGAAGGCGAGACTCCTGTGTCAATGATTTTTGGATGATACTTAGGTAGTATGAGAGCCTGATCTCCGTCGCTATGCTTTGTGTGAGGTATTAAGACAATCCTGTGTGAGCATGACAACATAGGTGCATCGCCAATGTCCAGATTATTAGTATCCCTTGAAACACCGATGGCGGTGGAAAACACGACCGTAAAGCTGATGATGAGCGCTAGTCCACTGGTCCCATCAGAAACGCCTTTTGCCTTACAACAAACAACTGCCAACACTTGTCCCTCTCGAGAACCTTCGCCAGTCGAGCGACAGTGCACAAATTAATCACGTTCGTTACCGGCCGTGTTCCTCGATCCTTCACCTTGCTGTCGATTGTGGGACACTCTGCCAGTGATGTCTTGCCAGGTCGCCCCAAATCTTCGGCCGGTGCTGGCAAGGAGACCTTCTTCTTCCTCCTCGAGCGCATCCTCCTCCGAGTACGGGTCTGCCAGTTTGGGCGTGCGGAACAACAACAGGACGAATCCCAACAGGAAAACGCCCAGGAAAACAAATTGAGCCCAGAAATCGACCACACCGAAAAAGGGGAAATTGACAGTCACTCGATTGAGGAAAGTCGACACCACGGAGGGAGTGCAAACATTTCGAGCGGCCGGATTGTCAGTGGCTTCTCTGCAGGGAATGATATGCTGTTTATGCTCGGAGCAGTCTGGTTGTTCACCAGGATGTTTCGGAGGGTGGTCACAGAAAGTTTGGGGCCCGAATGTGGCGTACTGGGGAGCAACCATCATAGCAATTGAGTAGTTGATGGCCAATGTCATCAAAGTAAGCATGACGGTGGCAATGAGCAGGGCTTGTGGAGAGGTGTGTGCTTTCCGAATCCTGAAAATGGTAATCCACAGGATACGAATGCCGATCGTGGCAATACCAATGATGCTGGCGCTGAAGAACAGCATCACCAAGAGCAGGAAGATAACGTAGTCGATTGGAAACACCTGCGCCGACTTGACCAGAATCCAGTTGATTGGCTGGAAAATGTGGTTATGAGCCAACAGATAGCCGCAGTGTCGTTTGCAGACCGAGTTCTTAGCTTTGTCAATGCCGGTAATAAGCATGCTAACGAAGATCAAAAGGACAACGACGACCAGCAACAGTCCCAGAATAAGTTTGATCGGCCGGAACAAAGCCTCAAGTTTAACCCATATCTTCCACCAAATGCTCTGATTCTCACCAGAGGCCTCGGCAGCGAGACGTTGGTGGCGCCGCAATGTGCGCTCTTCTCGAACCAGCGCGTCCAACTCCCGTTGGTCTTTGGAGGAGAGCCCGTCTGGGTTCCCTTGAGCTCGACCTTCAAGTTGCCGTTGTCTTTCCAGGTTGCTTTCCAGTTGGGCCGTCGTCGATTCGCTCAAAGCTGGCGCAGAAATACCGGGAGCGGACTTGATCAAGGTAAGAGGAAGAAGAGCCAGGCCAGCCGCAGTATAGAAGCAGTATATACCAATGCCAATGGTGATCAGAAGGCCCAACGCAAAGGTCAGAGCACGTTCGCCGTGATTTTCCGCAAGTAGTTTTCGGAAGAAATCCAGGTCGAAGTGGGCTCCATCTCGATGACGGGCAACTGGTACGAAGAAACCCACCAGGAAGATCGCGATGCAGAGGAAGATGAACACCACGGTGTATTTGAACGCCGCCCAGAATCTCGACCCAAATGTTTGTGATCCTTCCTCCTGCGCGACTTCGTCGTACTCTTCATACCAGAAATAGGTAAATGGTATGACCAGTAGGCATAGTACCGCGTCCAGGGAATACAGCAAGTAATATACCACTCGGAGAGTGAATGTTATATTATCGACCTTGTCTTGATTCGCCCAATCCTTGCGTCTTCCCGTTTTTGAACTCGTCGTACTGGAGACCAGGGCAACGTCGACTGGAAGTAGTAGTACTGTGGCCAGGAGAGCGGTGATTGTGAAAATGCACACGATAGTGACAAATGCAGAGCGCTCACGGTGCGCCTGATACAGATAGACGAAGAGCGATGCGATAGACAGCAGGAGGGCGATGGCGATGGCATAGACAACCCAGATGAGGGTGATCTGGATGTATCCGGCTGATGCCATGGTCGAGACCTGCGAATCAGCCGCCAATGTCGCTGGTAGGAGCTCCATCATCGCGGTGTGAAGTGGACGCTCGAGCTATGAAGATCAAGCTTGATGCGATTGATCCTGCTTTCTCATCGTCGAAAGCAAGAAGGACGAAAGAGGTGCTGTTCGACAGTAAGCTGAAGGAAGAGAACTTGCGGCACAGCGAGAGTGGAGGGGCTGGTCGTCAGTAGCGAGCAGCAACCGTCGTCATAGGAGTGTGCAAGTTTGTTGTATTTGTTGTATTTGTGGTGTTTGTGGTGTTTGCAGTGTTTGCAGGCGCAAGTCCCCCGTGCAACCAATTCCCTGTTTTGGACTAGCTTGGTAGCCAAGATATCAGAAAGTCTGGCTTCAAGTTGAGCTGAGGTTGACTTCACGTCGACGCGATATCAAACATCACTGTATCTCAGAGTTCCTCTACTAGAACCACAGCTTACAACTCCTCGTCCAAGAGCGCATGCGTGCCATCAAAGACAAGGGAGCTTTTTGTGCTGACCTTACCTCTTACCGGTCCGCAAATCATGGCATCATGAACGCAAGTTTCTCGCCCTTGTCTTCCTCCGTCTACAGGCACTTTCGCATGCGCAAGTCAAAGCAAAAGCGCCGGTCATGCAGTGTTATACTGAACTGATACCGCCTACTGGCGTCACACATGCGCTTGCAGTACCATTCACCTCCTCAAAGGGTGACGACCTCCTTGTGGCCCGAACGTCTCTGCTGCAGATTTTCCGCTGCAAGCAGAATAACCATGGTTCAGAAACCAAGCTTGTCCTGGTGGCCGAATACAATCTCGCCGGCACCATCACATCATTAGGGCGTGTAAAGATTCCGAACTCTAAAAGTGGTGGGGATGCCGTGCTTGTTGCCTTCAGGGATGCTAAATTGAGTCTGATCGAATGGGATCCCGCGCTGCATAGCATATCTACCCTGTCAATACATTACTACGAACATCATGATCTCCAGTCTATCCCGTGGCAGCCTGATCTTTCCAAATGTGTCAGCCATCTGACAGTCGATCCATCTAGTAGATGCGCGGCTTTCAACTTCGGCGTCAGTAATCTCGCCATTATACCCCTTCACCAAGTCAGAGATGAGCTGGCGATGGACGAATTTGATGAGGTTGATGGAGAGGTCAAGGAACGGCTATCCCCGGATGGACAGAATGAGAACAAACACGACAGTCCAGATACGCCTTTCAAGCCCTCGTTCGTTTTGCCTCTCACAGCCCTTGACCCGGGCCTGCTGCATCCTGTTGATATGGCGTTCCTTCACGAATACCGGGATCCAACCGTTGGGATACTGTATTCGACCGCTGCACGCTCGTCCAATATGAATCATGAGCGTCGAGACGTCACCATATATGCTGTGTATGCTCTTGATATCGGACAAAAGGCATCCACCGCACTGCAGTCGGTCCAAAAGCTGCCAAATGATCTGTATCGGGTCATGGCACTTCCACCTCCTGTTGGCGGCGCTCTCCTGATCGGAGGGAATGAGCTGATTCACATCGACCAGAGCGGCAAAACCATTGCAATTGCTGTTAATGAGCTGGCGAAAGAGGCATCTTCCTTCCCCATGGCCGATCACGCCAACTATCGGCTGAAACTGGAGGGATGCCAGATCGAACACTTGGGCAACCCAAGCGGTGATATGCTTGTCATTCTGAAAACTGGCGAGCTGGCCCTTTTGTCGTTCCGAATGGACGGTCGTATGGTTTCGAGTATGGCTCTTCGCAGAGTCGGCGAAGGACAATCGCAGGGCTTGGCACTGGGTGCATCTACTTGCAGCACGAACCTCGGTTCAAACAGGCTATTTATTGGTAGCGAAGAGTCAGACTCTATCCTGCTAGCCACTGGCAGGAAGACCACACAACTCAGGCGAACAAACTCACGGATTCAATCTCAAGCCGACGATGCCGGGCTTTTCGATGATAACGAGGAGGATGGGATCGAAGACGAAGATGATCTCTATGCAGAACTGGCTGATGAACTCAACGGCAACGCATCAACTGATGTCAGTGGCCACAATTTCCGATTGTTGGACCGGTTGCCATCTATAGCACCAATCAACGATGTCGCCCTAGCGAATGTGGGGAAGCGGCGAGCGGAAGAGAGCGAGGTGACTCGCCAAGAGCTCGCTGTTGCTTATGGACGGGGTCACGCAGGCGGCCTCGCATTTCTCAGTCGGAAGCTTGAGCCCAGTGTGACCAGGCAGATCAAGTTCGAAAGACCCATAGGAGTTTGGTGTTTCAGTAGCGGCAATAGAGGCCAGCAAGGTGCAGAAGAGGAAAATTTTGACGACCTTGTAATGATCTCACAAACGACCGATGACGGTGCTGGAAGGACCAAACTGCTTCGACTGATTGATGGAGACCTGAATTCTATGGGCGAGTCAGAATTCGATGAATCAGCCGGAGCGGCAATCGGGGTTTTCAAACTAGAGGCCACCAACCACACCATTCAAGTCCTTCCAACTGAGCTTCGAGTTTATGATGCTGGATTTGCTTTGTCCCAAATATTCCCGATTGTGGACGAGGAAGAAGGACAAACGGCCAGAGCAGTCAAAGTCAGCTTCGTCGATCCGTACTTGGTTGTGGTCAAGGATGATGGTTCCATGTCTTTATTGAAGGCGGACAAGGCCGGTGAATTGGACGAAGTAGAATTACCCGAGAACCTGAGGGCCTGGTCAATACTATCTGCGACACTGTACCAGGATACAGACGATATGTTCCAGACGTCGAGGTTCTACAACGGTACAGCAACACCTGGGCCGATCCTGACCATTTTGACACAAGACGGGCATTTTTGCCTCTTGTCATTACCGAATGTCAGCATACAGGTGTTTCAGTGCGACAGCTTACCATTCCTCCCAACCCATCTCATGCAGGATCTACAGCTTCCCAAGCATTGGAGAAACAAGGATGATCTTGGCGAAGTGTTGCTAGCAGACCTTGGGAACAGCACAGACCGCCAACCATATTTGGTCGTTCGGAACTTGGTGGGAGATGTCATTATCTATGAATCCTTTGCAATGCCCGATGTTCTCGGAAGCTTCAGATTCAAGAAAGTCTTTACAAAGGCTGCGGGCGAGCTCGAGGACGGCGAAGAGGTAGGGCAGCCATCGACACTGCAACCCATGCAAGCTGTGACGAATGTCGCCGGCCACGCTTCAGTGTTTATCCCAGGCCGTCAGCCCTTGCTGATTATGCGGGAAGCTTCGACAATGCCTCGTGTATATGAACTGAACCCGACCAAGCTCAAATCAATGAACTCCGTCCACACAGGAACTTGTCGACAAGGATTAGTCTTGGTTGACGCCGACGATGAGATCAAGTTCTGCAATATTCCGGATTCAACAGTCCTTGGCCTGTCAGATTGGGTCATTAGAAGGGTTCCGCTGGGGCAGGACATCACCTCAGTAGCATACTTTGCACCCACCGACTCGTATATCCTGGCAACAAACCACACGACTGAATTCCAGCTTCCCCAAGATGACGAGTGGCATCCAGAATGGCAGGGCGAAGCAACAAAGTTTTTGCCCAGCTCGATACAAAGCAGTCTGAAACTTCTCAGCGCGAAGACACATTCGATTATCAGTCAGTACAGTTTCGACGCTTGCGAGAGGGTGCTATGCTTGGAAAGTCTCAATCTAGAAGTCTCTGAAGAGACCCACGAACGGAAAGACTTGATCGTCGTGGGGACGGCGATTGTAAAAGGAGAGAATGTCACCACAAGAGGCAATCTCTACATATTTGATGTGGTGGATGTGGTTCCGGAGCCAGACCGCCCTGAGTCGGACCTCAAAATCAAGCTGATCACAAAAGAAGACGTCCGCGGGGCTGTGAGCGCCTTGTGTGATATAGGCTCGCAGGGCTTTCTACTGGCTGCGCAAGGCCAGAAATCCATGGTACGGGGACTGAAGGAGGACATGTCGATTCTACCGGTTGCCTTCCTAGACATGCGGTATTACGTACACGTGGCCAGAGAGTTGCCCGGGACCGGTTTGTGTATTCTCGGTGACGCCTTCTCCGGGCTCTGGCTGGTGGGCTACTCCGAGGAACCGTACAAGTTGCAAATCTTGGGCCGAGACCTTGAAGATCCACCGGTTCTGGCTGCCGAGTTCCTCCCGGATGGCAAACAATTGTATATCATCTCATCGGACGACGATGGACTTCTGCGAGTGTTGCAATATGACCCAGAAAACCCCAAAGCGGAGCGCGGGACGAAGTTGCTGCTTCGAAGCACCTTCCACAGTGGCGCCGCGCCTACTAAGATGATCCTTCTCCCGCCGCAGGTCGCGTCCGGCCGTGGGCGAGACCCCGAAATCGACATGGACGTCGACAGCGGTGCCGGTCCTGCAGCGGGACGGCATCGGATCCTGGTCACCACTCAGGAGGGGTCTCTCTGCATGCTGACGCCGCTTTCCGAGGCAACCTACCGCCGTCTATCAGCTCTGCAGACTACCCTCTTGACGACGCTGGACTTCCATCCGTGCAGCCTGAACCCGCGGGCATATAGGCAGGTGGAGACAGACGGTATTGGGGGGCGAGGCATCATCGACGGCAACTACGTGCAACGATGGTGGGAAACGAGTACGCAACAGAGGGTCGCGAGCGCCGACAAGGCCGGAGCAAGTGTCTGGGAGGTCAGGGCGGATATGGATTTGATCAGTTGTCGCGACTTGGAGTTTAGATAGGCAGGGTTGAAGCTCGACAATCCAATTGCCGTCGTAGGTAGACCTATGTACTACTAGTAGAAGGCGATAGCCGTCTTACCTATCTTCGTGGCGACTGCACAAGGGATGTGGTAATGTAACACAAGGAACTGTGGGTAGGTTGATATGCCGCGTTTCGACTATAAACGAAGGGTTAAGACCGAACATTCTACTACTTGCAGGGTACAATACTCGACATACTAGAGACATTGTATCTCATCCGCCGCGGTTCGGCCGCTGTACGTTGTAGACCCGCTGCAGTGGAGGGGCAGTAAAACAAGGACCAAGACAACTGAAAGCTGTCAGCCTGGTCACTTAAATCCACCCATTCACGACTGTCCGTAACTCACCGCTTTGTCTTCGCATCGTGGTTATTTCCATTATCATTAAATGCATACTCTAGGCTGGTACCTAGTTTCAACCAGAAGCGCCGGTTTCGATGCGCCCATATGGCAATGTTGATGCTATTTTCAATTCGGACAACGTGAAGATGAAGACGAAATCTGATTACGCCGAGGTGCCAGTGGCAACCCTGAGCGATCAGCGGAAGCTGTGTTGGTCCCCAGGCACCAGGGTTAAATGTGCTCTTATCGCAGCTCTGGTGACTGTATTGCTATGGGACTGCTACTCCGGGGCACCTCGAGCATTTTCATTTCCATCTTCGCCCGGCCACAAATTGAAGACATCCGAAGTGGTGGCCTCTGAGTCCGCGACTGATAATGAGAGCGCAAACATATCTACCTTCCGCTGGTCATCTATTACGCCGTCCAGAGACCTCCAATATCATGACTGTCTCGATGGATTTCAATGCGCTAGGCTCGACCTTCCGATGGACTACCACAGGGAAGATTCCCCAGACCGAATAGCTCTGGCGATTGTCAGAAAGCCCGCCAAAGTCCCCGTCAGCGACCCCCGATATGGAGGGGCAATACTCGTGAATCCAGGAGGTCCCGGTGGCTCGGGGGTGGCGAAAGTGTTGTATCACGGCGGCCTGATCCAGCAGATTGTCGACGCAGCCAACGAGACGAGGACGACCGAGTCTGACTCCGACTCGCACCAAGACTCGGATGGCCAGCACAAGTATTTTGACATTGTTGGATTTGATCCGCGCGGCGTCAATAACAGCACTCCCATCCTTACGTGTTTCCCGGACAACTTTGCCCGACAGACCTGGGATCTGCAAGTTCAGGCCGAAGGACTTTTGGGCAGTTCTGAGGGCTCGTTGAGAACTGCCTGGCGGCGGGCGCGGGCATACACTGAGGGCTGTTCCTCCCGCCATCCAGGACAGTCTGAGAACACTACCTCTAACTATCTCGAGCATGTCAACACTACCCCCGTCGCCGCGGATATGGCACAGATCATCGAGCGGCATGGCGAATGGCGCGAGCGAGAGGGCGTCAAAGCAGCAGCACGAGCAGCAGTTGATGTCAACGGTCGAAATCGAGATTCTCGGCAAAGCATCATCGCACGCACAAAGTGGCAGCGAGGTAAAGAGAAATTACAGTACTGGGGCTTCTCGTATGGAACGCTCCTCGGAGCCACCTTTGCCGCCATGTATCCGGAAAAAGTGTCACGGATGGTTTTGGACGGCGTGGTCGACGCCGAGGACTACTATAACGGCCCATGGTTAGGGAACCTCGTCGACACCGATTTGATTCTACACAAAGTATGGCGCTACTGTTCGGAAGCCGGGCCGGATCGATGCCCATTTTGGAGACCTGGTGGTCCACAGGCCATCCATGCTGTATACGAGAAGTTGTTGCACGATATCTGGGACGACCCGTTGTCGGTGCCCGGTGACAACCGGCGCCGCGGGCCTGAGATAGTTACATGGACAGATGTGAAAATGGTCGTCAAGAACGCCTTGTACCAGCCTGTCATGCTGGGTCCCCTCATGGCTGAACTATTGCAGGATATCACGAATGGCACGGGAGCCCTGTTTGCAGAATACAAGCAGAGCGCGCGGAAGCCGAGCTGTCGATCAGCACAGTGTGAAATTGATGGGCCCTTTTCCGAGGAATGCGTCTCTCCGAACTGGAATGAGTTGGAGGCCACTTCGGCCGTCTTGTGTACTGATGCTGAGGGGATCGGCAGCTTGACGGAGGATGAGTTCCGGTCTTATTGGGAGACCCTGCGTGGCCAGAGTAGTGCTATGGGCGACTACTGGGCGCAGACTCGGCTGAACTGTGCTGGCTGGAAGGCTAGGGCTAAATGGCGGTTTTCTGGACCTTTTGACATGGGAGATGGAACGTCCACTACCACTGGTAGTGCTACCACGGCACATCCGATACTCTTCGTCTCAAATACCCTGGACACCGTCACTCCGCTGCGCATGGCCCAGAAAATGTCTTCCCGGTTCCCTGGCTCCGGGCTCCTCCAGCAGGACGCCGAGGGCCACTGCTCGTTTACCGCCCCTTCGCTGTGCACCGCCAGGGCTATCAGGCGGTATTTTCAAACGGGAGTCATGCCGCAGCCTGGCACGCGGTGTGAGCCTGACATTAAGCCGTTTGAGGGGCAAGATCTGAGTCAATTGTCAGATGAGATGGCCTCGAGCATGAGCGAGGAAGACGTCGCTCTTCTGGCAGCACTGGTTGAGATCGCACGCAGTAGCAAGGCCGGCAGGATGGGTTGGCATTACTGAGCTTCACGATTTTGTCTAGAGCCAAAGTAAGAGTGAAGTGCAGGATTTCAAGATTGATTTCATTGTATACATGTGACTGCGTGAATTATTGATCTGGTGATTATTAGCCTTGTGTTCGTTGGTCTCTGTCGTTTGTCCGCCCGAGGCAGCCAATTTGAGCAGCGGTCGATGTTAGTCATGACTTTTGCTCCGAATAGACAATGGACATGCGTCCACATCAGCTCCCCAGGTCAGCTCTCAATTTTCAGCAATTGAATTTCGTTGATGGACGTCAACTCGGGAAAGAAAATGCAAGGTGCTCGAGGAGGTGGTGCAAAAAGGGGTGAAGGAGCCTCGTTCCGCTTGTTAAAAGCGGCGGGTATTGCTCTCGACTCGGCGACCGCAACCAAGTCGACTTCGAGACATTGAAAACCATTGAAGCTTACTTTACGATTGTAGTATTCACCTGTTCAAGCCGGCGCACTTCTGTCTCTCCGTTCACTTCCTTTCTCTTCTATCCTATCTGCTCGGCGCTCCGAAGCATGATAGGCCCTGCCCAACATGGACGGTGACCCGGCTGTTGAGCCAGAGGTTGATTCCTTCAGTTTAATTCTCCCACTCCCTTACCGGGTTGCGATTATAATTGTCTTTGGTACGGCATGACAGTGAGGAGAATTGAAACGCAAAGGCCAGACTGGATGGAACTGATGAATATGTATCTATAGGCATCTGGGCCTGGGGCCTGAATCTGCATTACCTGCATCTGATCAAGATTGACGTCCCTGCACTCATTCGATACCCTGCTCGTCAATCACATCACCATGCCCTTCACCACCACTCGACGTACCGACTCGCGACGATCCTTACTATTCCCCTAATCGGGTCACTTCTTCTTTTCTGGGCCGTCACTCGGGGCTCCAAACAAGCCGCTCTCTCCTGGCAGATCCTGCCGCAGTCCTACCTCCTGTTCCTTGCACTATGCTTCATCTTGCCATTCAAGCGCATGTCGAGCTCAGGGCGACAGCATTTCCTGCGGAGCTTGAAGCGCGTCAGCCTGGGTGGATTGGCAGAAGTACAGGACGGAAAATTCGGGGACATCCTGCTGGCCGATGTTCTCACCAGTTATTCAAAGGTGTTGGGGGATCTGTTTGTGTCGACGTGTATGTTGTTCTCTAGAAAGACAAGCAGCACCGCTAAGCCCGACCGTGGGTGCGGCGGCGCGTATCTGGTACCCTTTATCATCAGCATTCCCAGCATGATACGGTTGAGACAATGTTTGATTGAATATTCCCGGGTTCGGAGGAACCGGTCCGCAGCCACTGGCTGGGGAGGGCAACACCTTGCCAACGCGCTCAAATATGCCAGCGCCTTTCCGGTGATTATTCTGAGTGCCCTACAACGAAGCTATGACCCGAGCAAATATCACATGAGCGAGGCTGGGTTGTTTCGACTATGGTATGATCTTGCTGATACCCTTGCTGTCTGTATTGCATTGGCTGACCTTTCTTAGGCTGTTTTTCGTTTTCGTCAACTCGTTCTATTCCTTTTATTGGGACGTGGCCAAGGATTGGGATTTGTCGTTGTTTTCTTCCAGCAAAGCCAGAAACGACCCTGAGTACCCTTACGGACTGAGGCGGCATCGATATTTCCATGCAAAGGAGATCTACTACGCCGCCATTGTCATAGATCTGCTTCTACGGTGTACCTGGAGTATTAAGCTTTCGCCGCATTTGGACCATTTCAACGACTTGGAAGGGGGCATTTTCTTGATGGAACTGCTGGAGGTTACCCGTCGATGGATGTGGATTTTTCTGAGGGTCGAGACCGAATGGGGTGAGTTGGACCATACTGCCTTTGTTTTCCTTCTCTTCGTTTACTGACTGACGTCTACAGTTCGGAACAATCTTGGGCCAGCACCGGATGATATATTGTTGGGAGAATTTGCTGGTAAAATAGACGACGACTAGGTGTCCCATCTCAAGGCGCCAGCAACGTCCTTACTTTTCTAAGACCTGGAAAAAGTCATTACTACAATGTATAGTGCGGGCGAATAATGTGGCTATAAGTAGCTGTCAGTGTAGGAATTGACGTCTGCTATGGCCGTCTTGACTTGGTTTCGAGAGCAACCCTGAAACCCCCCTGACACGGTTGGATTAGGCTGGAAAAAAGCACCAATCCACCTTCTACCCTAGATGCAGGTCCCAGGGGGAGAAGACACGCAGTACAGCAGATTGTGTTACCTTATGCAGTGTATAAAGTGAAGCGAATTGAGTAGTCACTTTAAGCAAAGCACACACAAAGTCAACGTGTGCAGGCAACTTGGACGTGTATCACATGCTCCCCACCTGACCGCTTTTTCTTCAGGCCAAGTATGTCCTAATAAGTGTTCTCACTTTCTCAACTTCACACTGTCTGTATCAGTGTACCTCCCGCCATCGAAGACAAGATGGCCGAAAACCACCCAGAGTCCCTGGAGAGCTTCGAGTTCATCCAGACTCCTCCTGCTCCTCCGCAACAACCTGCCGAGGACTGCGGTGTGCGCACCACTTCTGTATGTTCAAGTTGTTTTGGTGCCTTGAAGTTCTGAGAGCTTTCCCCGGCTCGGCTCCGTCAGGACACAAACTTACAGTCGTTTGAATTCAGTACCCCGCGATCAAGAATGCTCCTCTACCTGCGGACGGCGCTGGCAGTGATTCTTTCAACAACTATGTGTTGATAGGCTTGTTGATCGCCGTGCCGGCGTACCTGGCGCGACAGCTCCATGGAGGACTGTACACGACGATTTTCCTGGCGACCTTGACTTCGGTGCCGATTTTGATGGCCTTTTGGACGGTTGCATCGTCGATATCTCCACGCAAGAACGAAAAGGCGCGGTTCCCCGGCCGGCCGATCGAACACTACCTGCATTTCCGGGACGAGGAGGACCGTGCTCGATATCATGGCAAGCACCGCATTCCGATGGAGACATTCCACGAAATGTACTTCGACGAAAAGGTGGATTTCAAGGGCGACTGCTTGGAGGTGATGGAATACAGGCACGACTGGGCAAGCTTCCGGTTCACATTGTCCTTGTTCAAGTTTTTCTTCACGGGTATGATCCCCGAGGTGATTATGCACACACGGTCCCAAGACGAGGAGCAAGTCCGGGACCATTATGACCGTGGCGACGACTTCTACAGCTGGTTCCTGGGCCCTCGCATGATCTACACCTCGGGCATCATCTCGGACATTCGCCACGAGGAATCGCTCGAGCAGCTCCAAGACAACAAGCTGGCCATTGTGTGTGAAAAGATCGGTTTGCAGAAAGGTGAGCGGATGCTCGATATCGGCTGTGGATGGGGCACTCTGGCCAAATACGCCAGTGTGCACTACGGTGCCCATGTCACGGGTATCACGCTAGGTCGGAACCAAACTGCTTGGGGCAACAACGGGCTCCGTCAGGCAGGCATCGGCGAGGATCAGAGCAAGATCCTGTGCATGGACTACCGCGACATCCCGGTCCCCGAGGGCGGGTACAAGAAGATCACATGTCTCGAAATGGCCGAGCATGTCGGTGTGCGGCATTTCGGAGCGTTCCTGAACCAGGTCTACAACATGTTGGATGACGATGGTGTTTTCTTCCTGCAGTATGCCGGTCTCCGCAAGTCGTGGCAGTACGAAGATCTGATCTGGGGCTTGTTCATGAACAAGTACATCTTCCCGGGAGCCGATGCGTCCACACCCCTGGGATTCGTTACCGACAAGCTCGAAGGCGCCGGCTTCGAGGTCAAGAGCATCGATACCATTGGCGTGCACTACTCCGCCACCCTCTGGAGATGGTACCGTAACTGGATCGCCAACCAGGACAAGGTCAAGGCCAAATATGGCACTAGATGGTACCGCATTTGGGAGTACTTCTTGGCTTATTCTACCATCGTCGCCAGGCAGGGCAGTGCCACTTGCTTCCAGATCACTCTGGTCAAGAACCTCAACAGCACCCATCGCATCGAGGGTGTCGACACCCAGTTCGGTCTGCATGGCGCCCTGCATGCCGGCCAGGCTCGTTTGGAAGGTCTGCCTACCAAGGCTGGTCTGAATGGTAGTGCTGTTAAGACTGAGCTTGTGGCAAGGTAGATGGCCAGAAATGGATACCCCTCATTGAGCAACGGTGGAATGGTGGTTCGACAGAATGGAGCATCTCACCTGTTCTGCTTTAAACTATGATCTGCTGTCGCCCAAGCGCTGCAGCCTGCTCAACCGGGGAGGCCTATCTACCTAGGTATGCTCGTCATGTTTCTCCCTGAACATGAAAACGCACCGACGAGAAAATTGGAGCAAGGAGAGAAAAAGAAGAAAGACGAGAAGAGACAACATCCCAAACGTTCGTGAATCCCCTTTAGAACAGACTATTTGTACATGTTGCTATAGAATGGATATAGTCCCTGTCCTGATAGAAGTTGGGCATGATGCGAAAGGAATTCAACAATAAACAAGATCAAGTGATCCCCATCCTACCTTACTGTACACAATCCTACCTACTGTACACAGTACTTTACAATACATGTACCGAACTGCCTAGAGTAATGTACCTAGGTACCTCGCCTTCGAGTCCCTCTACCATACTTATTACATTTCAAGTACCGAACATGGAGCATTCGAAAAGCTCCCGTGACAGAGTGACTCACGTGACCGCCCCTTTTCCACTTGGCCTTGGCAGCTGTTCCGACTTCAAGTTGAACTTCGACCCAAGTCACTAGGTACTACAGTTGTACTGGCCCTCAACAAACAAAACCAAGGCACATGTCTGCCAAAACCCGTCCCATGTACAGTATCTCCCAGCTTCATGCTCATCATCATGTTTGGCTTTCGCAAATTCTATACATAGGACGATATACAGGTATTAGCAGGAGAGTCTGTCAGGAATGCGGATGCTTGTGCATAGACCACTTGTTGAAAGCGTCTCCTTTGTTCCTCATCTGCAACCATCTTCTTCAACCTTTCTCATGAAGACAAACTGTGAGACTCGCTGGTCAGTCTGTTTCATATGCTCGGTTGACCACAGTTCGCGGAGTTACCTGGTTGATATGTCCAACTTGAATGCTTCCCCAGCTCTTCTGGAGGTTCACTCGGTCCGCACGTCGGAAATTGATCGGTTCCACAGGTTCGATGCCGTTGCTTCTCATTGACATGTGTTACAGCTAGCCCTCTCAAACTGATGAAAGCGGCTCAGCCAGTCTATACCGCAATATTCCTTTGTTGATTTATCCAATTTCGGCACAAAGAAAGATGACTGTCAATATTAATAGCCATGCTTCTGGATGTTGGCCTCCTACCGAGCTGCTATCCAAGACCTTCGTTTCCTGTCTCTGTCAAGCTGTTTCTATCTGCCATTTGACTCACCTGGTGGGAATTTAGTTCACCATGCGCTCAATTATCGCTGTGCTCGTCGCGGCCTTCCTGGCCACCGCAGTCCAATGTTTCGCCGAACCTGACGGTGGTCATGGATTGGTTCACCACAAAAGCTGCGCTCCCAAGACCGGTGACTGCTCCAACTGCGGCGCCGACTATGTCCTCTGCGGTACTGCCACTTGCTACAACCCCAAAGCCGGTGAAACATGCTGTCAAAATCAATGTAAGTCTGGATCAATTTCTTGCAGTGTCCTTTTTGCTGATCAAAATGTAGATGCATGCGCCGCCAACTTCAACTGCTCGTCCACTGGCCCACACTGCATACCGAAGAATGGCGGCAAAGACTGCGATAAAAGCAAGACGCACACCAGCACAACTACTACTGCCGCCAGTGCAGTGCCCACCACCACCAGCTCCTCTACGTCTGTGTCAAGCTCAGCTGCCGCCACGATTACTACTTCGGCGGCTGCTACCGCTTCCCCCGTTGCCCTTGTGATGTCTGCTCCTGATGGCAGCAACATAACAACAACCTACACGACCACCGTCACTTTGTACACCACGAACTGTGTAACCGTCAGCGCCACTTCGGGGTCGTCTTGTAGCCTGAGCGGCGCCACCACCGGTCTTCCTTTGACCACCAGCTCTATGGTGCCATATGGCAACTCGACCACAGTCGCATTGAATACCACCACGTCCACGTTGTCGGTTGCAAATGTCACGGCTCATTCTACCGGCCAGCTCAGCCCCAAACCGACCGCGAGCATTAGCCCTCCTATTAGTGGCTACAAGGGGGCTGCCTCGGGTGTCCAAGGCCAATCGTCGACGTCTTTGTTTGCTTTGGGTTGTTTCATTTATATGGCTGCTCTGTTGATTTAGAGCGAGTTGGTACATGCTGGTGGTGATGGCTCGCCGAAAGGGAAAATGTCGGCAAAATAGACAGACGGAAGATACCTAATCTTGATCTATGTGGGAGAATGGCTTTTTTCCTCTCCGCTATAGTCGTCGTACCGACGAAAGGAGGGCATTTCCTTTGCTGTTCGACCATCAAATAGTAGAGTGCTTAGTCATCAGTTTACTGTTCATATTGTGCATTGGTAGAGCTTGCGATGTCGAATCAGCTGCGCAAGGCTGGCCAGATGGTGGGCATGGCGAGCTGCAACGGGGTATGGGAGGGTGCGGAACGAGGACCACGGGCAGGTTAACAGCGAATGAGAAGCAGTGCGCTCCTTATCCGCTTTTCAGCTGCCAGAGAATTTGTGTGTTGGTTGCCCGTCGGTGGTGGTTACATCATCCTCAACAGCGGGCGTTTCGGGCAGATCCAAACAGAAAAACTGCCCCTCCATCCGTTCTTGTCAGCTTCACGTTCACTGCTTCTGCATCCTACCGCCAGCACACGTTGACCGACGCCAGAGTTGTGGTCTATAAACAGTGTCCTCGTCTTATCAATAGTATTCGTCTCTGCAGTCAACCCGTAAGTGCTTTTTCCAAGCTCGTAACTATTCTTTGCTCTACTTTCCCCCTGCACCCGGACCTCCCCGCGCTTGCACCGCAGTACCACCAAGCGAACTTCTCCCAACATTGGTCGTCTGTCTACAACACTCCGGAAAGCACTCATACTGACCTGAGCAGGCTTCTTTCAAGCCTCGTTTACCTATAAACTCCATCCAAGATGCCGGGCTTCTCGCAGGCCACCGAATTGAAAGCATGGCAAGCTCTGGTCGACCACCATAACAATGTCGGTCGCAATCTTGTCCTCAAGGAATGTTTTGCCCAAGATCCTCAGCGGTTTGAGAAATTCAAGAGAGTCTTCAAGAACACTGCCGACAACTCGGAGATCTTGTTTGACTTCTCCAAAAACTTCTTGACGGAAGAAACGCTCAAGTTGCTGGTCAACTTGGCCAAAGAGGCCAAGGTTGAAGAACTGCGGGATGCCATGTTTGCTGGCGAGAAGATCAACTTCACCGAAAAGAGAGCAGTCTACCATGTCGCGCTTCGAAACGTTACCAACCAGCCCATGGCTGTGGACGGAAAGAGCGTCGTCGAGGAGACCAACGCCGTGCTGCAACACATGAAGGAGTTTTCGGAACAGGTCCGAAGTGGTGAATGGAAAGGATATACCGGCAAGAAGTTAACCACTATCATCAACATTGGTATCGGTGGTTCCGACCTGTAAGTGTGGTGTCTTTTGCAATCATGACAGCTCGACTGACGATCATCAGTGGTCCAGTAATGGTTTCGGAGGCCCTGAAGCCATACGGTGCCAGAGACATGACCCTCCACTTTGTTTCCAACATCGACGGCACGCACATTGCCGAGGCCCTCAAGAATTCCGACCCCGAGACCACCCTCTTCCTCATCGCCTCCAAGACCTTTACAACCGCAGAGACCACCACCAACGCCAACACGGCTAAGAAATGGTTCTTGCAGCATGCAAAGGACGAGGCGCACATTGCCAAACACTTTGTCGCTCTGTCCACCAATGCAGAGGAAGTCTCCAAATTCGGCATTGACACCAAGAATATGTTCACTTTCGAGAGCTGGGTGGGCGGCCGATATTCGGTGTGGTCCGCCATTGGACTTTCTGTTTGCTTGTACATTGGCTATGAGAACTTCCATCAATTCCTTGCCGGAGCACACGCCATGGACCAGCACTTCAAGACCGCGCCTCTGGAGGAGAACATCCCTGTCATTGCCGGTCTGCTCAGCGTGTGGTACTCGGACTTTTACGGCGCCCAGACACATCTAGTGGCTCCCTTCGACCAGTACATGCACCGCTTCCCAGCCTATCTCCAACAGTTGACTATGGAATCCAACGGCAAAGCAGTCACCCGGACCGGCGAGTACGTTAAGTACACTACCGGCTCCATCTTCTTCGGTGAACCTGCCACCAATGCCCAACATTCATTCTTCCAACTGTTGCACCAGGGCACCAAACTTATCCCGGCCGACTTCATTTTGGCCGCCAATTCCCACAACCCCGTCGAGGGAGGCCTGCACCAGCGAATGCTGGCATCGAACTTCCTTGCCCAAGCTGAGGCTTTGATGATTGGCAAGACTCCGGAGCAGGTCAAGGCTGAAGGCGCTCCAGATGAGCTTGTCGCCCATAAGACCTTCCTGGGTAACCGCCCCACGACCAACATTCTGGCCGAATTGATCACCCCCGCCACGCTGGGTGCGCTGATCGCCTACTATGAACACATGGTCTTCACCGAAGGTGCCATCTGGAACATCAACAGCTTCGATCAATGGGGTGTTGAGTTGGGCAAGGTGTTGGCCAAGACGATCCAGAAGGAGCTTGAGACCGAGGGCGCAGGAAGCGACCATGACTCTTCGACTGCTGGATTGTTGGCTGCATTCAAGGCAAAGAACGGCCTGAAATGAATTGCCCCAAACAAGCACAAAAGTAAAGTATTTGGGAAGACAAGACATCACGGTTTAACATAAGTAATGAAACACCAAGTCGCACATCGCTTTGTGGGGATTGCCTTCAAGGTCCTTCAATCAAAGGGCCACAAGACTGTCTTTACTTTGCATTCCATAGATAACTTACCCGTATTTTTTTGTCGGTATGAGTGCAGATGAATCAGAACAGCCCAAAGAAGTTGAAGCACTATTATGTCCGAAGCATTCTTTCGCAGTCCCGTTGTACCAATTTGCTGCTTACTACTGTGCACCGCCGTTCCAATGGATATATGCGTACCTAGGTACATTTTCAATAGTAGTATACACATCTGATAGCTGGGTCAGCATTCTGTCAAGCACAGACGCTCCAGTTCAAGTTGTGCACCGTGCAGCCACGTTGCCTGCGCTGGAATGTATATTGACCCACCGGAGCATTTGTACGGCGCGACATAGGACCATCCGGACCAATTCATGCGGTTCGGCTGCCAACTTCAAGTTCAACGTCGCTGACATCGGGCCATATATCATCCGTTAACAGTACATAGGTAAACAACCCCAGTGCTTCTGCAGCAGTTCTCGCATTACAAAGTTCACGTCCAGACATCTAACGATCGGAAATGAAGTCACTCGTTGTGTAATGGACACTACAGTCGAACCTTTCCGCTCATGATACGACCGGCCCCCGATCCCACCCAAATAGTTCAAGCCTCATGAATTCACGCATCTGGCAGTACCAGTGGTAGACTGTCAGGTCGCCCGGATTCTCCGACCGCTGCTCACATCGCTACCTGAGCTACCGTTCCTGTCCACGAGCCTCTCCCATTCCTCAGCTGGCATCGCGCTGGTGCATGCCCATAGAAGTGCCCGTATACGGACGCAGCGCTCCATGGCTCGATGGCCTCGTCGGAAACAGGGTCGGGCTACTCGGTGACGCCTACCCAGCCTCGAGGATTCACACTGCGACATAATTCTCGAAAGAGTGACGATCTCACGGCGTTGCAACGACCGTCGATGAAAGATGGCCGGTCACTATCGGGCGGGAGTTCCCAGTATGGCTCGAGGGCCTTCGTTCCAACTCTCACGTCTACCGGACCACCAGGCAGTTTCAATCCCGACTTAAAAGGCGCCATGACTTCTGGAAGGACCACGCCCCTGACTGAAGCGGCAGGAGTGCCAATGTCACGACTACAGCAGCAGGCATACAAGGATGTGGATGGCCTCACAACCCCGGAGCAGCGGCAGGCCGCGGTGCGTGAGAAGATAGCCAAAGAGATGAAGATCAAGCTTGGAACAGAAAACATGCTCGAGGCACTATTGAGCAAGAACCCAAAGCAGACTAAAGAGCAGCGCCAGAGGGTCGAGATGGAGTTGGGTTCTTCGAATAGAAAACTCGCCGAGTTGAAGCAGGAACTCGACCAGGAAATCCAGCGCGCTCAGACGCCCAGCACGCCGCCAAACAAGAGAATGACCAGCTACTTTCGCGGCAGTCCACTCAAGTCTCCCCCGCGGAGCAGCCAGCAGGAGACCGAACCTCCCGAATCGGTTGATGTCGAGTCCCCAACAGTCGTGTTGACGGAGATACTCCAGCAGCTGGAAGCAGACGGCATGACGCCGGACTACTACATCGAGCGGGCGAACAGGCTAGTTGATCTCTTGAAGCGAAATCCGACCTTGAAATATGATCTGGCCTGGTCTGTCTTTAGTCTACGGGTTCAATTGATGCTGCTCAGTGATAGTTCGGACGTTGTCGCAGCCGGTTATAGACTGACTCGACATGCCATCGCCGACCGAAAGTCATTGCAGACCATCCGGACGTTGCATACGGACGAGCTCGTCATCTTGTCTCTAGTCAAAAAGAACAATGCCACCCTTGAGCGAGAGCAAGCCGTCAAGTTTGTGCGGGCCTTCCTAGACGTCAAAGACGGAGTGTACGAGCTGTCCCGAGCCGTTGTGCGCAGTTTGGTTGCGGTTGCCGAAGCACATGATGACAACTTGAAAGACATCTGCTTACTGACTCTGGCGGAGCTGTTGATGAAACATACCGAACTGGTTGTCGCCGCGAACGGAGTCAGTACACTGACCGACGCCCTGGCAGAGGGCTCGTTTCCAGCCCCCGAAGGGTTAGTCGCCAGTTTTCTCCATATTTTGGACCACCCTCGCCAGCGTCGATTCCTGCACACTGGACGGGAGTTTGAGGCCATGTTTGCACCTTTCACAGATCCGCTGCTTTTGAGCGGCAACGAAGAGAAGCTGAAAACCTGCGCCCAGGCCATTGCGGCCATGCTCAAGACATGGCCGGGCTATTTGCTGTTGTCGATGAATGGTGCAACGCCTCTCCGATCGCTCATTGATTCCCTGGTATATCCCATCGGTCAATCGCGGGACACGATACTGGAATTGTTCTTTGATATCCTTCGCATCAAACCACCGTCTTGGTCCACCTCGTACCTTGCTGGCCGACGACTCACAACATATGGAAGATTGAATACGTTACCTCTAGAACAACCCTCATCTACTGAACGGCAGCTCGCCGACTACAATCCCAACGACAGGTTTGATTTGACCCAACACTTTTCAGCGTTCGTCCTCGCAGCCTTGGTAAAGGCAGGCTTGGTACCCGCTCTAGTAGATTTGATCAAAAACGAAGAAGACCTGATGCTCAAGAGAAAATCGGCACTTTTGCTCACCGAAGTGCTGAAGTTGGCCAACAACTCATTGCCTCAAGCAATTGGCTGCGACATACAAGTACTGGGGGATTTGGTCCCAACACTCAAAGACTTCGGCTCGGAAATGTCAGCCACAAACATGAGTCTGATCTATCAAATTGAAAGCATCAACCGGACTTTACAGCGGACATCTGCTTCAACCTATGCAGCGCGATCCGACTCTGTCGACGAGCTGGCGGTTGGGCCACAGGCCGTGGAGAGATCTAGATACACCGCCATGATGGATGCAGATCAGTTCCGCCAAGCAATGGCAGACAGCCAAGTGACCAGCCATTCTCAATATGTTAAGTGGAAGTGGGAGTTGATTCACGGATTGGTTGAAGGACCATTGACCAACCCCAAAAGACTCGAAGAGGCAATCAAATCACCCAAGTTCCTCAAGCGGCTTGTCGGCTTCTACCGGCCTTTCAAATACAGGTTCTCGATGATACGAAATACCAGACCCAATCAGCGATACGTGCGCACCGGCTGTGCCTTGATGAAAACCCTGACCCAGACGACTGTGGGGATTCAATATCTTGCCGAGAATAAACTTCTGCGCCAGATTGCAGAATGTCTTGCCCAGGTTGACCCGCACAGCGGCATCACGTCTGCAAGCCCCCTTTTCGATCGTCACCATATGGCCGAGACGCTCAGCGGCGGATATTTCGCGATGCTTGGAGCACTCAGCCATACCATCGAGGGGATCCGTTTGATGGAGCAATGGCACATGATGGACATATTTTACCATCTCGTCGAGTTGAAAGACCGCGACGATTTAATCCGCACTCTGCTGGGCAATATGGACTATACTCTTGACACGCACCTGCGGGTGATTCTGTCCAAAGCGCTCACTTCGGGCGTCAAAGACATTCGATTGTTTTCGACCAGACTACTTCGTCGGTATGCCGTGGGCAGGGTGCAGTATTCGACTGGATTGGGATTACAGGATCCTGGTAGCTCGCACTGGGCTCTGCGTCTGGTCCTGACTCAACTGTATGATCCGGATGTGGAGGTGTGCGAGGTCGCGATCAAAATCCTCGAACAGGCCTGCAATCAACGCAGTCACTTGGAATATGTGGTCAAATGCAGGCCGTCACTCGACCATCTCGGTGAAATCGGAGCACCTCTTCTTTTGCGGTTCTTGTCGACTTCGGTGGGTTATCGGTACCTCAGTGGACTAGACTACATCACGCAGGAAATGGATGACTGGTTTTTGGGGAGAAATGACGCCTACGTCGCTCTCGTTGAGGCATCTATCTTGCGTGCCTACATGGACGGAAGACTCGGATTGCACAATAACAAGACACAACCACATGACAACAACGATCCAGCTGGCGACCTTCATGAGATTGGCGTTGCACCTCCTCATTTCTACCGCGAACTCGCGCGTACGCAGGAAGGATGCAGACTGCTCCGCCAGTCGGGCCACTTTTACGAGTTTTCCTCTACGATCCGCGACTTCCGTCTGGACGAGGACGAAGAAGCTTTGACCAAAGTCAAAGGATGTCTCTGGGCAGTCGGGAACATCGGATCAATGGATCTGGGCGCGACGTTTCTGGAAGAAGCCGATGTCGTCAAGGCGATTGTAAGGATTGCTCAGGGCGCCGAAGTCATGTCCATGCGAGGAACCGCCTGTTTTGTATTGGGTCTGATCTCGCGCACTCTGCATGGCTTCGAAATGCTCGCCGAAAATGGTTGGGACACAGCCGTCGACCCGCAGGGCCGGTCTCTTGGTCTTTGCTTGCCTCTGGACCTGAATGTGTTGTGTTTGGTAAGTTTGAACTTTACTACTACCTACGTGTTGGTGACGGGTTACTGATTGTTTTTTCTAACTAGAAGTCCGTCGGCTCGTCAAGTGTACCCCAACGTCCCAACCCGGAGGAAACTGCCCGGTACAAGGCCGCCGTGACAGATGCAAACCCCGTGCGAGCCAAGATACTCAAGAATATTGTCGAAATGGGCAATTCGGTCATGTACAAAAAGGCCGCTGGGGAACTTCAAGCGCTCAAGGCCAAGGAACCAAGTTACTTTGCCGACACGCAGATGTTCCGCAAGACTCTTGTGATTCTGGAAAGTCACCATTATCGCCTGCAGGCACGGCATTACATTCTCAATCTATTCAACAAAGGCATGATGCGACGCATCATTTTCGACGAAGAGATGGGCGAGTCGGAGAGCAGCTCAGACACTGGGTAGTAGAACTCGAACTCTGGCACATGAGCGGCCGAGGTCAGGTCGCATGACTTGACCCCAGTCGTTTGTTTTTGGAACGATGATGATTTTTGCATTATTGGCAGCGCATCAAAGCAATGAGATACCTTAGGTAAGGGTCATGCAGTTTCGGCACACGGCGTTTTTGAGACGTGTAGGAGGGTTCTGTTTTCGGCTCGGCCTGATATGCCTTGCAGTGAGGAAGACGTGACACTGGCATTGACATACGACGTACATGCAACGGGCGTAAGGTATTTGGGGTTGACGAATGGAATGGAGGCTGCTCCAGAGATGCCTACGTGGAAGCGAAGCGTGCGTGGGGCAACGTTTGAACGGGATCCTTAAACACTGGCATTGGCATTGGTTTGGCAGTGGCATGCAGCATGCAACATGCAACAAGGGACATGGATTCGGTATGGATGTTCAGCGGGTCTGGGTCGTTGGTGCAGTGGGGATGGATTTGACTCTCTCTCTCTCTCTCTCTCCGGCGTCTTGTCTCTTTTCGGTAGTAGGACCCCCCTGCAGTGTATTTCAGCTCTCGAGGGGTTTGAGGGTCTGTCTGTCAGTCAGTCAGTCAGTCACACGAGCGGATGATCCAAAGTATGGCTGGTTTCATGGGCGGATCGGATTGGATTGGACATGGCCGCGCATACCTAGGTAATGGTATGGTAGCACAGGACTGTAGGACTTGCGGAGTGAGGCTGGAGCGAGCTGAGATGAAAGAAATCGGGAACGCCGTCCTGACTGCAGGTGAGCACATGAGAGAGAGCGAAGTCGATAGGTAGTAAGCCAGAGCCATCCAAGCGCAAGTGATGACCCGTACACGCGATTGTTCCAAAGGTGAAGTGAAGCTGAGGAACTGTAGACCCGTTTACAGTGCCAGTGGACGAGGAAGTGAAGTCAAGTAAACTCTGATATCACGTGCCAGTGTCTCGGGCAGTGGAAATGGCGGGCGCAGGCTCCGTCTGTTGCGATGTCCAGATCGATGATGCGTGGACGAGCCGTTGGGCGCCCGTGTGTTGCTCGCCACCAAAAACACCCCCAAACCCATTCTCGATCCACCGGTTCTATCCAGATCTCAAGGCTCCTCGACATCGACCTCTCATCGCCATAACACTCGTTGCTATCTCGCCAATCAATCATGACCTGCCCTCGCGGTCCATTCAAGTGCCTCCCCACCTCGTCGGTCGAGTTCGGGGCCTGTCTTCTGCGCTCTCCAGCACCCCAGGCCCTCTTCCCGATGGGCTAGTCGTGGCTGATCGTCATACATACAAACTACACAGTAGCGGAAGTGTGGTACCAGCACCGTGCAACACCCAACTCAATCCTCTCTACAAAGTGTAGACGTCGTTGATTGACTTTTTTCTTTTCGCTTGCGGGCGCGCCATATTTGGTTCAAGTTCAGTTCTTGCGAAGATTTGGTGCTCATTGACCTCAGCTGCCAGCCCTGGAGTGCATTCTTGTATCTCGTCTCAGCTCGACGATAAGATTCCTATTCGACTTTCGCCTGATTCGATTCTCCCCGATACTATTGTTGATCGTGTGCGCATTTATAACAAACAGACACGGCCGATCCATCCTAGACCTAACCTACCTCGATCGTTTGTTCCACGAAACAACGAGTCGAATTTGAGTCTTATTACGGCCACCGTTGGAGCATCGCACGGACAAGAGTGGGATGAATGTATCTGACCGGCAGATGGATCCTGTTATCACCCAGCCTTGACTGGTGCCCTGGCAAACGAAAAGGCAGGGCCCGGCAGGTACACCACCACCACACTCGGGCCTTGAGGGAAACAATCAAGCAACCGCTCAAATGAGCGTTGATGAACAGGATAAGCCGTCGACGACACCGGCAAGCGGCTCAGAAAAATCCCCGGAGGTGGAAGCGGAGGTGGAGGTAGATGCACGCTCCATCGTCCGGCTGTTTCAATGTTCACAATGCTCGTATCCTCTGAGAGAGGCCATGACGCTACCATGCGGCAATACACTGTGCAAGCCTTGTCTTCCGCCGATATACAGGCGTGGCAATATCACCTATCCTCCGGTTGAAGGACGAGAGAATGGCTTTCTCTGTCCGTTTCCGGACTGTGGCGTGGAACATTCGGTCGGCGATTGTGGAATGGATGTCATGGTCAACAAGATTGTGCAGCTGGGCAAAGCGCAGGTCTTCAGTCGCAAGTCCGAGACATCGCAAACTCGTCTCCTGTTGGAGGAGAAACTCGACATGGCCAAGATTGTCGATAGCGGTATGGACATCATGCCTCGGTCCCGTGTGCTGCACGGCGGACGGCTGGACACCACGTTTGCCCTGGCAGACATGGGCGAACTGGACTACACCTCCGACGTCGTGTACACGCCGCTGGATGTGGACCCCTCAGCTAGTTCCACTCGTGCCCATGACTTGGCTATTCTAGAGAGCCTTCGGGAACTAACGCGGCCGGAGCTGGAGTGTCAGGTCTGTTATCAAATGATGCTGGACCCGGTCACGACGTCCTGTGGGCACACATTCTGCCGGAAATGCTTCGGTCGAGCCATGGACCATTCCAGCTATTGTCCAACGTGCCGTCGAAGACTGCCTCGCCTGCCGGCAACTCTTTCCATGGCCAGCAACAAGTTGCTGAATGATCTGTCGCGGATCCTGTTGCCTGACCAGTTGGCCGCCCGGCAAGCCATCCACGACGAAGAGGAACGCATCGACGAGCAAAACCGGTTGCCTCTTTTCCCCTGCACGCTGGCGTTCCCTCAGATGCTTACTTTCCTGCATATCTTCGAGCCCCGCTATCGACTGATGGTTCGACGAGTCATGGACAGCGGCTCTCGCAAGTTCGGCATGTTGGTTCCCAGAGGGCAATCTTTCTCGGTTCCCGATGGCACGGGCACCCCTCGGTTCCACCCGTTCGGGACGGTCCTGTACATTGAACGCATGGAATTGCTGCCTGACGGCCGCAGCCTGATTGAAACCAGGGGCTTGTACAAATTCCGAGTGCTCGAGACCGACGTCTATGATGGGTATCTGGTTGGAAAGGTACAACGTGTGGACGACATACACATACGAGAAGAAGAGATGAAAGAAGCCGAGGAGACTTCTCGAGAAGCTGTTCCCGGCGAGTCCGAGGCCGGGCGGATCCAACGCATGTCCACACAAGCTCTTCTCGAGTATGGATTAGCCTTCGTGGAGAGGGCTCGGTCCCGGTCGGCGCGGTGGCTACATCAGCGTGTCTTGGCCGCTTATGGCGAACCGTCGACCGATCCGGCCGTGTTTCCTTACTGGTTTGCCAGCGTCTTACCAATTGCCGAAGGAGAAAAGTATCAGCTTTTGCCGGCCACGAGCGTACGAGAGCGATTGAAGATTACGGCGTTATGGGTGGAAAGATTGGAACGGACAAGATGGTAAGTTTTGGTCATCTATACCTTTCCTTTCTCCTTTCCTTTTTTTTCCTCCGTCTGTCCCGTCCCTGGGAAGTCGCTGCAGTGGGAGGCCAAGTCGCCCTGACATTCGAATGCCTTGAAGTGAGCAAGAATCACGGCAAGAACAACTGCAGCAGCAACATCAACAAGAACGGCGGTTCCGGAGATGGTAGTCGAAAGATACGATCACGGAAATGACAGAAGGCGACTTCTGATTCGGGCTTGTAATCAGCTTTCCGGCAATGCTTGGCTCTTTCTGGAGATACATATAATTCACCCGGTCGACTACAATTTTGAGGGCTGAGACGGGCGATTAGCCGATAGCGACAAACCCCTAGGAAGACGGATAGACATACTTGTGTGTCCACAAGTTATCTGCAATATAGTTGCAATGTTGTCTGCCAAAAGAAAACAAAACAGAACAAAAGACTAACTTTTTCCCGTCCCATCTCTCCACAGGCAGCAATCGTCCGCGTCCGCATCGTCCTGTATTGTCTTATGACTAGCCGACCTGGGCATCCTGGCGGCCGGGGTGTTACTGATGGTCTTGGTGCCGTGCATCTATGCGGCGTTCCTCAACAAACTCTGGATTAGACATGTCGTGGTTGTCGTCATCAGCGAAGGCGAGCGGTGGTTGGATTTGGTCGTTTTTGCCACGGGGGCGTTGGTGGTCTTGTGTTCTTTGGTACTGGTGCTTTTGAGGGTTGTGATTCCCCTGTTGATTATTTTGGCGCCTGAAGACGCGAGGCGGAGGTTGTTGATGGATTGGTAGGACAAACTTACTCCGAGTAGTATTGAATTGATGGTGGTGCTGGTGGTGGAGACTCGGAGGATAGAGCAGCGAAACGAAACATTGGGTTCAAGTTGTTGAGACGCGCACTGCAAGCCAGGGGCTGCATTCAAGTTGTATGAGATTGGAGGGAACAGAGAAGAGCCTTGACGAGAAAGTACTAATAGATGCCAATTTACAATACTAGTACCCAGAGTTCAGTTCGGTACAGTAAGTGGGCGGCTCGGATCGCCTGGTCTCTCGGTCGCGACAATGAATTCCCTTTCTCTTCACATATCGGTTCCCTCGGCCAGCACCTTTTAAGGCTCCCGTGTGGGCGCATCTCTGGTCCTAATCCGTCACCTGGGTCGGCATCTGCGGCATTCTGTACCTTGTATCTTCGACCGTCTTCAACTCCTTCATCTCGGGCGGCCTCATTTTCCAGCAACTGACCTATTCTGTGCCCATCCTACTTCTACTCGTCAAACCCCGTCCGAGGTTCCCACACGGTTCCTTCTGGCTTCCAAGACTGAGCCCGGTGGCTAATGTGATTATCGTTGCCTGGATTGCGTTGACACTCGCCTTCTACAGCTTTCCTCACTACCTCCCGGTCGAGGCTAGCCAGATGAACTATGTTGCCGTCGTGGTCGGGCTGGTATTTCTGTATGCGGATGGATTTTGGATCTTCTAAGCACGGAAATACTACGTCCTGGTGGAACCTGAATGTTGTACTGCATTGATAGCGAATTTGAGCCACGTTGAAATGCGCAAGGCAAGTCCAAAAGGTCTGATCAGGCTTGCTCACTACTCTAAGCGTACGTTAAACATCGATCGTACACCCTTTGAATGCTTGGGGGTGCCGTTGCCGTTGCCAGATGCACATATTCGCAAGATGGAAAGAGCCTCCCAGCAATGGAAGGAGCAGCACCGCGAGTTATCTCCTACTTAGCTACTCGCATCTTCTCACTTCGTCTTTTCCTCTCCTCCAAGACTGCGTTCTGGGCTCGCAGCAATGGCTTCCACTCACCTGTGGCCAGCAGGGGGCATCATTGCCACACTTTTCTCTCCCTTTGGGCCAGCTATGGGCGCCAGGCTGGTCAGGTGGGTGCGGTGGATTTTTGGGGATGAGGGCACGCCTCCTGGGCAGCGGGAGGTGGTGCCAGAGGTAAGTCTGGATTCTGCCTCTGTTAATAGGATTCGTGATGCCGTCCGTGATGGTATTCAGGGAGGTCAGGAGACCGAGGGTAGAATTGCCCAACTGACCGAGGACGTGAGCAGACAGCGTGTGCAGATTCAACATCTGACAGCTGAAAACGAGCGTCTTCGGAATGAAGTTCGGACTCTTCAAGCCAGCACCTATACCATCACGGGCACCATCACGCGTCATGTTGGCTAACTGTGGTGTAGGCCCACCACTGGGGGATACCAGTGGCGGTCGGGATTCAACTCTCGGCCGCACCAGCGCCGGGCTTGCACTTCTGCGCAGTGCTGGTGACGAGTAGCTCTCCCAAGAGTGAAACCAAGACAAGCCCACCCACGATCCCTCATCATGACAAAGCTAAGTGTGATACCCCGAAGCACGGTACAGATATTCACCCACTTTCATACAGACGAACAGCAGAGATACCAGCCTGAATCTCAATCGCTCATGGCATTCGACATCCTCCTCCTCTTATTCCTCCTTTGTCTTCGATATCAGGAGATGGCGTATGAAGGCAACTGGAATTGGCCACAGAAAAGCTAGGAATTGGGTCAATCAGTGGTCCATTCAAGGAACCGGTGAAGCGGGTGAGGTCAATGCTTCAAACGACCAGGACTGGTGCAGGATCATCATGGCGGGATTGAAGAGTATATAGCCGTAGGTAGGCAGATATAATTGACATTGACACAGTTTGGTTCCGTACATTTAGAATTCCAGGTTTTTTGGAGCGCCCTTCAAGTTCAGGCGGGCTCTGCCAAGCACCAAGCACCATCTTCTTCTTAGCGCGGCCTAGACAATCCGCCGGGGCGCCTCTCGGGCCCCACTGTCGCCCAGAAGCTCGTCCGTCACCTATGGGAGCTCAGTACCAACACCTGCCTCCTTAGCCCTCATAAGCTATTAATTCCTACTAGGACGGAGTACGTCTAGCTGCAGATCTCGTCAAGAAAGCCGCGGTTTTGATTGGATGAGAAGAATACGCCTTATCGATAGGCCCATTCACTTCCGAGTTCACGGACTTCACGCATCATCTAATCGAGCGTGCCGTTGGGCGTCCTGTCGAGCGCTCTACTAAGGTACGCGTGTACCTACCGGAGCGTCCTATCGAGCGTGAATCTTCTCGAGTGCCAGTGTCCTGTGTATTTTAGTGCGCCCAGCACAAGCGACTTGGAGTTGTGCTCAAAACAGACCTAAATACTCCTATTATTATCTCGAACCGCCATTGCATCGCCTGTTCAGACATCTTGGTACCGTCATTCTTCAACTCTCATCCCTACTTCTCTGTACTATTCCCTGGCGTCGTGGTTGATGAATGACACAATACTGCACGCAACCAGCCGTTCCGTGCCATTCTTCACACTCTGCACTCTTCCAGCCCACATCTGCAGCTGGATCTCTCCCCGAGAAGGCGCACCACAGTGTGCACATCTCTCACGATGACCGCGAAGCAGAAGTTTCGGATGCTTCACGTCTCTAGATGTGCACAGAAGATCTTGGAATTCATGGTCCTAGCCAGCGCGCGAATTAAGGGCACCACGGGGAGCGCCCTAAACATCTCAGATCCCTACTGTCCACTTCTCCAGCTGCCAAACGAGTTGCTCTTGCAGATCACCGGTTTCTTGGAAGCCGAATATCAACTCTCACTCCGTATTTGCTGCCGACGGCTTCGCCTCCTTCTCATGGGTCTCGACCCGACACTGAGTGATTTCAGTACGAAGCTGCGGTTCTACAAATGCCTCGAGCCTGACTACCCGGAACATCTTCCCTGCCTAACGTGTGGAATCATGTTCAAATGGCGCGCTCCGGATATGCGTGCCCGCTGTCCACGCGAGGGTCAGCACCCGTCGATGCCTAACTGGAGTTGGGCGCCATACGATTGTTGGTTCTTAGCAGGAACATTTGATATTCGGATGAGTCGCCCATTTGTCGAGTTGGTTTTTCGTGCTCACGAACGAGGTGAGCGATACGGGTATCCCGTGTCTTCCTTGCGATCGAGCGGACTGCATCGCACGGGCGTCTTGTTCCAAAACGATGCACGCATGATTGATGGAGAACTTGTGCTTGCTACGCGATGGGAGCTGGACGCAGTGCCTCGAATGGATTCCAATTGGGAAGACCAGATCAAGCTCTTATTCTGGGCTTCTTGCTTGCATTGGCGAAGCAATGGATGGCGCGACAAGATAACGTCGTTACTTAAGGGTGCGTCCACCAACACGACGCCCCTGAAGCCCACGGAAACCGTCAAGTGCTCCTTTTGCGAATGTGACTGGCAACTAGAAATGAATCACAAAACCGACACACATTCAAGTTTGCTCTTTTATGTCTGGAAGAATTATGGACGACGGTACGGAAAAAGGCAAGGGAATGAGCAGATTTTTCACCGTCAACCCACACCGCCGCTGGATACCGAATCTGTTTCGCGGAGAGATCTACGGGCCCTCTTTGAGTCTGGAAATGAGGAAAAGGGGCAGCACCAAGGGCACAGAGGTTTGTCCGCGTTCTAGAGGGGCCGGCACAGGCTGGACAGCAGAGCGCCTCTTATGAGGACTCGTGGGGTGTCCAAGTCGGACTTTAAAGCCTCCTCGTGGCGACACCTCATATAGGTACCTACGTAGTCATGAGGTCTCTATCACTCACCTTGACTGGCTTAAGGCTCAGTACCTACGGCGGTACAATTGACTGCAGTGTGGAGGCCGGCTGTGGAAGATTGGCCGAAGACGCGATTTCTAAAAGACGGTACCGATGCATTTACTCATACGTGGTTACCTAACATGCGCTGAAGGTTATCATTAGTTAGTTAGTGCTTCTGACACCTAATCTAGTCCCTCTCGGGTCTATATAGGTATATAGGTCTCAACCCTAGTATCCGTCTATCTATCTACCGGGCGCCCTCCTGGCCCCCAACCTCTGCCTCTGCCTCTAGCTCCCTTTGCTCCAACACGTCGTCCGACTCTTCCGGGAGTACGCCGTGGTATTGCTCCAGGCGTCTCGTTACGATTAGGGAGGCCCTCGGGCCACCGCCTTTCTACTCGTGTCTCTCTATCGCTTAGGATCTCTCTTAGCGGGCGTCCTCCTAGATCGACTTAATCCAGCGAAGGCTCTCCTCGTACGCGAGGGTAGGGAAAGTTACCATTAATGATTGAAGTGTACTACAGTATTTCAGTGAGCGTGAAGTAAGAGAACATAAACAGATGTGACTATAGAAAATAATGGCGAGGGAACCGGGTAGTATGTGAAGACGGTCGGCCATGCCTACTACTGTAATTATAGCCGTCAGAATCGGCGGCGCACTGGCACCCGCCGAAGAGGACTGGCCGCCTATTATTTATTATTAAACCGCACTGGCAGGCGGATTTGTTGTAGTCCTAGACACCCTGTCGATGACATCATACAACCTTGGGTAGGTATAGTACGCGGTACTCAGGCTGTCCACTGCATCGCATCCTCCGGCTCAGCTTCAGCCTTGTTCGAACAGTCTAATACAACAAACACTTTAAGCCACGATGAAACAACCAGCAACAGTACTGGGCTTTGTGAGATCAGTATCAGTCTCCAAGGGGGCAAAAGCAGGGCAATTGGAATCCTCGACGACCCGCCTGACCATTTCCTATCGCTATCGCTACCAGCATCATCATCATCATCATCAACGACAACGACCATTCAGCACAACCACTTCATTTCAGCAGCAACAACAAACCCGCAACCGTATCTTCGACCCATTCCGCAACCCGCCCCAGTTCCACGACGCGCTCCGACTCTGCTCCGCCAACAACAGTCTGTTACTGGCTCTATTCACGACATCAGCATGCACGCCCTGTCGGACCATCACACCACTGCTCACGTCGCTTGTGGAGACCCGACCGGCCTCGCCGGAGGACAAGTTTTCCGGGTTGGCGTTTGCCGAAGTCGAGCTCGATAGTCCGGACACGTCGAATGGGAGCATGATGGATTTGGGGATCGAGTACGGCGTCACCAGTATGCCGACTTTAATGGGGTTTGGGGGACGCCAAGCCCAGCGCGTCACGGACCGTTTGGTCGATACGAGGTTGATGTCGAATCCGACGGCTTTGGCGGCCTGGGTGGATGAACAGATGAGGAAGGGGGATCCTTATGCCACGGGTGGAAGTGGGAGTGGAGGTGGAGGTGGCAGTGGTGGGCTGTTGGGACGAATCTTTGGTTGATTTAGCCAATGCAATGGACTCCATGGGACGAGAGGCAGTTCTGGTGGTGCTGATGATGCTGCTGCCATGTGTTATAAGGAGAAGGTGAAATCAACAAGACTGCGGTAGGGTCCACCATACAAGTTCTTGTTCGTACCTACACAGTGAGCGAAATGTTTAATTCCTACTATGTATTTATTCATCATCTCCCCATCCACCCAATTCTCTAACGACATCACCCACATTCGGCCACCCTTGGGTCCCATCCGGCCCACCATCCAGCCTGGACCGTTGGACCATTTCGCTCCCACAGAACTCGACGGCATGCATAACAGCGACTTTGACACCTCGGAGAACATCCTTGATGCGTCGCATTCGGTCCGTTTCATCATTCGACCCCCGGGCGCCCAGCACTCTGCCCAGCCCCCTTACGTGCCATAGCGCAGGACCTCGGAGACCCTGAGCTGTGATGCAGGTATAGGCGACGAGTTCGGTCTCCAGGGCACTCAAAACGCGGAAATCGGATAGATATAAACCGTAGACCACGGCGAGTTCGTGGAACCCCACTTCTGTCCGGTGCGGGCCGAAGGTGCGGAATATGGTGGGCCAGAGGGTGCCGTAGATGGAGGTGATTGTTTCGATGCCACGGGCGTGAAGGGCAGGAAAGGATAATTGGGACCTAGATAGAGGAGACTGTTTAGATGGATAGAAGGTTGGGTATCCTGGAAGACGATAAGAGTGTCATACCACTGTTCTAAATCCAACTCTCCCCTCTTCTCCTCCCCCTTCCCTTCCCCAGCAGTTTGCACTTTCGCCCATGGGATCAATGCGCTCAGCATCTGCGGCGCTCCAATCAGAGTAAGTTGTTTCAGTAACACATCGCGCAGTCGCTCCGAAAGTCGCGTCTGGGCTTCTGTCGAGGAGAATTCGGGTTGGGTTGTTGTTAGGTATGTCCAGAAGTCGGCGAGGAGGTGTGGTCGTGGAGATGTAGTGAGAACCGTTGCCTAAAAGGAGAGGGAGAGCCATTAGCTGATCGTTCGGAGGAAGGAGAAAGAAAAGGTTGTGCTTGTAGACGGTGCAAAAGCAGGGACGCCGGTTGCTGTTTGGGTATGGTTCATCGCCCACGATATGAAATGACAAGAATTGGGTTGGCGGGCTGGCAGAGTACGTCATAGGATAGAGGATGGAGGAACACAAAGGTGGTACGATGAACGGGCTTAGGGGGTAGAGATATGCACATGAGAGCGGGATCGTCGCTTCAAATCAAGGAATAAAGGCACAGACAAGATGAGGGCGGTAGGAGAAAGAGCGGCAAGAAGGTCTGATCAATCAATTGTCGTGGTAAACATGCAGGAGAATTCGGTCCGATAAGGGAATCATTGGCTTTTCGAAAGCACTGACGTCGCGTCTTCTGTAGCAGTGGCTGTACTTCTGATGGAATCTTTCTCCCACCAAGCAAGCAAGGTAGGCAGAGCAGACAGAAATAAAATCTCCTTCGATAGTTTCTCAGTAGCGGCTTGGTGTCCCAACTCCACGGTGGAAACGTCCCGGGCAGACGGGAAGAATCAAACAACCGCAGGCGAGACATGACAAGTTGACAACAAAAGCAGTACAACATGACACAGACCCGCGGGCACTGGACCGGCACCGGCCAGAGAAAACAAGGTCTTGCCCGCGAGAGTCGCTCAATGCCAAAAATGGGAGTCTTAAGCCACAAACGACTATATCTCTTCTCAATCTTGTCATATCCTGCAGCACTGCACTGCAACCAAGCGAGCAGGCAGCAGACACAGGATAGCCCAAATAACCCATACCATGAGACCACGGGCCTGATGTAGAACAAAACAGCAGAAGAGAGAACAGAGAACAGAGAACAGATGAGCGCTGAAAGGACGGTACATACAACCAACCCAATACTCCTAAAAGAGTCCAATCAACGAGTAAAATAAGGCAGAACAAAGACACAGACAATTCCTTCCAAAACAACAGAGTAGGAGGGGCCAGAGAGATCCTGAACTGTCTTGTCTTGTCTTCACCTTGCGAAGACAAGATCAGCTCAACCTCTAAGCAAGCCCTGCTCTCCCCAATCCGAGCCAAATCAGTTGCCTCCCTTGTACCCGGGTGGGAGACAGCTAAACAGATCCAAAACATAATGGGCCGCCATAAAAAACCCCGCAACCACTGTAGAAAGAGCGGAAAGCTAAGAAAAGAAAAAGAAAAAGAAAACCACTCACAATGATCAAATACCAGCTCTCCTCGCCCATCTCAGGCTTCACCAAGGCGGCCTTGACATCTTGACAGAGCTGGTCCCATTGTTCCCGTGTTGGGGCGGTGGTGGTGGTGGTGGTGGTATCGGTGGTAGAAGAGGCCATAACTATGACTGTGACCGGTACGCCTGTATATATGCAGGTTCGTTTCAACACCACTGCCTGCAGGACCTGTCTGGAATGTGTCTGTGGTATGGTACCAGGTAGGTATATGACTGATGTGCCTTTAGGACAGTCCCGTAGTTCGAGTACCACAACGGTGTAGTAGGAGGTCGGCATTAGCATTAGAGGTATTTCCAAAGGACTACCGAGGTGGGTTAACACGGTAGGTAGATAGCAGCTACTAGTGATCTATCTTAATAATCACCTACCTTACAACAATTACCTGCAACGACTGTCCCGCGGCCCTCTCCCAAGACCCTACTTCACCACAACACTTAATGACACATGGTCTGAATGGGCAAGGCAGTATAAAAGACAGAAACACCAAAAGTAGCACGACAGCCCACACGAGCCGAGACAGAAATTCAAACTTCCATAATTGATTGATATGGTGGGGTATGGTATTATCTGGCATCGCGAGATCACCTCTAGAAAAAAAGACAAAGACAGCTCCCTTTTCATACATACTCACTCTCACACACCCTCTGTTTGAAAGTGCAAGGCAGTGCATTACAATGACGCGCATCAGAACATGCACAAAGCATCAGAATCACATTTCACACAGCCACGCCACCCCATCTCATCACATCATACAATACTCAACATGTCTAGAGCTGCGCAGGTCTGTTCCGCTCTGCTATGCTATGCTATACAGCATGCTATGCCGAAAGACCTCGCATCTCCGACTCGGAGAAGAAAATGAGCATGCGCCAGAGTTTGCGGACGAGGACTTCTGCTTCTTCGTCGAGGGCCTAGAGGTAACGAAAAGAGTGGTTAGCATTGTTGCAAGTGACAAAGTAATCAAGACCAAACTTACCCCTTCTAACTCGCCCACCAGATCTTGCGGCTTCCCCCTCGTCCGTAGAGCATTGACCACGACATCGACGAGCATCTGTTCCTGGACGCCGAGATACTCGACGACCTTCTTCTCGACAAAAGGCTTCAACCGCTCGTCAATGATGCTTTCATCCACAAACTCCCACTTGACATCCCAGTTCCACAACCCTTCCTTGTCATTAGGGATGTCCGCAGCAAGTTGACGGGCTGCTTGTGCACGTTCTTCTTCGGTCATGGTCGAAGTCGCCGAAGCATCGTATTGAATAGGAACCAACGGTTTGCGAGCACCCGTCCCGGCTTCGTCTTCCTCGTCTTCGAGCAACCCTTCGACCTCGGCGACGGTGCGTTTCCCGACCTGTGCCGCGCTCTGCGCCGCCGCTGCCTTCTGCGCCGCCGCAGCACCCAAGGAAAGTTTGAATTTCGCAGGCTCTCGTCGATTTTGGTCCTGACTCGGTTGTCGTTGTGATCGCCGATCCTCGTCTTCTTGTTGCTGCTGCTGGTCCCGTCTTTGTCGCGACATCTCTGCTTCCTGTCTGTCGAGGAAATCGTCCGCCAAAGCACCCGCCCGCTGCTGCTGTTGCATCTCTCTCTCCCTCTCACGTTGTTCTGCAGCTCGATCGGCATCATCGTTGGCAATTTCCCGTTGTCGGAAGCTGGCACGGTTACGGATCCACATGCTCCGGTCAGCATAGTATTCTTCCGTCTTGCGCGAGGCTTCAATATCGTCATTCCACTCGCGCAGTCTCTTGGCCATGGCTTCTTTCTGTTCCTCCATTCGAGCCGCTTCCTCTTTGTCGCGCATCTTCTCGCGTTCTACCGCCGCCGTCCTGGATCGTTCCCGGTTCAGCCACCGTCGCTCCTGGTCAAGGTATTGTTTCTCCAATTCGGCGTCTCTCTTGGCTTTTCGTCTCCGTTCTAGTTCCTCGTCGCTGGCGTCCGTGTCTTCGTCCTCAAACGCTGATGCTCCAGTGATTGCTGTGCCATTCACAAACGTCACTCCTTTTTGGTAGTCTCTCGGAATCTGTTGGCCGAACCCCTTGGGACCTGCAGGGGCTCCTCGTGGACCCACTGGTATGCCATTAGAAGCTCCTGGTCCCGAAGGCGCTGTCGGAGGCGGTGAAGCAAGACGATTATATCGATCTCCATTCATCATCCGGTTCCGTTCTTGTTGCTCAATCTCCTCTTCCCGTTTCAGGCGCTCCAAATCTCGTCGGTTACTTCTGTCTCGAAACGCCGCTATTTCTTTGGCAACGGTTTCCCGCATTTCGGCTGGAATATCGGCCAATTCGTCCTCAATTGTTATGGGAATGGTCACAACATCACCATCTGCATTCGTTGTGCCGTCGCCCATTTTGGTGTCGCCTTCTCTGTCGATGTTGGATAGTTCGTCTTTTTGCGTGGGGACTCTAGGATTTATGAGATCCTTGAGCACGGCCTCGAGGGCACTTCGAGCGTGATCGAGTCGCATTTGTCTTTGCTCCGGGTTTCCCCCGCCATGGGATTCTTCCCATTGCTCGATATAACTGAGAGAATTGTCATCTGCGACGACCTACACAGTTCAGGTTAGCGGGGCGGACGGGAAGATTGGGCAACAAACGTACCACTAGTTTAGACATCTCAACCTCTTTTTCTTCTTCACCATCAACGCCACCGCCATCTTTGGCTTCAGCAGTAGCAGGTTTAGGTGTCTGCCGTTTGACAGGAACCTCGACATCCCTTAGCACTTCAACTGCCGTACTGAGGCTCTCGGGGTCTTCGTACTCAGCAAACCCAAACTTGCAAGGCTTGTCATCTCCATCCGTGGCACGGATCCAACGGCGCAAATTGCCCGCCGCCCGCAAAATCCGCTCCACGCCCTCATCGCCCCCGGTGCCCTCTGTGATCCCGCCGACGAAAATGGTCTTTATGATTTCTTCCTTTGTCTGCGGTTGGATCTGATTGATTCGATCTCCTCTGTCTCCTCGATCACCTCGATCTCGATGTTCAGGACCCCGGTGGGAAGAGAAATCGGAGCCCAACCCTGCTCTTCTTCTTTGAGGTTGTTCTGAGCGGTGGTCAGCGTCTCGTCCTCCTTCAGGTTTCGCAGCAGAGCCGGAGGTGCCTAGTCGAATGACGGGCGCTGAGAAATTAATGTTGGGCGGAGGTTGGAAATTCGGAGGGAACGCTGCCGTCGCAGAGCCAGGTCTAGGTGCGTGAGCCTCTTGTTGTGGTGGAATGCCTATTCCTGGAGGAGGAAGGACTCCCCCCATGCCTGGAGGTGCCATACCAGGAGGAGGTGCTGAAGAGACAAATATTCAGTCAATGGTACAAATGTGTTAGAGGAACAGCAACAACTTACCCATACCTGGCGGTGCGCCAGGGAACCCTCCACTGTAGTCTCCAGGCGCGCCTGCGCCGGGCGGCGCATATTGACCTGGTGCTGTGGAAGTGAGTTAGCAAGACTGCAGCCAAATGTAGTGTAGTCGGGAGAATGTATGCACACATACCTTGGTAAGGATTGTACATGAGTGGACTAGAAGAGAAAGTCGGAGGGATTGTAGTGTATGTTGGCTGGCGCTACCGCTGGAAATTGTATCGGTTGCGCTGTGAGAGAAAGTTTCCCCGGTGGAAAAGAAGAGGTCGGTCTCTAGGTAGACGGGTAGGAAGTGAGTCTCGTGTCCATAGGTATAGAGCGCAAGTGAGTGACTTGAGGTGACGAGGGTGGGAAATAGATCGCAGTTGTCGTTTGCAGGCTGAGATGCAGTCGGCGAACAATAATATAAAGTTGAACTCGATGCGATGCACTGCAGCGGAGCGCAGAATTATCGGGTGCGGAGATACTTTGATCCGAGCTGACATCTTATCTACAATGGACGACGTTGTACTGGACGTTGGCATCGATACTAGTATACCATAGTTGTACAGGAAGATACATACATCAGCAACTGACAATTTACATCCGTATACTTCATGTATATGAAGTTGCCGCTCGTTTGTATTAGAAAAATATACAACCACTTCAGCGGTCAAGAATGCTATCCACACATCCAAGTCCCGTCCTTATGCGTGCTGGGCTTGCTTCTCTCCTGCGCCTATATGAACACTCCGACGGTGAAAAATTTGTACCAGTACCACCTAATCAAAACCGTCCCTCAACCCTTTATTCGGGGAGGAGGACCAGCGCCACGGCAGGAGGTAGGATTAACATACAAAGCGCTTAGCCGTTGCAAAGGTAGGGGGAAATGCACTTTTCTCCCAAACCACGCGATGTCATGTGGCCAGTTGTTACTCAACTCAAGAGGACGGAATAGTGTGCTGGCACATGTCTTCAGGTCGACAAAAACTGTAGACCAATGCAGCCACCTGCAAGTAGTCACACCAATAAGCTAGACGGCAGTAAGGACAGACGTGGGTGACGGGAGATAACTTGGCTCGGAGATTCCAGACGAGCAGTCTCCAACCACCTCCGCAGATTGCATCCGGCCGTGAGCCGATTGCTGGTTGTTGTGGTGGTGCTGACAAGCAGAAACATGGTTCAGCCTCGCCCAAAAGAACTCGGCCGTCTGTTGGGCAGAATCAGATTTGCGACCCAACAGAGCCATACCCTGAATGCAGTTCTCGGCACGGACATACAAGTCGTCATATTCAGTATTAGACATCACCCAGCCATAGAGTTCGTCAGCAGGAGTTTGCCAGATGGCGAGCCACTCGATCAACAAGTTGCAGGCACTGCCCATGGCGCGGACAAGAACGTCTGTCCATGGTTCGGTCAGGATGGCACTTCCGTTACAAGCAAACGAAAAGTCCGGGTTGTCCGGGAACGAAGGGGCATGTTCAGCCAGCGAAGCCCCAGCGATGGCCGAGATGGCGTAGGCGTTTTCCTTCCTGATTTCGGTGATCAGGCCACACCGTGCACGCAGACCTCGCTGCGCTGCCATCGTCCTCTCCTCTCTGTCGAGTTGCGCAATCGCGTCGGCCAACAGGAGACACCCGTAATGCCAGTGACCGTCGAGGATCACGTACCACGACTGCACTCTCGCAAGGAGGCTGTCATGTGCGCTTACACAGTCATGCATAAATGGACCATAAGTCGTGTTCCAGTGTTGGCATACCTCGATGGCCTCCTGGATGCATTGCTCCAATTGCGCCGGCGCGCTCTGTCGGTCTGCCAGGGTCTGTAACTGGGCAATCTTGCGAAACATCAATACTTTCACCGGGATTGCTGCTTGAAGTGCCACTGCTGCTTCATCAAAGCTACAGGGCCAGCGTGGCGGTTTCTTGCGATGCTCTGCTCCTTGAAAAGTCAACAAATAGTGACCCCAAAGCTGCTCTGCGTTATTCCTCGCATCCTGCGCTTTTCCTGGTGACACTTGTACCTTGATGCCCATGTCGGGGACCTGATCTGGATGGGTATCTGAATTCGGCATCTTGCGGCCGAGTACGACGGTGTCCAGCTGTTCCCGAACCATGGCGCAATCATCGTCTGGAATGATTAACGGCCGTTTGGTGATTGCGGATGAAGTCGTGTCGCACATGACTCCCAGCCAGAACAACATGTTGAACGTCTGCTGGTCTTTTAGGTCCAAATTACTCGACAAGTCCTGCCTGTGACCACTCGCCATCATGTACGATCGAGATCGTCTGTAGCGCTCCACTATGCGTCTCCAAGCAAACAGATTCCTCACAGCAGTTTCCAGATAGATTGGAGGCGAGGATGTCGCGTCAAAACCAGCAGTGGCAGGATGAATGCACCGTAAATAAGCAGCGTCCGTCGCCAGTTCGATCGGCTGTGGAGAGGGGCCATTTTGTCGTCCTTTATCGTCGTTATGACTGCAGCCATCTGACAGCGCAGATTGGACAGGGCCGGCCGGACTGCGAGTTTTGTCCATGGGCCGCTGCGTGAGGGCGAAAAGCAGGTATGCTAGTATGACTCTGAATGAGTCAATCCCGGCACTGGCCTGGATCGCCGTCCACGCTTCGTGCCACAGAGTTTTCCGGATCACGCGTTCACATTCACTCGACAGGACCAGGCCACCATTTGCACGGCACGAGCTTGGAGGTTCCTTTGTCGACTGATTGCTTCCCGCTTTCATCGAAGACAGCCCTCCCTTGCCCTTCCAGAAAGAGTTATGTGATCTGTGTGACCATTGACTGGCAAATGCCATAATGGCAGCATTGAGGGCCTTGGAGGCAGTCCTGCTTTCTGCCGTAGTCAAACGTCGACCACGTAAAGGGGAGAATGCCGAGTCCAGGCGAGATACACGAGAAAATATCCTATTGTCCCCCAATCGCAACTCTGGTTCTTCCGCTGCGGAAGCAGCCTTGGACATAACGAATAGATGACCGAGTTCTGCATCATAAGGGCAATTTCTTTCCGTGACCCAGCACGACAAGGAGTTCTCAAAGCTATCGTGATAAATGCGAAGAAACCCGGTGGCTATCATCGCTTTCAAGGCTCCATCAGCGAATCGTATCTGCCGCGGAGAAAGTGGAGTGGAACTTGAAGTCCGTCCAATGGATTGGAGCAGAGAGCTATTGGAAGGACGTCTTGATGCAGCCTGGGTGGGTGTAGACGTGCTTGCAGACTTGCATGAGCCGGCAGAGGCAGATGACGACCGGAGCACACCTGTGGAACTGGAATCGACACGGCCCCCAGTCTGGCTGGTATAATCTGTCTCCTTGGGCGAGTGTGCTTTTGCGCTGTATTGTTCTTCTGAGGAAGTGGACGAGTCCCTCTGCAAGCCTGGGGACCTTGACATGCTGAGCCTAGAATCCAGGGACGTAGAACCTGAAGAGGAGCAAGACGAGTTATAGCGAGCAAACGTATATATATCCCATTGCACGCTTGGCTTCGCAGCTGAAGTGCGAGACAAAGCGGGCGCCGTAGTCGTCCTTGTTGGGACAACAGAAGGCCCAGTGGCAGTGCCACTAGATACATGGTAAGAGTGATGCGGATCGAGACAGCAGCTGTCGTGCTTTGTCTCAGTATGCGGCTCCCTGTAGGCTGAAGATCCGGAGTTTACATGCGCAGGAGGTTCGTGGATGAGGCGCACGCGAGGACAGACCGCAGGCACCATTTTGTGTTCGATAGAGGATGACGAGGAGTCCGAGCGAAGAGAATCACCACCGGCCTCCAAGGGCGGAGACTTCGTTCTGGGCGACCGCTTCCGTTGAGCATCGATCGGTTCTTGGAATCCAGTCAATTCGAGCTTTCTCTTGATCCCCTTGGGCAGGCCATTCAGTGGTAGAGACCGAAGCCAGTCAAAGGTACATTTCTTGCCGCTCTTTGCACAATTGGAACAAGCCTGGCAGGTGGACGTAGGCCATGAAGCAGCCTCCTCTTCGGCAAAGGGAAAATTGACCACCATCAAAGTGCCGGCATCGCACGCGCGTCTACTTCGGCGACACTGGTCACAGCTCTGATATTGCCGGCGCGTCGTCTTGGAATAACCGGCAGCCATGGAATCCGGCTGAGGAGCTTGAGTTGTAGCCGCTGCTGGAGCCATGACAAGCATAGACATTCTGTAGAACAATTCTACAAGGTGAAAACGAAGACACTGAGGATGGGGTTGTCGCTGGCTCTCGAACCTAGGCGGCCGAGGTGAAGGTAAAGGTGGGTGATCTTATTGCACTGGACGAGACAAGGCCAGCCTGAAAGGACCAAGTCAATCGGCTCCCGCACACTTCGCCGACGAGACAATGCTGCAGCTGACACGAAAATCGAGGGCTAGGGGGCCTCTTGTGCGACAGTGAGGCCAGGCAAACGGCGAATGGTAAAGCAGATTGGGCTTTGAGACTGGCCCTGGGAGCCTTCTCTTCAGACCGCCACCACCATCAAGGCCGGCAGACTCTCCTATCTGTTGCTGTAGCCTCGGACCATTTCTCAATACGAGTGTGCCTTGTATGAACCGGGAATAACATGAGGCCGGCTAGAGGCAGAAGGAAGTAACAAGTAGATCTGACTCAAAGGGTGAGGTCCCAGCAGTAACATAGCCTGGAGTGAGGCGGGGGGTGCTTTTCGTTCCCATCGTCCATCACCATGTCCTGCCACTAGTTGCTGTCAACTTAACCCACCCCCAGCCCTCCACTGCTAAGTCCAAGGCCTTAGGAGCCTGGCGCTCCACGTCTCTGGTCATTCAGGTGTAGTCTAGGTCCGGTCCTGGCTGAAGGGAGGCGGTCATTCGTCGATGTCGGGAGGCCGCCGTTCGGGCTGCAAGGTGCCAAACCTTACCAGGCACCTAACCAGGCCTTTTGAATCCTAGCGAACGGGAGACCCCAGCTTCAACCCCAGAGTCTCAACCTCGACGGCACCAGAAGAGCAACTTCGTGCAATCTCTGTACGAACCAGACATCTCGCTCGTCCGGTTATATTTATCGTCGGCACTAGGAAGGGTCGCTGATTGTACAGCACAACGGATGACTTGCTAAGGAGTGCTGAGAGTTCATGATGTCTTTGGCATCCTAGCAATTGCCAGGTCCGCCGTTCGCGGGGACGCCCAGCCAACTTACCTGGAAGACTGGGCAGCTCACCGTGACAGACTCCACAGCCTTAACCTGAGACAGACAGGGTGGCCTCTTGCATCAGCTCTAGTTTGGTCCTCGCATTCGTCTGGATCGATGATCCCATCCGCCAGATTGACGGGACATCGGCTACCAGGTTTAAAGGCAGGCAGATCGCAATTCTACCGCTAATGCTGGGTCACCTTTCTCTTTGTGAGGTTGGCTCCTCGAAAAATTCGTGATGGGAAAACAAGCTGGTGAGGGCTGCCCCTTCGTATCGAGCGCGCAAAAGTGGTATAGGACACCGACCACTTCGACTGAACATATGTGACGTGTCCGATGGCTGGCTACCTGTCAGGTTCTTTGCGAGGATGACGGATTAGGTACAGTATCGGGTACTGCTGTAGTCATAACCCAGCGGTCGCCCCGGAGTCTGGCAGTCAGGTAGTTCACACCTGGTCATTACTCTTGGAGGACTCCTGGTGCTCATACAGTTAATCAACTAGGGGGTCCAGGCATACAATATGGATGATCAAATACCGACTAGAGTACTCCTGATATACACAACTTGGAAGTTGCATAATCGATATTGAAGCCCCTTGTGGTCGAGAGACTCCAATTCGCCGACAACTTGTCAAGATACCTCTGTAGGTATTGTAGTATAATGTACCTGAGAGATACTTTTCCATTCCTCGTGCTATGTAACCTACTACCAGAACAAGCGCCCTGAGTTGTACAGTACTTCTGTCGAGTTTGTCTCGATCGAGCACAACAATACATGCCTAGGTAGAGGATATCAGGAGGTATAAGATGCCCACGGAGAACCCAGCTACTGCCATTGTTGTATCGAGTTGAGGATGCAGTTATACCTAAGCTCAGTACATGCCGCGGCGGTAGATTAGAGAGGTCATCGCAACCACTTTGCGTATGCCCATTCGAGTCGTCTCAAGACATTGATCTGGCGATGAACACCAGCCTTGATGTCCAGCAAGTCCTCTAGGTCTTCGAGGAACTCCCTCTGGATATTTCTGGGCAGGACTGCCGTTGCTCTCTGGCGTAAAAGGTGAGCTTCGCAAAGGAGAAGACCATGGTGCTCCTCGGAAATGATCCCGTCGTCGTCCAACTCAGCACTGGTCAGAGTCCTATCAATGTTTCTGTGATCTTCAAGTCAGCCAGAGTGTCCTGCGTAGAATCCTAACTTCAACCACGAACCTGATCAATCGGATAGCCTCGCCCTTCTTCTGGCCTTGTCGCAAGCCCTTACGGCCTCCGAAAGTAGCTCTTAGCCACTGAATTATGCCAAACGAGATTAGAACTCCAGGAGCAATGCCCACAAAGCCGAAGAGCAGTTCCTGACTCTTGAGGAGAGAATCAATGCCGCCAATGGCAACTTCAACATCGACCTTTGTTTTCTGAACTTGGATGAGCAACGTGCGCACCAAATCACCCATGATGGCATTCTTGATGGGACTCTGCATCTCTCGTTCATACGCTTTTAGGACTGGAGTGAGATCGCCTTCTCGGACTTTGGTCCTCAATTCGGCCACTTGGGTTTCGGTCAACTGACTGCCGTTCTCCGGGTGCTGCAGGGCAAAGTCGACGACCATGCGCTCGAGACTCTCCCGGTCGGCGTTCAGACTTTCCCGGCTTTGTATTGCTATTTCGCTTGTCTCGTCATGTCGGATTGTGCCGATCAGCTTCTTGGTCGGCTCCACGACCCAGTTGGTCCAGAAGTCTATGGTTGTCTGACCAAATTCCCTGAACCATTGTATTATCTCCGCGCGCCGATTCGCAACAACCCGTAGAAGCGTGCTGCCGGACAATAATAGCGCGAGCGTAGGTATCCAATAGCGTACGAGCCTTGGTGGTTTGCCGTATTTGGACTTGATGGCGTTCGCACTTTGCTCATGTTTTGGGAGGTTTTCATCCAGGATCTTAACCAGCATAGCTGCCATCTCTGCCGAAGAAGCTGTGGCGGGGTCAGGCAAATAGTCCTCTTCGTCATGGTTGGTTCTCGTGACGGTGTCAAGTAGACAGATTGTTCTTGCAATGGTGGTCTGCCAGTCTTCCTCCTGTTGACCCACCATTTGCGGCAACGCGCCTATCTTGCGCTCATCTGGCGGTCCGTCGAACACGAGACATTCACGCACAAGTCGGCCAATCAAGACAGAACTCGACTTTTTCAACTCTCGGATGTGGCTCAAGTTGCGACGGGCTTCCATCCGGGCTATCGAGAAAGGAGATAGGATTTTAGTTTGAGCCTGGGCCAGGGAGCGCTCTTGTATACTCTTTTGGACCAGGCCATAAAATTCCTTCCAGCTCTCAGTGACCGTGGTCGTGGCTTGCTGCGCAGAAGCGGTGAGCCCCGCGCCCTCCCTGAACCTTTGTCGGGCGTCAGCATAGACCTCTCTTGCCTGTTTCCAGAACCTGAGAGGGGATGTCTGCACGGTGTAAAGCGCAATATTGAAATATGACCCCAGTAAATCATCCCAGTACCAAATCGACTCGCTCAGCGGAATGGTTCGGTCTAGAAGAGAGTTCAGTATCTGTCCGTACACTTGAACCGTTGCTTTCCCGGTAGCCACCCATTCCAGGTTCGAGATATCAGCAGTAGCTGTCTCTGCTGTTACCTGCGCCTCGCCCTTGTTTACGATCTGAGACAATAGGTTTCGCACTTTTGAGCGGCGCAGAAGTGGCTTGCTTCTCGAGGTGGTAGAGAGGGCTCGGATGACGACCTTGAGCTGAGCACTTCGTGGATCATCTTCGGCGGTTACTTGTTGTTCACTCGCGGCAAAACTGGCAGCTCGCTCTTCCGCATCCCTAAGTTGGAATTTGTCCAGTGCAGCGTCAACCCTGCGAAGATCACTATGCTCAAGTCAGACATTTCAACAGAGAGGAGCCCAGGAGCCTTGGGAGCATACTCGTCAATGAAAGACATGTTGAGAATTCGAGACGCAGGGCAAGACTAGGCGTAGTCCTTATGGAAGAGTCGTGCCGTCAACGAAACATGCCGTCAGGGGAGGCGCTCTATTGCGATATCAACTTTGCTCTCCACTGCAGGCCAATGTCCCCAGCGCCGGCTCTGGTAAAGATTCCGTCTTTGCGTATTCCACGGCCACTGTCAATTGTGTAGAATCAGCATCTCGAAAGTGTGGAAAGAAGCCGCTCAGTGGCAGGCATGGATTACGTCACATCAACACCACGCTGGCAGTGGTAGTGTGCAGTGCATCGGTTCTTCCATTTCCAGCTGGATTGTTCACCAGAAGAAGGCAACTAGAAGCAGCGGGTGGCATACTTATGAACAGCTTGGATCTTATGAACAAGGTCATAGACGTATGCCACGTCTACAACTCCTAGTACCTGGAATCTAGTGTAAACCAGCCCTTGAACATTGATTGAAGGTTGTGCTGCGTTGCAGGGGTGTTATAGTCTTGCCGATGATATTCCTGCCTTAATTTTAGGCTTTGCATCACGGTCGCAATCCCTGGTACTGGGTGATCTACCTTGGTACAACTACTAGTAGACCTCCTGTTCCGTACCGAAGTGCTTTTCTGAATACCTGCAGTGAGGCTTGATAAGGTCTTAGGTACCTCTGGGATCTGGGAGGTGCCTGCAGCAACCCCGGAGGCCGAGAGCCCCCGGGCGGCTAGATTGGGCTTTAGGGCGCCCTGGGGGTAAGAAAGACAGCCTGCCCTGCCTGGAGACTCGGAGTTTATAGCACTCTCTCACAGACCTGCAGTGCACCCCCACGCCTACCCATCACCTCCAGCAAACGTGAGGCAAGCGAAGCCAATGCCATAGCAATTGATATGCTGTGGCCATACTGGCAGAGATAGAGACACTGCGTCTCAATAGAGATAACGACTGTAGGAACTGTTGTCTATGCAGTACTACTACATTGTAGAATGAATGTGCGATACAATATAGTATGAATGATGGCCTTCTGACCCCAGTCATGAGAACAACGTGGTACTACTAGTACTGGAACTTCACTCTCCAGCCACCTGCACTCTCCAAGATCCTCAAGCTAGAACGTCCAGGCCGCCATCCACCACTGGCACTGGCACAGGCACAGCCGACATCATCTGTCGCATTATTATTCTATCATCACTTTCTTTCCCTCAGCGCCCTTCCTGCCAGTGCCGTACCAGGCCGACGTCTGTCCACTCCACTAACCAACACCGTGACCACCAACTCTGCACTCCGCAACCTACTCACTACACTGACGCGACCACGTCCTTAACGCATCCTCCTTTGGCCCTGGTGTACTCACTGATTGTGCGAGACGATCTCGACTCTCCAGCCTCATCCCCTCTGAGGGACAAGTGGCCAACCCGCAGCGCGCCCACCAAGTAGACACAGTAAAGCAGAATCGCGCCTTCATTCAATCGACAGAGCCTCTGCTGCCGAGAACAAGCAAAAGGGCTCACATTCTTTCCACCTGATCATACCCTTCACATCTTCCGCCTCCATCTTGCGATAGGGCAGGCCAGCACAATGGCGGGAACACGCAACTATGATTTCCTGGTACGGACCCAAGTCCTAGATACTGCGCAGTGCGGCCGCGTTATGGCTATGACTGCACTTTGCTTACAGATACTAATATTCACAATGATTCCAGATAAAACTACTATTAATCGGTGACTCTGGTGTCGGAAAGTCATGTTGTCTCCTGCGCTTCAGCGAAGACAGCTTCACGCCCAGTTTCATCACCACGATCGGCATCGACTTTAAGATCCGGACCATCGATCTGGACGGCAAGAGAGTGAAACTGCAAATATGGGACACCGCAGGTCAAGAGAGATTCCGCACAATCACAACCGCATACTACCGAGGCGCCATGGGCATTCTATTGGTGTACGACGTGACGGACGAGAAGAGCTTCAACAGTATGATTGCCCCTCCCTCCTCTTCTTTGTTGCAGGGATTATCTCCTATGCCACCGTTGTTACCGCGGTAAAAACCAGGCTAACTCTTTTCTACAACAGACATTAGGACATGGTTCGCCAATGTCGAACAGCACGCCAGCGAAGGTGTCAACAAGATCCTCATCGGCAACAAATGCGATTGGGAAGAGAAGCGCGTCGTTTCCACGGAACAAGGTCAAGCTCTCGCCGATGAACTGGGCATTCCTTTCCTCGAAGTCTCGGCCAAAGCCAACATCAACATCGAAAAGGCATTTTACTCGTTAGCTTCGGATGTCAAGAAGAGATTGATCGACAGCTCAAAGGAAACCGGCGCCGCTACGGGCAATCAATCAGCCGGCGGTGTCAATGTGGCGCAGAACCAGGGCGCTGGTGTGGGCGGGAAATGCTGCTAGAATGACCATGAGAAGGCGAGACTGGGGCGGAATATTGCCTATGGGATCGCCTCGCGCTTGTTTTTCGGTTTCCACCAGGCGTTGGCGTAGACGAAATCCAGGGAGTTCAAATCGGGTTCAAGAGTGCGTCGAACCATGGCGTGCGAGCCACGAAAGAAGGACAGGGGGCACATTACACAATATCCGGCCAGGCATGGATGTCTCTTGAGTGTCCATCTCCCTCTCGTTGGAGGATCGCACTTTGCTATGGACTACACGCAATGTGTCTGGACAGTCCTCGGGTCCAGAAACTCGTACGAGGGAATGGGCTGTGTTATGATGGCGGCAAAAGACAGGTGCCTTAAGCCTGAACAAAGAGCGGCAACCATATCTTTTGCCCCCTGGGACCGCGAGGTAGGCTCCTTCCATGCAGGACGTATTTTCTTTTCCATCAATCAATGCACTGGCGCGGTCACAAACAGCCACGATACGGTCACAGTAAAGAAATACACTGCATGACATGGCGGGAGGGACAATTCACAGCTCTGAGGCAGGCAGCCAAGAGCACGCCTTTCTATCCGTTCCCAGGCGAGACCTGCCCTAGAAGAATTGGTAGCATGAACGTGAACTAGTTACTACCCGGGCCCAAATCTTCAGAAACAAGAGCGCCGTTGAATGCCCATTGCATAGGTTATATTTCTCGTCATTTCAAGGGGTCATCGATTTCATTTTATTCTTTTATCGTTGAAGAAGGGAAATAGCGTCCATCTGCCACTCTTCTCTCGCTGCACCGGACCGCTATAGCTGCAGTAGATCGGATCGGGTACCGGCTCTTGTTACGCACTGCCACAGCATCTTGGGCTTCAGTACCCCACACTAACTAGATATGCGCCGAGCTTTTCCACCGTGTTGGCAGCCGTGCCAGGTTGTACTGTCTCGGGGTAATGAGTGATAAGGAGGGCTTGCTTCGTCTTGACAATCACGACACCTTCTCGTCCCTGTTGAATTGTAAATGTATTAGTATATCGCATTTCAATTTTGTTCCGAGAGTACAGATTGCTCTGTAATTGTCCAACTGCCTCTGCCTTCTGAAGGCTGTCCCGGAGCATGCGGAACGCAAGGATCAAAGGGGACGGAAATGGACGAAAGGGAGTAGAAGGGCCAAAAACCCACCAGCTTTCCATAAAGACTCGTATCATCGGCCTTGATGACAAAGTATTTCTTGCCCGCGATATGCAGTCCTTTAGTTTGCACCTGCTTGGGTACCGAAGTGTCTTTGTAGGCGCCGACCACCTCTTGCAGTTCCTGCGGTGTGATGTTGAAGTTTGGGGACGTCGCCCACACGGATGTGCCTTCGGCGTTGAAGATGGCGGCTTGGTCGACGTGGCCGGTGCCGATGAGGCTGGAGGAGCGCAATGGAATGTTAGTTGCTGAGGTTTGTAGCTTGGATTGCATATCTAGGGAGGCAGAGTAGAGTGTAGATATGTACCTTTGATCAACGTAGGCTAATTGATTGCGCAAGATTCCTAGTCAGCCCGTGCTTCGCTCTTGATATATAGAAAACACTCGACATTGTCCAAGTGTTCTTTTCGGACTTGGTTTGGCTTACCTTGCCACGACATGGTTTGCTGCGGGAGGGGGGTGAAGTTGAGAAACTTGAACTCGAAGGGTGGTTGTTGACCACTGCTGCAGGGGAATCTTACGGAGCGAGCGTGACAGATGCGGGCGCTGGCGCTGGCAGTCCTGGAGGTCGGTGGGACTGGACAACAGCTAGGGATTGCGCTGGAGACTTGCACGAGAGATGATAAGGTAGTTCTCTAGGTCGGTGTTCAGGAAGAGTTGAGGAATTGAAATGAGGAAAGGATGGATTGATTTGTTTCCGCAAGCCAGTTGGTGCAGTGGAAGCGAACAAGGTAGTGCCTACTGTTACGGTGGTAGTAGTCAGAATCATAGGCGACAACCAAGACCGCCGATGAATGACGGAAGAATGTTTGGTGGCCGGTTTTGACCGGGTACCGCACCGCAGTGGGACTTGTACTGACGCCGGTTGAGCCGCCTATGAAGCCTCAAATGGCACGTAAAACGACTGTCTGACCATGGCACTACCACTGGTACTGCCCCTCCGAGCACTGTCAATGCCGGCCCCGCCTCTGCCACTGGGCAATTCCGGCCCGCTGTTTTCCTTCCGCCCTGCTGCTGGATAAAGAAAGATAAAGACACACCGCAGATCTTCAAATATAAAACGTTATACCTAGGTAGGTGCCTAAACGTCTTGGTATCGCGGTAATTTATAGTGATGCTCAATCAGTGCACTTTCAAGAATAGATATAAGCCATGGGCATCACTGGCACAACAGTACAACATTGTATATTGAAGCCTTTCTCCGCTTAAATATCCGAGCTCCCAAGGCTTCTGTAATCAACGCGTGGGAAGGTTGATAGGTAGATTTGCTCCATCCGACCATGGTACGAAGTCTGCTCCCGGATTTAGCCTTTCTTATAGGTCTGCCACTCAGCACAGTAAGACTGCCAGCACAAGTAACGGACGAAACGTGGGAGCCTTGGGATGAATATCAAGGTTATGATAAGGTATCAACTACCTTAGGTGGGTATATATTCTCAGCCTGTACAGTGCCCTCTTTCCTGGTGGAGCGCATCAGCGTCTACGGAAACGTTCCAGATCATAAACAATTCAAAATCGAAACGCTTGCTTCTTGGTAGGTTTGCTCCCCCTTTTTCTTTTCAAGTCTATAATCATGATCTCCACCCGGCGGTTTGGTCGCCCCGCGTCCATAGATGATATTGGATCAAACCACAAACCCATCACATTTTTGTTCAGGTCATCGCGGCGCGCCGCAGGGCGGGCGACAGCCGGGATCACCTGGTGACCTTTTCTCTTCCGCCGAAAGCAAACAGAAACATCAGACGCAGCCAGGGACGGAGGTCGGTGGTGTCGAGCCTCGCAGCATTGCGACTGCGCAATTCATTGGAGACGTGAGTCACCAGATATCGGGACGTCAACCACCCCTTTCAAGTCTTTCGTGGACACGGCTAAGCACCCGCGCGGGAGCTGGCGAAGTTTTCCATCGACACGTCTCGAGAAGACTTGCTGGGCAATGGGACGCCGTCGTTGGGCGACCATCGAGAAGAAAGCCGAGGAAAGCAATAGCCCGGGTGGAAGAAGGTTTGCATGAAGGTGGCCAATACCAGCATACTAGAAAAGGATCAGTCATCTTCATACATGCATGGATAATCAGTCGGGATATACATACACTCCTTCAAGCACGATAAAGTCGGTTTCATTACGCATGATGGAATTCCGCCAGCCACCAGCCATCTCAATGATTCGATAGACGCATCGAATGAAGATGGTGATCCAGGCAGTGAAGACGCCGAGGGCGAAGAGGCGGAATTTGGTGTCGCGAAGCGTGGCGGATGCCTCGGCCGACAGCGGGTGTCGCGCAAGCGCTCTCCATCGGCGGAAAATGTAAAACGCGACCGAGAGGGCAAAGAAAAATAGCGACACCACCTGCCAGGAGATACCGGCCATCATCAGGTTGTCACCCAAGTCTTGCTGGTCTTGTGTGTCGGCCGTGGACGCTAGTGCACCTCCAATGGCCTGCAGAACAAGCGAGACCAGGTCCGCGAAGATAAAGATGTAGGTATAGAATCGCGGCTTGAGAAGTGAGAACTCCGGACCGAAGCAAAGGGTGACATGCTTGAGGGTCAGATAGATTGCTGCAGAGTTGAAGGCCGGTGCGATGATCAAGCAGCAAATCTGAGTGATGAAACCTGAGTCTGCAAACGGGTTGCCGCGCATTATAAGTCTTCCAATGTAGCCGATGGTTTCCGTTAAACACCCCAGACTCAAGGCCACCATGTACGTCCATGTCTTGTACCTGAACCCCAGACCGAGATTGAGGAAGAAGCACGTGGCGAAAAAGGCGACAAAAAATGCATTCGCCCCTAGGTTGGGGTAGTATCCGTAGATTGAGGCTTCAACCGGACACTCCGGAGAGACGTCTAGGCAAACATCTGAACTAGTAGGCATGGTGGTGTCGTTTAACAATCGAGGGGAAAATATGAATATATGTGTAACAATATAGGCTGGAAGATTGAAAGTTATTGTGTTGTTTGGCCCGAAGAAGAACAGTTGAGGAAGTGATGGAGCGTGCAATGACCGGTGGAGGACGAAGTCACACTTTATCAATATTCTCGAGGTATAGTGGTACCCACAATATGAATACTGATACCGGGGCGTTCGCCCGTAACCTGGAGTCGGTCAAAACATTGTTCCTGCTGCGCCTACCTTTCTCTCGCAAGCCAGTCCCTTGGAAGAGATACAGGTCGTAAGGCCGACCAGCAGCCAAGAAGAGAGCATGGTCAAGCCGCCGGGTACACGTACGGTGATCTCGCAAGCATTTCCTCTTCCATCGACAGGGGACAGCAGCCTTAGGCACCAGGATTCCACTCCATGTCGCTGTGTCAGCGACAGATGTAAATAAGGCTGAGCTAGAAAGTTTTCCGCCCGAAAGGACGGAGCCGATAGACGAGTTGCAGCGAATCAGTGGACATTGGTCCGAGGATTCCGACACACGCACGGTTGACGTGAGGCAATCCTCCGTCCCACAGACTTATTAGACATCATCGAAACCGAGTATTAGTGGAGAGCAAAAGATCTTTTTGGAGTTTCGTTCGCTGCCAGTGGGCACAGGAACAAGCCGCGGCATGTTGTGCAGTGCCTGTGCACAAGTGCCACATACGTTTTACAACAGTAATTTGATTAGCGAAAAGGTCAATATTAGCAACTCATGGTGCATTAAAATCCCTGACTAGACTCAAAATGTACTAGGGTCGGAGCTTATATCAGCAGCAATGCATCGGAGCAAAGTTACTCCATTCGCCGGCGGAAGCTTTTCACAACTTCATCGACCCGAATCTGGCCTTTGAATCCTTCTACAACGGCACAGTCGACTTGACCTACCATGTCATTCTACGACTCTGAACTAACGGCCTGTATACAGCAGCTGCAGCTGAATTGACTCCATTTCTCGAGCAATACATCAAACAGATCGCATAGGATTGCCTAGAAAATAAGCTCCAGCATGTGGCTCCCGGTACTGTATCCGTCACATCCGTGGCGCAGCGGTATATCTGACAGCGCCTACCACACTAACCCGAAAAAGGCGTGCCTTGCGAGCCGGAGGTGGTCGCTGCATCAGTCCGGTGGGTCGCACGAAACAACGTGCCGTATATCGCATTGTCCTCGTAATCGTCCTGCTTGGCCTTCTGGTATGGGCTTTTGGGATGATTGTGAGTTCGGAATGGTCCTTACCTCCGCCCTAGAAGACGCCCCCATACATCGGTGGGCTTACCAAAGAATGCTGAACCCTTCAATTGGAGAGAGCCACAAATGGTGCCAAGGTTCTGAGCCGTGATAGAAGACGACGATATCGTGGCTAATGCTAGACATCGCGTATCGAAATTGGTGCTGCCTGGCATTTGAGTTGCCGAATACATTTGACAAGTTGCGATCAACCAGAAGAGTTGGTTGCTCTGCGTTTCTTGATGAAGGTGTTGTTGCAGGTCAAGGTTATCCGGACTCCATAACGCCATTGCAGAAAACCGGAGATGGTCTACTTCGGTCCATCGGGAGGATGCAAGACTTGTCGAACCAGACGGGTCAAGGTCCGTTCTGTTGCCCACGTCCTCCGTTCTCTGTACTTACCCTGTTTCTTAGTGCGATCAAACAAAACCACACTGCAACAACTGCGTTCGGCGGCATCAAACATGCCCTGGCTATGGCGATGTGTTTGATGCGGCCCATCGAAGCGAGAACAATGTCGTTCTTCGACGTATCGAGCGGCAGAATGCTGCACAGAAAAAACGGCCGAGCAACGGTACGCCATCCGGTGATAGATCGATTGTGCCGTCGACGTTGAAACCCTCCGCGCTTGCCTCACCTCCAGGTTCTGGCATCGCGCTCTGCCGGGTCAATTCCTCAAGTTCCTCAGAGAATGCCTCCGTCTGGGATGAGTCGGACTCTTCCACGTCAATGGACGGACGGGTCTCGAACAACTTTACGTCCATAGTCCCTGGTGTGATCCGGCAAGACCCAAAAGAGGCTTCGATCTGCTTCTTTTTCCATTATTATACTGGCATCGTCCACGATCCCCAGGCAAAGAAAAGCTTCACTAAGCTGTGGCAACCAATGTACCACCACTCGTCGGCCGACTCTCCATTACGACATGCCACTGCCGCAGTCACGGTTAACATTGCTATGATGTGGAATTTCCAGGGTTGTGATTCACCACCTGCACGGAGGCTTTATGCAAAAGCCATATCGTCTACCCGCGAAGCACTGGCTACTCCTTCGAAAACGTCCTTAGACGAGCTGCTCATGACTATTCTGCTCTTTGACCTTTACGAGGCGCTTCTTGCACATTATCTGCCTGAGCTGCCACAGTCTGGCGGACATAAGCAAGGAGCATTGGCCCTCCTGAAACTTAGGGGTGCCTCTAACTATGCCACGGAATTTGGTCGTGAACTGGTGACTGCCACTCGGAACGCTCTTCTTCACCATGCGTTGTCCTGGCGGGTTGCTCTTCCACCTGGCGCAGAAGAGCACCTTGAAAATCCTTTGGTTGAAGACACCAGGATAACACAGCTTGACAAGATTGGGATGGAAATCGTTGATGTGCAGAGCCGGCTATGGAACTTGAAGCGGGAAGCCCCGTTAGCAAGAAGTCCTATTGATCGTCGCCAGGAATATGAGACACTAATTGCAGAAGCGGTCACGATCGACACCCACCTGCTGACGTGGAAACGAAGCATTACATTTCCTCACTGGCACCCACATTACCTACGGCGAGGCGAGGTCACGCCTTCAATTGTGGCTGCCGGCTTTTATGGAGAGCGATGTTCTGTCTGGCACGACCTCGCCTTTTCGAATATATGGAACGAATGGCATAGACGTCGGCTGCTTACCTTGCAGATGATCCGCGATGTCTCCGCCACGGAGCCTAGGATCTTCGAAAACCACAAGTACCGTGCTATCCTGGACAAGGCCAACGCCGACATGCAAGCTTCTGCGGATGCTATCTGTGAATCAGTCCCTTGCCACCTCGGCGACACCGTGGTCCCAACCAATCCGGTACATTCACATGAGATCAATTTCCCGTACAAAGACATTGTGGACCAGCAAACAGGCCAAACCATCCGCATACCGACCGATGCTAATTACAAAACTCATGCCGCCGCATCCGGCGGTTGGGTCATGTTTGCACGCATCGTTGTCCTCTACCGCCTGGCGGAGCCCGAGGACGACGCGCTACCGTTGGTCTTACGGGAGGGTCAATTGGACTGGATCAAGGCACAGATCAAAAGGTTGCAGACCATCTTTCTTTTCTGCAACCCTGTATGGTAGGTTTGCCGCCTTCGTTTCCATAGCTCAATCTAGTCTTGCCTCCAGGTCGAGACAGGATAGGCTGACGTGAGATCTGACCATAGGTTCAAGCGCCTGCCGCAAGGACGTGGGACGACCACTTTCAATATCGAGTCTTGAGCCAAAAGGTAACCAAGGGCCTTTGCTAGCTCTTGGTTTACATGCTTAGCCCCCAGCTTCACGGGCTGTTGTTGTCAGCATTCGGCATGATTTCGTGCCATATCCAAACTGTCTGATCTCAATCCTATGCTGGACCAGTTGTACGTTGGGGAGTTTGCATGCCAAATGGCGTCCGGTTCTTGTCCTCCACTAAATCAATCCCTCTTTCGGGAAAATCTTAGGGACTGACAAAACTGGTGACATGGACCCGAAAACCCGGTCTAACTGTTATTACTCATCTTAGAGTTTGGATCCGGCCGCCTCGCGCTGTGCTGCCCTTCGAATGACAGGCGCAGCAGATGCATTCATGCCAAAGAGAAAAGGCACGAAGGACGGTTGCTAGCTGTATAACGGGCCATTGGCCCGTGGTCAAGGTCAAGTCTCCGTTGGGTCAATTCATGTTTCCGCTCCTTTCTGTGCCGGCAGTCTTCCCTCGGACCAAGACTTTTAGCCACGACAGCTCTTGTTGTCGCAAGGCGCCACAGTTCGGGTGTTCACAGCGCATCCTGGTGGGCGGAGGCAGTTACGACCCCTACTATTCTTGACTCCGCGTTCTCACGAACTCAAGTAACTCACTTGGAGATAGCTTTTTCCAAGAAAAAAAAACCTCAACATCCGGCGGGTTGGCCTGTCGAAACATGTCAGCGCAAACCCGACCGTCCAGCGGCCTCGTGCTGTGCAAGACAGTGCAGGACATGTTTCAAGGGCAGGCTGGGCCGCCGAACCAGCAAAAAGAAATAAAAATATACAATCACAAATCATCATCATCACCATTATTGATATAGTATTGGATGGACATGATGGGGTCCCACTCTACCGAGCACTACGCAAAAAATCTACCACACCCCTCGTATAGCCGACCAACTGGCTCAACCGCTTTTCTTCCCTGTCCATGGCGTCGCGCCACGCGAGCACCGCATCACTCAGCTCCTTGACTTCGCCAACGAAGTCACCATGGATCTTGAGGAAGACGCTCATCCACGTGTTGACCAGTTCAAAGGACTTTCTTAGTCCAAGTTGACTGGTCAGAGCGCGGACAAACACGGACATCTCATGCAGTGTCAGCGAGCGGATCTCGAGGTCGGCGGCAGAAGGAGGCAAAGCCGTCAGATAATCAGCTAGGGGAGATGGGTCGCCTCGCGGATCAGATGCAAACTTGTCCAAGATAGTAGACATTTGCGAGTGATGCTGTTCGGATAGTGCGGTCGACGCCAGCCGGGAGATTCGAGACCGTTCGGTTTCTTCGATTTGTTTGGTATCCTGATCGAGGGCGAGGGCATTGTTGGTGCCGTCTGTGAGAGCGCCGCCATTGATGGTGGTGAGACTTGTCCCCAGGAAGAAGGGGGCGGCCTTGGGCTTTTCCGGAGGCTGGACCGGCTTGTTCCGTTGCCGGATGCTTTCGAGATTCAACAGGGTTTGCCATCTTGACGGAGGAACGAGGGACAATGTAAGTAGTTTCTGGTCGAGCTGGTCTATAGTCGATGATGGACTGTCCACTTGGTCGTCGTACTCTCCCGCTGTGGCACTGTCGGTGGCCTGTTCTATAGCCAATTGGCTCGCAGCTTGGAACTCGGCCGTCTCGCTGAGATCGATGATGCCTTCCATGTCGTCGATTTGTCTGGTTGGAATGTGCGTGAACAAGGTTTTATTCGTCCAGATGTTGATGCCTGGCTGCCCAGCATGTGCAGTGGCTAGAAACTCGCCGGTGCTTGAGAACGCAACGCCCGTACAAGTGGCTGTCTTGAATGCGTCGACGAGATGTCCTGTCGCGAGATCAAAGACGCGAACAACCGAGTCCATGGAGCATGCGACAATCCATCTTCCGTCGTGGGAGAAGCAAAAATCGTAGATCTGGCCCACACATCCCCACAGCTCACGGACTGTCTTGCGAGTTTCGACATCGACGACTCGCAGACATAGGTCGTCGCACGATATTGCCAGCAACCCTGAGACGGGGTTGTAGCGAATAGCTGTGGGCATCGCCCCGTCGAACTTTGTCTTTTCGAGGATCCTGCCTGTGGCGAATTCCCAGTATATGATTGATCCATCTAGACTGGTAGAGACCATGGTCCGGTTGAGATTGTCGACAATGATGCCCGTAATGGCGTCGCGATGGCCTCGGGCTGACGAGGCTACCACTGCGTCAGATGGCGTCTGTTGTTGCAATTTCATTGCTTTGACTTGAGAAGGGGGCAGGCGAGGGGGATACCGTTGACGGTGTGCGCCGGATTGCAGATTGAACATATCGAGACTCCCCCCGGCTGAGCCCACGATCGCGAAGGTGCCGCATGCGGTGATCGCCACACTCGTAACCGGCTTGCGATCTCCCGTCTCAAAGGCCCATCGGCCTGCTTTCTTCCTTCCCCATGACCAGGTTCGTGCAAATCGATCATCGGCGTGGGCCGTGACGATGCTCTCCCATCCCGTCATGCTAACCTCCTCGGCGTTGACCTTCTTGACGTTTTCCCACACTGGACCGTTGACCGCGCCCATACCGCCATCACGGCTCAATGAACAAGCCATGTCGATGATTGGTGGGGCCTTGAAATCCTCGACTCCGGCCGAGTCGTCACCAAGAAGTCCAACCTTACGGGCCTTGTGTTTCACAGCACCTTGACTCAACTCTGTACTCTGTCCATCTTTGCGCAAACTGAGTCCCCACAAGCTTCGGTCCTGGGCCGCGGACAAAAGCCATTTGCCAGCTGCGTCTGACCCATCCGACGCCGCAGGGAGGAATTCGAGCTTCGTAACGGAGGCTGCATGTCCGCTTCTGGAATGCAAGGGACGTGGAATAGGCGAGAACGGGTTCTGATCGAATACCCATGATCGAAGGGCATTGTCTAGTCCGGACGAGATCAAGACAGCCTGACCAGGTAGAAATTCCACCTTGTTCACACCAGTCCCCTGGCCCAAGTTCGATGTCTCGTGAGCACCTCGTATCACACCCATCACTCTGCCGCCACGATTGAGATCCCACAAGGTGATGTCGCCGCTTTCCGTGCTTGATGTGGCCATAACACCGTCCTTGCGGCCGTCCTCGCCTGCCCCCATGCCATCAGTGCGGAAGCTGATGGACGTGACAGGCTTTTTCGTATTTCTCTGACGCAGCTCAAGAACTTGCTCGTCGGCCTCGACATCGACGATGACCAGAGAGCCGTCAGCATACGCGACTGCGAGAAGGCAGATGGCTGGAGCTGGAGCAAGCGCTGTGACAGAGCCAGAACGAGCAGACGGAGCGAGGAGTGTATGTACCAGACGTCCGGTACTAATGTTGTAGATCTCGACAAGGCCATCTCTCCTTCCCACGCAGATTTTATTCAGCAATGTCGGCAAGGTGCAGATCTGCCCGGAGAAAACCCCCTGTGTTCGGCTGTCGATCGACGTGGACGACGGTAAGATTGTAGTATAGTGTTCGTAGGAATCGCTCTTCCAGACTTCGATTGCTTCAGCTCCGCATCCGACGAGCCATGGTCCAAAAACTAGTATCTGCACAATCTCCTGCGGATGCGTGTTGCTGCTGTCGAGCTCCCCGATCAACCGTCCTCGCTTGAATACCCATAGTCCACGGGCCTCATTGGGCTGTGTCCCTCCCCAGGCCGCAAACACAAGATCTCGGTGGGCATGGATGGCAGTGATGCGCTTCGGGCATTGCGGACGGCTGAGAAAGACCAGGTTGAGCCCCCTCCGGAGATCGTAGGTGTGCAGGCTGTTACCGACCGACGTTGTAATCTGGAACGTGGTTTTGCCTAGCGGCACCGAGGTGAAGGGAACTCTAGTGGGAGAAACGAGGCCAAGAGTCTGTAAGAATCTAAGTCAATGGATGTGGCTTCACAAAAGAGAGGTGGAAAAGCCGTACCCTGAACGGAGCAAAAAGTCTGGAACTGGTAGGTTTATTCTCCGTCGAGATCACAGCATCCTCCCGACGCTGCCGTTTCGCGGCTGGGAATTCCACAACGTCTTCCATGATGGAACAGGTGCGGCTCTATGTTGACACCGCCCTTCTCAGGCTTGAACACGATTGTGGTGGAAAGTGGATGTAGTCATGGCGCTGCAGCGGCTGTTTTATTGTAGATTCTCGTGTTTCTGTTTCTGCCGCAACTCCAATTAATTTTTTTCTTTGTCCGACGTTGATTTAACGAGTAGCCAATGACGTCTGATGACTAAGCCTCCAAGCCTGCTACTTCGCCGCAAAACTCACCAGCACTTCTGCTTCCTCTAGCATCATCGTTTATCTTTACTGCTTCCTCTTTCTTCTCTACCGCACCACATCTGTCTCCGGGTTACGGATAGTTCAGTTGTGGGTTTGCTTGTCTCTTCAGCAAATCAACCAGGCATCTCGTGCAACCTGTCCAGACATCATAGTATCCTTGTCCGCCCAATGCATCATCCAGCCTCGCTTCCATCCGGCTGAATGAGCCAGGTTCCAACGCCACAACTCGAAGCTTTCCTTCCCACTTGACCGGGGTGCCTGCACTTCTATCTAACATAGCATCTTGCGAGGCAACAACACCCATCTTCAGAGCTTGCCCATGGCGGAGTCTCAGTCTCCTCTCCAGCGGGCCCCCACCAACACCTCGGGTAACGATCTCGACGAGGCCGCTTCGCTATCAGCCGTGCATTCTGCCGCTTCTTCTGTAACCTCAATCCGGCCATCGCTTCAGACTGGTCGATCTCTGTCAACTCACTCTTTGTTGGCCAGCCACAAGGGCCCGGATGTTCGAAGATCTGTCCACGCTGAGACCACTCGGGCTTCTGCCGACCGTTCTAGTATGAGTATGCCGCCCCCTTCTAAAAAGCCCCTCACAGACCGAAGGTTTTCCAGCCCATACTCCTCGTTCCGGTCTTTCAGGAGATCCGAGGACTTCTCCAGGAGCCCTCCGGCTTCCCTCAGGAGCTTTGACGGAGATAGGCTGCCTCTGGTGACCTCTCCAATTGCGCAAACTCCAACCATCGCCCATGATCATACCCTGGTTACCACTGGATCCAAAACACACGCCTCTGGTTTGCCCTTGCTTTTGCCTCCTACCTCTTTCCAGCTCGGTCCTAACCATACGAGTTTAGTGTCAGGATCATCGTCCCAGGTCACTTCCCAGGCTTCCACGTCCAAGGGCGAACAGTCACTTCCCGCTGGCCAAACCTTGGAAACGGCAATTCATTCACGTGAAACTGAAACCATACTACCTACGAGGACGCCTAGAGTCAGCCAGCCTCGTTCTGTGTCTTCAAACCGCCGGCTGAGCACGACTGGATCCTCCCGGAATGAGAGCGTAGGCGCTGAGCACAAAGCACCATTTGGCCGCATTGGAGTTTGCGCGTTAGATGTCAAGGCAAGAAGTCGACCCAGTCGACAAATCCTGACCCGACTACAGGGAGATGGAGAATTTGATGTCATTGTTTTCGGCGATAAAGCCATTCTTGATGAAGGTAGGGTTCTCTATTTCTTTTCTTACTGTCTGCTACTGACTGACTCGGACAGACGTGGAGAATTGGCCAATATGGTGAGTACTAAATGCACACGCTGAGGGCCGGAACTGTATTAACACTCTGCAGCGATTATCTGATATCGTTCTTCTCAGATGGCTTCCCACTAGACAAAGCTATCGCTTATGCTAGGTTGCGCAAGCCCTTCGTGGTTAATGACCTCCCTATGCAAAAGGTACTATGGGATAGACGGCTCTGTCTAAAGATCTTGGATCAAATGCATATTCCAACCCCAAAACGGATAGAAGTTAACCGCGATGGTGGTCCAAAATTGGAATCGCCTGAGCTGGCACAGCACGTCAAAGCAATGACAGGGGTAGTGTTGGAAGGGCCCGAAGATGGGACCGGTGGCGGTGCCCCAATAACGCAACAGGTCGAGTTGATTGACGATGGCGACACCCTTTTCGTGGATGGGAAGACATTCAAAAAGCCTTTTGTCGAGAAGCCAGTGAATGGCGAGGACCACAACGTCATTATTTACTTCCCCAAGAGCCAGGAAGGAGGTGCTCGACGATTGTTCCGAAAGATCGGAAATAAATCGTCAGAGTACGACCCCAATCTTGTCATCCCTAGGTCCATCACAGAACCCGACAGCAGCTACATTTACGAGCAGTTCCTGAGGACCGAAAACTCGGAAGATGTGAAAGCCTACACCGTTGGTCCGACGTATTGTCACGCAGAGACAAGAAAGTCCCCCGTCGTTGACGGTCTGGTCCGCCGCAATACCCACGGGAAGGAACTCAGGTACGTTACCAAGCTCAGCGACGCCGAAAGAGAAATGGCCGCCAAGGTCTCCCAAGCCTTTGGTCAGCGTATTTGTGGCTTCGATCTGTTGCGGACCGGCACTGCTAGCTATGTCATCGACGTGAACGGCTGGAGTTTTGTCAAGGACAATGAAGACTATTATAATGATTGTGCACGGATTTTACGGAGCATGTTTCTGGCTGAAAAGTTCAGGAGGGAGAATGGCCTTACTGATGAGCAGCCTGATATGGCCGGTGATGGTGCGCATCACCGTCGACAGGGTAGCAATCACCCACACCGGTCAGCACTGAAGACAATCTTGAAGTCGCCTAGCATGGGAAAGCTCTCTCAACACCTACCCTATACTGGGCGGCACCATGCCTCGAGTGTTACGGCGTCGGTGAAGAGCTCGGCTGCAACTACGCCTCTGAGTTCCCCTCCAAGCATAGAGAAGTCTACCCATGCCAACCTTCCCTCCTCCACTACTATTATCGACAATGCAGATATTCTTCCTCCGCCCAAGCTTGCAACATCAGCCCCCGCTGGAATATCTGCGGAGCCTGTGGCACCTGTCAAGCCTGCTGAGCCCGCTGCGCCCTTGCCATCGTCAAAACACTCGTGGAAACTAAAGGGAGTTGTCACAGTCATCAGACATGCCGACAGAACTCCGAAGCAGAAGATCAAGTTCACCGCCCATTCACAGGTATTTGCAGACCTCTTGAAGGGGCACCACGAAGAAGTGCTTCTCAAAGGAGAGGCGGCTTTGGCGAGTGTTGAGGCAGCGGTTAAGATTGCTCAGAAGGAAGGTCTCGAAGATCCGAATAAATTACGAAATTTACAGATTGCCTTGGCCAAGAAGGGTAAGCAGCCTGGTACAAAAGTCCAGATCAAACCAATGTTCCGGAAGAGAAGGCCCGAAGAAATGGGCGATGGTTCGGCAGAGGCCTTGAGGACCAACAGTCAAGACGACTCGAACGTAGCGCCCGATCAATCGGAACTGTCCCAATCTCCAACCACCGAACGGACGACTTCTAAAGAGATGCCACGGATGCAATCACGCAGCGATTCTATATCAGGTACAACCTTTTCGCGGTTTTCGGCTGCAGAAAATGATCTTGTCCTTGATAAGTTGCAACTGGTCATGAAATGGGGCGGAGAGCCGACGCATTCTGCTCGTTACCAATCCCAAGACTTGGGCACCAACATGCGAGACGACTTCAAACTCCTCAATCGGGAGCTCCTCGATGACGTTCGCATTTTCACCAGTTCGGAAAATAGAGTCAGGACCAGTGCTCAAATTTGGGCAGCTGCCTTCCTAGACCGTCAGGATATCCCGGAAGATCTGATCACAGTTAGGAAGGATCTCCTGGACGATTCCAATGCCGCGAAGGACGTCATGGACAAAGTGAAAAAGAAGCTTAAGCATCTCCTTCGAGAAGGCAGCGTCCCGGAAGAGTTTGCATGGCCAAAAGATGTACCGGAGCCATATGTCGTTATGCAGACTGTTATCGAACTGCTCCGGTTCCATCGGCGAGTGATGCGCCACAACTTCAAAAAACTTGCAACAGGAGCAGCTGCGTCTTTGGCGGCCATCAACGGCTCCGCAGAAGGTAAAGACACGAATGGCCAACCGCGAGAGTACGTCAGCGTCGCCTCTATTCAATCTAGGTGGTGTACAGGGGAGGATCCAGAGCTGTTCAGAGAACGGTGGGAGAAGCTATTCACGGAATTTTGCGACACCGAAAAGGCCGACCCCAGCAAGATCTCCGAATTGTATGACACGATGAAGTACGATGCACTCCACAACAAACAGTTTCTAGAGTGGGTATTCACCCCAAGTCAATCACTGCTTGAGGAGATGGCCAAGGAAGAAAGTGCACTTTCGTCGAGCGCTTCGCCTGAGCCCGAGAGAACCGATGACGGCCCTGCCTCGACTGGCAGTCGTGGTCGTCACGAAAGCACGGTTTCGTCAAGTGGAAGCATCCATGATCGGCATAGCTTTGCACAGAAGATCGGTCTCAGAAGGCAATCCATCCTCAAGCAGCCGCTTCCCACGCCGCCTCTGAACTCTTGGGAGCAAGGGGCTTCATACTTCAAGCTCTTCACTGGTTCGGGAGACAGTCGGTCCATGGTTGACCAGAGACTCAGTCGCCTCCGAGAGCTGTATCGGTACAGCAAGATTTTGTTCGACTACATCGGCCCACAGGAGTACGGTATTAGTAACGACGAAAAGCTGGAGATCGGTCTCCTGACCTCTCTCCCACTACTCCGGGAAATTGTGTCAGACCTTGAGGAACTCCAAGCTTCCGGGGATGCCAAGTTCTTCGTCTACTTCACCAAGGAATCGCACATCTATACGCTGCTCAACTGCATTATGGAAGGCGGAATCCATACCAAGATCAAACGATCGACGATCCCCGAGCTTGACTACTTGTCGCAAATCTGTTTTGAGCTGTACGAGGCTAGGGACGCCGAAACCGACGAATCGACCTATTCCATCCGCATTTCTATTTCTCCCGGTTGCCATACCATCGACCCGCTCGACGTGTCCCTTGACTCTAAGCACGCCATTGGAAGCGCGCCGCGTCGGTCCTTGACTAACCACCAGGACTGGAAGGAGGTTATTTCAACCTTGAAAGCCAAATTCAACACTGTCCAGTTGCCCAAATCGTTCCTGGCCGTGAATGTCAGTTACAAGCATGAGGAGGAGGCTCAGAGACGCGCGAGCTTGTTGCAAAGCGAGGCTGCCAAAGAGGAGCAAGGGAAACTGGACCGTGCGGATGGAGAAGCACAGGCAAGAAATAATCCTCCTCTCATCGAGGGCGCAGGAGTTGGCGGCGGTACTAGTACTGTCAACGATGACACTAATGAGGCGCTGGCAGCTCCAGAGTCAGTACCCGCGGAGATACCTTCGTCGGAGACGGAGACGGAGACGGAAATGTCGCCCCGCCCTCTATGACCGTCGAACAAACCAGAGTGATATTGCTAGAGGGGAAGAAGAGTATGTGAGCACGAACTGATTGCCTTTGTTGGGCCCGATGCACTGTCGCTCCTGTCGAGGCCGGGGCTACGAAAACGAACACGCCAAATCGACGTCGTGTCTCACAATGAAGCACCGACTCTACAAAGCATACATGTACATCTTGATGGTTTGGTGGCACTATCGAAGAAGGTGTTTAGAACGTCTTGGTGATGAGGAGTTGGCAGACTGATTACTGCTTACTGTTTATTGTTTATTGTTTATTGTTTACTGTTGCCGTTACGGTCAGACTCGATGATTGTATGTCTTGTAAATATCTTAGAATGGGGCTGGGCTTCCTGTACAACGATGTAGAAGAGTGGCAGCAGTTAAATATATACACTATGATCATGTACATACTAGTACGTATATATCTGGCGGATTAGGCAGTGTACTTAGGTCGTACATTACTGTAGGTAGTTGGGCAGAAACGACACTATGGACATTATTTATCTATGCTGAAACGAGCCGGGTACTTACAGTATGCATGACGGCACATCCTACCTATAATCAAGAGAGCTTTTGTCATGCATTGGCTGGACCCGGAGTGTCGAGGTCAAGCAAGTAGCAAGTTTTATTCTGATGTTTGAAATTCCCGAGTCTGACTCTGGTAGGAAGTTTGAGAATATTCACAAAGTATATCCCACTCCACACTGGCAACCGGATACATCTACCAAGAGATATATATACATATAAGGCATGACAGGCAACTATTGTAACTTATGACCTGTTTTCTTCATATAAAGTACCTAGGCACTGACTCCCGAGATGCAAGTGTATATACAATTGCGCAACGTAACTGCATCAGTACGTAAGGTATGTACATAAATATATATATTGCGAGTTGTTGTGTCAGTTATTTGGGCTCCTTAGACGTTGAACGTACAGTCTACTGTTCCAAAAGCGTTCTGGACGATCGATGGGAGTGAGGCATGGAGGAGTGGATGGTAGAATGTGCCGTCGATTGGCAATAATATACTCTAAAAACATACCTATATGCAGTGCTATGCTATGCAACCTTCTATTTCTAGACCTGTCTATGCGCCTCTTGCAATGCTCTTCTATGGTCATCTTCATGCCGTTTGTCTCTCCTGCGCCTGTTCTTTTTCAATCACGCACTCCTGCCCAAAGCCTGGCATGTGAGGGTCTGTCGTCTTCTTGCCACCCGTTGTCGACCTGCTGTCCTTCTCCTTGTCCATGCCTTTTGCCCAAGCCGTTTCGAAACGAGCGGGGTCTGGGGGATTCCCCCCAGGGTTTCTAGGTCTCCGGTGAACGCCGATAATTCGTCCCTGATGCGAAGTGCTTGTATTGCCGATATACCCGTGCTTCTCTTTGATTGTCACAAAGCAGAGCCGTTCGGTTGATGGGCTGTCGTACAAACATGGCTGTCCCAATCACACGAAGGACGGCTGATTGACGGGCGGCAATCCTTATACAAGCCAGCGGTGGCAAGTAACATGTGCAGGAGGCACGTCTCAGGCAATCCTGGGCTGCGCTGTAGAGGGGTTGCGGTGCCCTGCGGCCAGGGCCCAACTCAATCGATCGTGTAGATGGCTGACAAGAGCGGCCTCAGGATCTCTTGTTGCTCCGTTTTGATCTCAACGACAGGCGAGGGGGATTTCTCCAGTGGATGTGTCGGAGACGCACCCTTCTTGGGTACGACGGTCTAGAACGCTCAAAACAACATTGTTGAAAAAGTGGTCCAAATATCTGCCACTGTAGGGCGACAGGATCTGTTCGAGAAGATTTTGCGAAGCCTTCCAGAGGCAGGTGGTATTGGAATCCGAGCAGTCGCGGATAATTGCAACCGCACAGGCGCTGGCGAGGATGGTTGATTGTTGGATGATATGAAGTTCAGGACATTCTAGTTTGGGATTTCGAAGAAAGGTGGGTTATAAGTATGCCGTTTGAGATCCAGGACTTAGTTTGCTCGCAGTCTGCTGAATCCCTCTTTTATCTCTTTCAGCTCCAGCAGCCTTTTATTTTCGATTTCTTTCATCAATTTTAGGTTTTCCTCCTTCAACTCCTTGAAATCTTCATCCAACTTGTTATGCCATGGGTAGAGAACGAAGACTTGGAAAGCGAGCGCAGAAGTCGCGATCATAAAGTTCGTGATGGAGAAACGGCGAGCGATGAGAGGCATCTTGTGATCGTGAAGTGCTCAGATATTTCTAAATGCGTCTTGTTTGGCAGTGTATGCAGGTCACACGACACGCTATGAGTGCAGTGTATTGGTAGAGAGCGAAGACTAGACAGACTGAACGAAGATAGTAAGCACGAACAACAGAAATAAGGGAGCAGAAGCGAAAAAGAGAATCAAATCCTGACGGCGCATGCTGCGCCTTATGAGGACTCACCGTCGACCCGATACCGGCAACTTTGTCGTGTTGTTGCAGTCTTTCTCGAAGTTCGTGGCAAGAGTGGAGGATCTTGAACCATCTCTCCATCATTCCATTGGTTGAAGCCGAAAGCCAGAAGCTCGCTTAGAACAATCGAGGTCCTTGGGTACCGCTCTCCGGCCACAGCGCTGGAAATGGGTCAATTAGGATCGGACATTGCCGGAGCAAAAGCGATTAGCTCGCGCGGTGGATGGGATGGCTTGCGGGTCAAGTACGGAGTAAGAGGGTCTGGACTGTGGGTAGACTGAACGTTTTTGCGCCCAGGCACTCCTTAGGCATCTGAAGCCTCGATCAATGACAATCAAATACCCCGGTTTGTCTCGTGAAGATGTCTGGCAGCTGTCGTCCAGACGGATCTTGTTGGAAGGACCGCCGTAATATCCGGGTCTGGCACTGTAGTGTCAGTGGGAGGATGCAAGGAGAAAATTTTGGGGCAGCAGAACGCGTGGAGGGGGAGATTTGCACGTGACAATAGCCCCACGTGATAAGCAGTCGGCCCACTGTTACGGAAAAAAGATGGTCCATAGCCGACCGCCACATCACCTGATGCCTCGCTGTCGATGTACAAATTGTCAACTCCTCGACACTTTGTCGTCCAGTCAATTTCGAAGCAGCTCTCCACTACTGGTTCGCTCTGATCCAACTTGAAACCGACCCTCGCGCGGTCCGTCGGGTTGGCCCATCGTAAAGTTCGAAGCCGTCGGAACTTGAAGGCTTCCCCAACTTGAATTCCAACGTACAACGGTGTACAACGTACTCTACCATTCCTGCACCAAAACGTTGGTGAACTGGTTCGACATATACCACATGTATTGTCCTTTCACTTCTAGATGGACTCCTCTCGTGCATTCGAAGAGAACGTCCCCTGTTGTCCAAATTTTGGCATGACACTCAGCCTTGCGCCTTCGGACACTGGCGCACACGTCCACCTCCTCCACTCCCTGCCAAGCGATATCCTCGATACTCGCGACCTTGAGTGTTTCAAAAATGTCGTCTCCTGTTACTGCCTCGCACAGCAGCAGAACACCGACGGTCTCCTCTCATGGATATGTGAACACACACAGACTTTGATCGCGTGCTACGAAAGCGCATACCCTCCCCGTCAGGCCTGTTTCAGCAGACCAAAGACCCCTGACTGAAACTGCGTTTGTCTAGTCAACAGTGTCACGCAAGCTGGACTATGGTTGCCTTAACGGTAGCTCAGTCAGCCCACGAACGGTGAGTTGCTTGAACTCCAGGTCAAGACTTATAGTTGACTGGGCATTTCTTCGAAATCTTGTTGTTTTCTTCTCTCTCGGTGTGCGCTGGTCGACCCATCCCGGAAGGACAAACGGTTGCTTATTGTTAGGCGTTCCGAGCGAGGCTGGTCCTCAGTCCTGCTTTATACAACCTACTTCGTTCTGCTCGTTCAGGATACTCTAGTCGATTGACTCTAGAATGCTCGCTGAGTTGTCTCAGTCAGCATGCCGGCCAGAAAGTTCATTCATTGCTTTGACCGGTCCAAGATCGCTCCCCTTAGAGAAACATCGCATCTGTCCAGCAGCTTGAAGATCACGAAGCGTGATGCCCCAGAAAAGCCACCACAGCCTCCTGCACCGGGGTTCACTATTGCACCCAAGGTGCCCCCTGGCCGGTCCCACGACGACTCCGACGACGAAGACGACAATGATGGAATAGAAGGGGAGTCTGATGACGACTTCAACTCATTCGACTCTAGTACCGGCACCCGGTCAACCAGCACAACTATTCCCTCTTCCACATCCATGGCGAACATGCCGGCTGTAACTCACACGACAGTGACCAGTTCAAGGACCATGAGTTCCCTCCCGACATCTACAGTACCTGGCTCCGCCGCCGTTCCTCTGCCTCCGGTGGCTACAAATGGAGCATCGACAAGCTCCGGCAGTTCCAATCCCACAGTGGAAAGCTCCAAATCCTCGCCCAACATTGCAGCAATTGTAATAGCGTCGCTACTTGGTGCCGCGTCAATCGGAGCTATACTCTACCTTCTACTACGGTACTGCAAACCGCTGAAGGCAAGAATTTCAATGCTCCGGGCGCGAAACGGCCAAAGATTATCCGAAGAGGACGGCACAACTCCGCGGAGAGCGATTACAGAAATGTCACAGACCGACACCTGTCTTGGAGCTGGAAATCCAAGAGGCTGCCTACCCAATGCCCCTTCAAACGAAGCCACCCTTCCGGCGCCGCCTTATGTCAGATCTGTTTCAACCAACGTGCCAGGGATATTCATACGGTCTCCGCAGTCTTCGTCCCGTGGCATTGTACAGAATGCGGATGCCGACAATCCTTTCACTGATGAAGCAAGCTTATCTCGGAGCAACAGCGATGGTAGCATGCGCAGCACTGCGGACGCTCGTCTCAAAACAGCTGGTGCTGGGGGCCTTCCCACACACAATTCCGACTTCACTCTGGCGGACTATATGGCTGCTCGTATGTCCATCAGTGCCAGGTCCCACCCTGGCGGTCTTAGCAACAATCCTCCCACGATTCTCGGCTCGGATGACGGCGGGGATGACGACTACAATGAAGAAAGGGTAAAAGCACAGCCATCGAAGACAGGCGGTCAGCTTTCGCTTCCAAATCCGTCTCACCCAGAGTTGTCAATCCCATGCGCGGCTCAGTTAAAACCGATATCGCCATTGACTCCGTTACCATATTTCAGCACCCCTTCCCCACGTCCAGAATCCGGCTCGGTCATCACGTCGCCAGGTAGTCAGTATCAACCACGCATTCGCAAATCCATCACCCCGTCCGACAGCGTATCGAATGCGCCGTACTCGCCATCTCCGTTCCCAATGGAACTTATGCCACCTACCTTACCAGCCGGCACGAACTCGCGATGGAGCCGGAACTCTTCAAGCGTCAACGGGCGTAGTGCCGGGACAGCGGATGATACTATCGCCCCTCCGGGAGTAGAACAAGTGGCAGCAAGTCCGTTGCGCAGAGTCAGTTCAAGCAGCCCAAGGACCAGTGTTGCAGAGAGCAACGGAGAGGTACTGCCGACTCCTGTCCCACATGTGGTCAGCCGGAGACCTAGTTCCTCTGCTCCTTCTTCTAGAAGTAGCAGGTCCAGCAGGTAGAGCACAGTTCACGGGAAAAATCTACGAGATGAGGAATTGGATCAGGAAGACAAGCCAAATCATTATAACTATATCCTGTACAGGACCACCTAGGCAGCATTTAACTTAAATCTGATACTGTACCATCCAGGACTCTACATGTACACTTTGGCTTGTCTTCCATTGAGCTGATACACCGTATACCGCGTTACGTTACCACGTTACTTTACTCCGACGCCATTGAACGAAGAGAATTAAAGGCTGGATGCCGCCAAAGCCTGCAGATGGCATACCTATGCATCAAGCTGTCTGGTGCCGACAGACAGTCCAGTAACAAAAAAGCAATCATCATTCGTTGACAGCCCGGGGTGATGCACTGCATGCAATATCTCCGTCTTCAATCGTCCTCTCACAGCATCGAAGCTTATCGGACTCTCGCTTGCACCTCGGTAGCTTCATGCGACAGCCTCGAGGTCTCGTCGAATCGACGTGCGACAATGCAGCCACTTGAAGTAATCGTTTGAGCGATCCCTGACATCAGATGTTTGTAGGTATCAATATCGCCAACTTTCGTCCTTCGCTCTCGTCAGGGTCTTTGCTCCGTCTAATGAACGGAAGCCAGGCTCTTTACATCCCGTGAAGGATATTACAGTACCTACCCAGTACAGTTCACTGGCAGTAGCAACAATAGTAGGTTAATGGGGATTCTCAGAGGGTTGAATAAAAATAATGAAATGGGGGGCAATGATCCCCCTGGCACAACCGCGCTCATCGCTCATCGGCGAGCTCCGACAGAATAAAATATACGAGATTGTACAACCAGTTGCTGCAAGGACCAATCGTCCGACAGCAGAATGCCGCATCTCACCACTGCCATGCTTCTCAGGCTCTTGATCAGCGATCTGTTACAGTACTACTAGTATTGTACCTATCTACCTAGGTAGAGGTCCTCAGCGGTGTGTCCCTGCAGTTGCAACAACTTTGTTCTGCCACTGTGATGCCCCGCCGATAAGGAATCCCAGTTCTGTATTTTGAACGCGGCCCAGAATTACGTATAACTTCTGTACCAGGAGTACTAATACTACTACATACTCCCTTTCCCTCCCGATATCACAGTCCCTTTCTTCTACCGACTCTACCGTCACGTCATGCAGCGCGCCGTAGAAAGACTGAACCGCGAGTTTCAAACCCTTTCGCCCTCGGGAGCCGGTGCAAGTGCTTCCTCCAGTTCAAGTTCGTCAACCTCCACCACGATGGCCCCCAAGGTCGCAGCGGCCCGTTATGGCAAGGACAACATCCGACTATACAAAGTGGAAAAGGACGAAGCTACCAAAACGCACACTGTGTACGAGATGACGGTGCGCGTGTTGCTGGAGGGGGATATTGAGACATCGTAAGCCAGAAGAGCACCACCACCACCACCACCACCACCATTATCACTACTCCTCCTCCTAGTACAAACTGACAATTCGTCTACAGATACACCCAAGCAGACAACAGCGTAGTCGTCGCAACCGACTCAATGAAGAACACAACCTACATCATGGCCAAGCAGCACCCGGTGCATCCTCCGGAACTATTCGCATCCATTTTGGGGACTCACTTCGTCGAGAAATACAAGCACATCCACACCGCACATATCGACATCATCCAGCACCGATGGACCCGAATGACCGTCGACGGGAAACCGCACCCGCACTCATTCTACCGCGACGGCGAGGAAAAGAGACTGGTCACAGCGGATATCATTGAAGGCAAAGGAATTGAAATCAGGTCTGGCATTTCCGACCTTTTGGTCCTAAAAAGCACGGGCTCCGAGTTCCATCATTTCATCCGCGACGAGTTCACCACCCTGCCCGAGGTATATGACCGTATCCTTAGTACCTCGGTCGACGCCGGCTGGAAGTGGTTCACGTTCGGTGACCTCAATGCTGTCAAAAAGGACGTAGCCCTCTTTGACGATACCTGGTCCAAAGCCAGAGATATCACTTTCCGTCTCTTCGCCCTCGAAGAGAGCCCCAGCGTCCAAAACACAATGTACAAAATGTGCGAGCAGATCCTGGCTGCGCAACCGCGCGTCCAGGCCGTCGACTATTCTCTGCCGAACAAACATTATTTCGAAATCGATCTGAGCTGGCATAATGGTCTCAAGAACACTGGCAAGGATGCCGAAGTGTATGCGCCTCAAACGGACCCCAATGGTCTGATCAAATGTACCGTGACACGATGATTTTTTGGCGAGGTCAGCGGATGTAGGAGGGGGTTATGATCTTTGCTGGAGTTCTCGGATTAATGTCCATCTAACATCTTTTTTGTAGATATACACCCAAATGGTAGTTTTTATACATTTCTTCCTTGCTCAACTCCGCGATTGAGTGGTTTCCGCTTCCGACGCCAGTGCAGTAAAGAAAAAGGTTTCATGAAACGCTCGCAGACGCTTTGGAGGCTTCGATTGCCTGCGTGACCGGTCCGGACGAATGAGGTTTGCCAGCGAATTTGACAATGTTCGGCTTGTAAGGGTGTGCTGAGCCTTCGAAGACTTTTAATCGGGCAAGCCTCTTGTCCCGTAGCCGGTTCTTGGGAAGCATCCCTCGCACGGCTCGCTTCAATACCTCGCCTCCGCCCCATTTCTCGATCATCCGATCCATACTCATCTGCTTGAGGCTGCCAGGACGCGTGTTGTGGGTGTAGTATTGCTTTTGTAGTCTCTTTTTCCCCGTAACATGGATATTGTGGCATCCCGTAGCCACCACGTAGTCGCCGCAATCGGTGGAAGGATCCCAAATCGGTTTGTGTTTGCCCATGAGAAAGACAGCGATCGAGGTAGCGAGTCGTCCTAGTGAGCGAGTGTCACTGCCGACATCGATGTGGTGCCATGTGCGAGAGTAGGCAAGACGGGTCTATCGCGTTGGATCAGTGAGTCGCACAGCTAGAGGCCTGGACATTGTGCCGTACCTTGCCTATTGTTTGAGACATGATTGATAAGCGCTATCTATACATGAAGAGGAACAGTCGGTCACAGACAAGCACTTGCTTGACTAATCGATGAATGGGTGGTCGAGACGGGGAATCGTCTTGATCGAAGGGCATCAATCGTTCGGGACCTCTTCCTTCGCAGCCAGGTCCGAGTCCGAGTCTTCGAATGGAGCTGGATGCCAAGAACTTTCAGCGGTTTACCTTATGTTGCTGCACCGGAGCGGCGGCCGCGCGATTATTGGCCCGCGCTGCAGGTAAGACCAGGCAGTCTATTTGGGTTTAGTGCACTTACATCTTGGCAAAATTCCGACTCGCACACTGCACCAGCAAATTGAAGATACACTGGCAGCGCAAGCCATCTCCCGCACTCTCGACACGACAACCAATTCTTCACCAACTGCTTTTGCTCTGTGACCCTGCCGCCAATTCAAGATGTCGGCTCCTCAGAGTGTGCAGTGCTTCGGCAAGAAAAAGACTGGTACGGCTGGATCTCGATGATTACCGACTGGGGGGCATGGAAATGCTGACAGTTCTCTCTCACAGCTACCGCAGTCGCCCATTGCAAGAAGGGCAAAGGCCTGATCAAGGTCAACGGCAGACCCCTCGCGCTGGTCCAGCCCGAGATCCTGCGATTCAAGGTATGCGGCTACACGGTCCAACAGGAAAATTCGCGAAAGAAACGGACGGAATAACTTACACTTGCGGCGCAAATTTTAGGTCTACGAGCCTCTCTTGATTGTCGGCCTTGACAAGTTCGCCGATGTCGACATCCGTGTTCGAGTCACCGGTGGTGGCCACACTTCGCAAATCTATGCCATCCGACAAGCCATCTCCAAGTCCATCGTCGCCTACTACCAGAAATTCGTCGACGAATACACCAAGAACCAGCTGAAGCAGGCCCTTGTCCAATACGACCGAACGCTCCTGGTTGCCGACAACAGACGGTGCGAGCCCAAGAAGTTTGGTGGTCCAGGTGCCAGAGCGAGATACCAGAAATCCTACCGTTAAACTGCCGCGTTGGGCGATGGGTTGTTTGTGGCCGGAGTGGTGCGAATTTTCAGTGGTTGTCATGTTTGGTCATGGCAGCTCTGGAGCGGTACGGACAAGGATGCAGTGGATGGTTTTCAAATATTGCACGGCGAGGATTCGGAGCAAAAATCATGGCATGAATGACGAGATTTCGTCCATAAGCTCAGACGTCGGCGCCTGAGATGGCAACCCATATCAGGGTATGCGTTTGAGGGCAAAAAAAAGAATACAATTCACAAGTTCAAAAACAACAGCGTCAGAATACTTGACACGGCCTGAGTGACAAGTGCTTTTTCGACTTCCCCACGAGTCTCGCAGTTTGTCTCGCTTGCATCCAGGCTGATAACCTGCTGGAAAGGTTGGCCAGCCAGTGCCAAACAGTCTACGTTTCGACAATGACCGGAGCATATTCCCCAGTCTCATCATCCTCATCGGCACCCTGCAATGTCAACTCAACGCTCTCGCCATCCTCTAGCTGAACCATTCCCCTCCTCAGGACATCCTTCTCATTCTGCCAGCCGTATCTGTCCTCGAATAACCTCTGTAGAGCATTGACTTCTTTCCGTAGAGCCTTCCCTTTGCCTTCCTCTTTTTCATCAGCAAAAGCCTCATCCACCAGCACTTTGAACCGGGCCCAAAGCGACCTCAACCATGAACTATTAGTTTCATCCCTCAACTCGAACAGCCCGCCCTCTACATCGTCAACATGCTGAATCTGTGTCCCCAGGATCCTGACCAATTCGACAAAATACGGCTCGACCTCAAGCAAGGCTTTTTGGCATGTCAGACACACGCTGAGCAGCCTCTTCCACTGCTCGAGACAGCTGTAGTTGGCGAGCGTCAGAACCATAAGAAAGCAAAACTGCAACTCTCCCAGAACTTCCCGGGCTCCAAGCGTCCTGTCGCCGTTGGCCGGCGTGAGCGTGTCGATCAGTTGACCCAGGTACCAGCTTCTATCTCTTGCCCTTTCCGTCCTCGTGCCACCAATGTCGCTGCTCTCCCACGTCTGTTTCAGGTTGATCGGCAGCAGGTTCAACGGCGACTGGTGCAGCGCATTCGTGGTCTCGAGGTGCGACAGGCCTGGGATATGTTCGGTATCGCTGGGCGCAGATGAGATGGACGACACGATCCACTCAGTACTGGACAGTACGCGGTCCAGGAGCTTTGGAGTGATGTACTTGGACAGCTTCGGCCAGTCCTCGGTGCTTTCAGCAGTTCTCTGCTCATTTCCGGCGCCGTTGTTGTCGGCCTCAGACTCCCGTGCGTTCAGGTCAGAAGTAGCATCCTGGAGAGCTGTGTAGTCGACCAGTCCTCGACCGGAAGATTCGGTGAAAGCAGCAATGGCGTTCCGTGCAGTCTGGTTACCATGGTCCAACAGGTCCAATGTTTCCGTGTCGCTGTTCCATCTGAGGACTTCCCACGGCGGTCTCGGTCCGCCTGGTTTCAATTGGATCCATCGTCCGTGCCGGATCGAAAGCGAGGCATGAGTCCCCGTGTATATGAAGTGCACTCCGTATGGTATGTTCGTGATGCCGTGGAAGTTGGGCGACGAGTTGAACGACAGGAGGTCTATGCCAACCAGCGTCCTGGGCGGGAGCGAGAGCAACAGCAGAGATGGCGTGTTATTGTTCTGCGAAGCCATTCGTGGAGACACCTTAACTCAACAATTTAAAGGGCAGGATCTTACAATTACAAGAAAGTGGAACGACCAGAAACTAGAAGAAAAGTTTTATGTGGACGAAGGTGGTCGAAATTTCTGGGTATTGATTTTCCATCATGCGAATAAGCTACATCATCACCTGCGCCATCATATGCAGCGGCAGAAGAATCATAGTAATAGTCGCGCGACAGCTTTGAAGACCAGGCCAAAATGCCGTTCTTCGCGTATTTGTTGACAACCACCACAGCATTTGCTGCCTCCCCCGAGTCCACCCTACTGCCATAGAGAGTACGTTGGCATCTCTGTTGTAGCAGTGAAATTTTTGATTCTGAGACAAAAACGTCCGGGTTCCACGACCACGGCGTCTCGCTCACAGACGACGACCACGACGACCACCCTTGCGTCTCGTGCTGTCGGACGGAGTAGGGGTGACATCCTCGATTCTTCCGATTCTCATTCCCGAACGAGCCAAGGCACGGAGAGCAGATTGAGCACCCGGGCCGGGGGTCTTGGTGCCGTTTCCACCGGTGGCTCGGATCTTGATGTGCAGAGCAGTGATGCCGAGTTCCTTGCATCGCGCAGCGACGTCCTGAGCTGCCAACATGGCGGCGTAGGGAGAGGACTCGTCACGGTCGGCCTTGACCTTCATGCCTCCAGTCACACGGCAGATGGTTTCGCGGCCACTGGAATCACCCAGAATGTTAGCCTACGTTCCCATCCATTTTTTTTATTTGGTATCTGGTTCCAAGCACTCCAGGCTTCCAATGGTCGCCTCGATTCATCGAAATAAATCGTTTTCGGTGAGGATTTCTGAGTGTACTTACGAAAGATCGGTGACATGGACGAAGGTGTCGTTGAAGGAAGCGAAGATACGCGCGACGCCGAAGACCAGTTCACCTGTACAAAAAGCCTCCGTTAGTCTCGAAACCGCACAGAAACTCTCGATGCGGCAATTGTAAACTCACCTTCGCGGACCTGGGGGCCCAGCGAGATGTTCTCGGTCGCGGAACGCTCAACTCTCTTCTTGGGAGGCATCTTGATATGGATGAAGAAGGAGGAGGTGGTTGAGGTTGGTAGGTGTAGTGGTTGTTGGTTGTCGTGGGGAGTTTTTGAACTCTTGAGCGGCTTGAGTCTTGTGTGTGAAATTCCCAGCCGCGGTGCAAAAAGGGCCAGTGGTGCACTAAACCAGATTGGGTTGGAAGTCTTGGCGGCCTGAAAGACCCAACTCGAAGTTCGTGTTTTTCACTTTTCCGTCGCTGTCCCCAACTTCAAGTCCAGTTCACCTCCTATTTCCACGCAGGATTCGGTTCCGTGACAGCAAATGTGCTCTGCGGAATTCGTACTTGTGTCGCAGCTTCTTGAAGCCGGGTGGCTTTCGCCCGCATTGCCCTCGAATCGTGCTTTTTGTTAGCAGCAACTTGTTGACCTTTCAGATCCCTCATCATGGAAACTCTTGCAGTGGGCATCATCGGCATGGGCGACATGGGCCGCATGTATGCCAAAAGATTTAGCCAAGCTGGTTGGAGGTAGGCAGAAAGTCCTCTGTTTCTCGGCGTAGTGGTCGGCGCAGCTAGTTTATTCAGGTATGTCTCTATCTACTTCCCTCACACCCACCCTACTGCCTTCGAGGATGACTTGAGTGCATTTGGCTCGAGCATGGTAATCGCAACTTTGCTTCATCATTCTGGTGTTGCATCCTGTTGTGATTACTGTCAATGATGTAAATACCTCGCTACCTTAATTTTAGTTTGTCTGAAGATGTTTTGATTGCTATCACCTCCTTACCTGTACAGCACTCGGGAGCTTTGGCTAATCAACCATATTTACAGATTCCATTTTCTTTGCTATTGCATATATCTATAGTGAGCTGATGGAAAGCCATGCAGAGTCAACGCTTGTGATCGACCAGACAAGTTCCAGTCACTCCAGACGGAGTATGAGAATGAGGTTTGTGTCGCCGACCAAGCTTGATGAGCATGATTGACCAGACATTAGAAAGCAATAAATATATTACCCAATGGTCATCTCGTTTCCCGGGCTAGCGACTGGATCATATACAGTGTCGAGGCCGAGCTCATAGAAAGGGTTGTTGCCGAATATGGCCCTTCCACAAAAGTGGGTGCCATAGTCGGTGGGCAAACTTCCTGTAAAGCCCCAGAGCTCGCTGCCTTTGACAAATATCTGCCTAGTGATGTCGAGATCGTTTCCTGCCACTCTCTCCATGGCCCTGCTGTAGACCCAACCGGTCAACCCCTTGTTGTCATCCAGCACCGTGCATCACAGAAGAGTGTTGATACCTGTGTCCGGATACTCTCCTGTCTCAATTCCAAAATGGTTTTTCTTTCTGGGGAAATGCACGACCGCATCACCGCCGATACACAAGCAGTCACGCATGCAGCTTTCTTGAGCATGGGAACCGCATGGGCGGCAAACAAGCAATTTCCATGGGAGATCGACCGGTACGTGGGCGGCATCGAGAATGTCAAGATCAACATCACACTGCGCATCTACGCCAATAAATGGCACGTCTACGCCGGCCTGGCGATTTTGAATCCCGCGGCCCGAGAGCAGATTCGACAGTATGCCCAGTCGGTGACTGAACTATACAAGCTCATGCTAGGTGGCCATCGTGAGGAGTTTACCCGGAGGGTCAAGACCGCTGGCGCGGCGGTGTTCTCGAGTGAAACATTGAACCACAACCTTCTCCTTGGAGATGAAGTCCTGGACAAATTCTCCCTGTCGAAGCGACCTAAAGAGCGAACCCCGAACAACCATCTCAGCCTCCTCGGGATTGTGGATTGTTGGTGGAAGCTAGGAATCGTGCCATACGACCACATGATCTGCTCCACGCCGGTAAGTCGCCGTGACGCAGTACAGGTCCCGTTGCTGACGCCCCCTTAGCTTTTCCGGATATGGCTTGGAGTGACCGAGTATCTCTTCCGCAATGAGACTTTGCTGGACGAAGTCATCAACACAGCCATCGAAAACAATACTTTCCGTTCTGACGATTTAGAGTTCACCTTTGCGGCCAGAGTAAGCATAACTCCTCTCCAGGGTTCACTGAGTTCTCTGCCGAGCATGGCAGTGCTTCTCCACTTGGAAGTTTCCGCGATCTGGATTGGTATCTCGATATCTTTGCGCTGACGTTGTGTTTCACAAACAGGCATGGTCCGAATGCGTCTCCTTTGGAAACTTTGAGGCATATCGCGACCGGTTCGAAAACATTCAACAATACTTCGCGCCGAGATTCCCGGAAGCTGTGAGACTCGGCAATGAGATGATCAAAGAAATCATGATGCACACTAAGTCGTGATGTTCCATCCGGACCATGAAGCTCAACGAATGTGGGAAACCCCACCATTCGAGCTAGGAGTCAAGCGAGGTTCTCAGCACGGTGCCGGCCACCCTCGACATCTCGCTGTGCGGTCCTGACCATCCCGGATAGTCATCTCGACAATGTATGTTTCAATGGGCACACCTTAGCATCGAAGCGAGCTATTCCGGAGGGCCCAAGCAATGTATTGCACAGCAAGCCAAGCACACTTGCGCGCGGTTCGCATTAGAGCTACAAGATAACGCGCGTACATCACTCCTTCATTGTCACGTTGGGACATCGCTTCTCAAGATATGCAGGGCCAAATAGGTGGCAGGTTGGGTTAGCGGGCCCGCGATGATAAGTCACACCGTTGCCTGCGGACGACTGCAGAACTTTGTGCAACAAGGAATCTAAACGGCAGCACGTCGTCTCCGTCGAATGTTGGCGGGATACTGGTATCTCGACCACGGCTGCGGATGAGTGACGGCGTGATGCCAACGCGCAACAACTCGATTGGAGGGAATGTACATGCACCTGGCTTGCCGCATGCTGGATATCGGGCCAAGACACGAAGACGTTGCGCGGAGCTGCGCCTCGTCCAGGTTGTCCTATGTTGTATCCCAATGATACCTTCTCAGCAGCGAGAGATCTGAGGCTGGCTACCCCTACATTAGACATGGCCGTGGGGCGCAGTACACGGCTGAAGGGTCAAAAATACGCACCATTGGTGCCTGACCACCTCACCGGCATTATCCCCAGTGGTCCCTATTTCTGTCAAGAATATGTCCGTAAGCGCGAGGATGCTTGCTTCCCGTCGGCCAAGAGAAGCCCAGAAGCAACAAGCATACAACTACTTCATTAGCATACCGCCAATGACGGGACAAACGATGTTGATGACAGGGGCTGAATTTAAAGTCGGCGGACCTTGCGCTAGGCAAACCATTTCCAGCGAACTAAATGAAGCGCAACCAATCCATGGGGCCGCTGTCCGGCGCTTGTCTTGTTGACACCATATTTCCGCCATCCTTCAGCCCCTGTTGAGATGCTATTTACAACTTGAACTACAGTATGTCCAGCCTCGCCTTCCGGAGTGAGTCCGCGGCGATCAGCACTTCCCTTCACATGTCCCAGACGACAGCACCTAACTGCTATTGCTGCATGATGTTGATGCCCTGCAGCGAATAGTGTCTGTGCACCAGTCATCCTGGCCAGGGTTGGAAACCGTGAGACCAGCGAGTTGATGCCAACACCGTGTCAGGACAAGGGGGTAACACGTTTCAGAGCTAAGTTACCCATGGGAGCGCCATTGGCAAGCCACGAAACGCGTACCCCCCGTTTCCAATTTGCCCTTGCTTTCATGTTCGTGAGATTTATTAAGATACACCGTCTACTGCCGTTCTTCGGTGGGCTTCCTCTTCCCCAGAAATCCTTTCAACTACTGCCACGAAAATAAACAACGTCCCAAAAAGCCTTCCGGGGCAGTAAACTGGTACTTGACCATATTCAGATTCACTTACTACAGTACGTGGCCGTCTACGGCTATACGTTAAGACACCATGGCCTTTCGGAGAGCCTTCGCCGCGGCGACTCTAGGTACTTTTGTTCTTGCTCATGGTATACATTGACAACATTACTAACATATCCGTAGTTGCTGGCACGGCCGCGGCCCAAGTTGCCACATTCTCCTCCGGTGGTTATGGGGTTGCAGTCAACGTCCCGTCAGACACAGCCTCGTCTGGGAGTGGGCCCATCTACCTCCAAATCAGTGCTCCCAGTGGCACAGAATGGGTTGGCATTGGACAAGGCTCAAGAATGTCGGGTGCAAATATGTTGGTGGTTTATGCTGCCGACAGCTCGAATGTGACCGTCTCCCCGCGGCTAGGCACGGGTCATGTCGAGCCTAAGGTCAATTCAAATGCACAAATCTCCGTGCTCGAGGGCAGCGGTATCACCAGTGATGGGCAATTGATTGCCAACATCCGATGTGACACGTGCCTCAGCTGGAGCGGCGGCAGCATGTCCGTGACCGACAAATCCAGCAAATGGATTTATGCTTACAAGTCTGGGGACGCCATCGCCTCGACCAGCACCGATGCCGATATCTCCCAGCACGACGAGAATGGCGCTTTCACGCTGGACCTGACCTCCGGGACTGGCGGTAGCTCTGCCAACCCCTTTATATCCTCTTCTGACGGTTCTTCATCCTCCGCAACTGGCAGTGCGGCGACCGCTTCCACAGCCACTTCAACCGCCACGGCAGGTGTTTCAAACCCTCTGGCAAGCTCGAACCCGTCAACCGTTGGATCCAGTCACACGTCCGTCGGTGGGCCAGACGACAAGCTTCGAATTGCCCATGCCATTGTCATGCCGCTGGTGTTTGTGCTTCTGTTCCCCTTCTCTGCTCTCACAATCTATCTGCCGTATCATGAGAAGGTCCGACATATTCATGCTCCCCTGCAGATCATCAGTCTGTTGCTTATGATTGTTGGCCTCGGTCTCGGTGTACAACTCGCCAAGCAACTGGATGAACTTACTGGCTACCACCAAAACCTGGGTTACGTCCTCGTGGTGTGGATGGGCATCATTCAACCCGCCTTGGGTCTGGGCCAGCATCTGCACTTCCGAAGGAAAGGCACCCGCAGCCCCATGGGTCACACCCATCGCTGGATGGGCCGATTCTTCATTATTTTGGGCATTGTCAACGGCGGTTTGGGCTTGAAGCAATCTGGGCCCATCGGAAACAAGAATGCTCCGACCTGGTCTGTTATTCTATACAGCGTGGTCTCTGCAGTATGTTTCATATTGTATGTTGTCGTCATCACTGGGGCGGGGCGTACCCGGAGGAGTCCGGCCAACCCAAACAGTCTTCCAGGCGAAAAGCCCCGGCCACGGACACAAGAATATGAGCTTCACGGCCGGTAAGCTGAGCCCTCTGGTGATCTTGATGATAAGACCTGTGGAACGATTTATGATACTTTGATATGTACCTGTTATATGTGCTGGAATGGCTGTCTGATGTGTGCTAAGAGCAGTCAAATGACCTCTGTAACGTTTTGTTCAAACACTATGTCTCATTTTTAGGGTAAAAAGATAGAGAATGCCATCAAATATACTTTCCCACTATTTAATGACTTGAGCGATGTGTCCACAATAATGCCGCCAGCATCACCATCCCTTCTGACGAGGGCCATGTGTATAGGTTCAAACTTCCTCCCGGGACGTTTCTCCTGTATTATGACATATCAGTGGAGCATGTACTGTACCTATCAACTGGTTGGTGCGGAGGAGGAGACTCCCAATGACTTTTTACTGGGTTCGTCCACAGGAAGCGAGCGATCCCCCGCAAACTTCCCCTTGTTCCCCGGTCGATGTAAGGCTTCTAGAGACGGGATCATTCACTCTAGCTTGAGCTTGTTTCCAAGCAAGAGGTGTCTTTTGCAAGCACAACAAGACCGACACCATCTACAATTGGTAGAGGACCCTGGACTGGCCGCGCACCCTCCCGAATGTCGAGAATTTTGACCGACGAGCCGCTAGAAGGCCAGGCTTTGACTGGGCCACACGCCGAACTGCCTTTGACGGTTCTACAGTGAGTTCAGCGACTATGACGCTCCCAATTGTTAGATCCTACCTCCCATGAGTATGACGATGGAGATTGCCGTGGGCGCACGCCGCCACTTATAAGACGACCATGGAATAGGCTCGTGTTCTCGAACTATTGCTCTGGACGGGAAATCCTAACAAGGCCTTTCATACTCAAATCCTGTCCATCAACAAGTGCTACAGTATGGGTCTCTTCGCACCCAAACAGCCTTACTTTGGCCTGAAGGGTGGATGGCTGACTTTCTGGATTTCGGTGAGTGGTGTCCTGCTATCTGGTCAAAAAATTGCCATCTAATACTTCCACCAGGTCGCCTGTGCAACAGACATGACTCTGTACGTAATCTTCAGGTAATTGAGCGGTGAAGACATCTGACTCTATGAACTTGGTGAAGATTTGGTTATGATCAGGTAGGTATAAAACATCTCGCCGTCAACCAATCAACCTAACATTGAACCAGGGCGTGTTCGGTTCGTACCGTGACAACCACTGCTAAACACTGTTCTAACCACGTTCAAGGCGGTGTTATCGTCACCCAGGATTTTCTCAATGTCCACAACCTCGGTGGTCCGAGCAAGACATCACTTCTTGGTAACCTAAACGTTTGCCTTCACTATTCAAGCTTACAATGCTGACATGACCAAAGGAACTGTAACAGCAATTTATGATGTCGGATGCTTTTTCGGTGCGATTATTGCCTTCTGGCTGGGGGAGAGGCTCGGACGGCGGAAAGCCGTTCTGATCGGCACCACGGTCATGAGTGTTGGTGCCATTTTGCAAATCACATCCTTCAGCACCGCCCAAATGATCGTTGGACGGATCGTGGCAGGCATTGGAAATGGAATCAACACTGCCACTGCGCCCGTCTGGCAGACAGAGACATCGGCCATCAAGTGGAGAGGAAAGCTTGTGGTGATCGAGTTGATCCTGAATATCGCGGGCTTCTCAGTATCAAACTGGGTGACATACGGATTTTCTTTTGTTGGTGGAGCAGTGGCATGGCGGTTTCCGTTGGCGTTCAATTCATCTTCATCATCGTCCTCTATGCAACCGTCCCTTGGCTACCGGAATCGCCCAGGCAAGTTTTAGGTCCTATTCTTTTTGCAAATGGTGTGTGCGTCCGTGTGGATTCTCACTAATCCGGTCTCGCTCATCAGGTGGCTCATTGCTCACGAATACGAAGATGAAGCGTTCAAGATCCTGGCCGACCTCGAGAACAGGTCGGAGAATGACCCGTTCATCCTGACCCAGCATAAGGAAATCGTGTATACAGTGCAATACGAGCGAGAGAACGCAGTCAAATGGGCCGATCTCCTGCGTGGCCGGACAGGCGAAAAGGGAGGCACAAAGACGATGCGTCGCTTGATCCTTGGTGCCGGAACTCAAGCCATGCAGCAGCTCTCGGGCATCAACGTCACCAGCTACTACCTCCCAACCGTACTGATCCAGTCGGTGGGACTGGATGAGAAAATGGCCCGACTTCTCGCCGCGTGCAATAGCGTGTCATATCTTTTGTTCTCGCTCATCGGCATCCCGAACGTCGAGAGATGGGGTCGTCGAAACATGATGATCTTCGCTTCCTCCGGCCAGGCATTCTGTTACCTGCTTATCACGATCCTGATTCGATATAACGAGAAGCCAGGATACGCTCACGCCCATGAGGTCGCCTCGGCGTCGGTGGCCTTTTTCTTTTTGTATTATGTCTTTTTTGGAATTGGCATGCAAGGCGTGCCTTGGTGTAAGACTGTCCGAATCTCCACAGAATGCATGGCTGACAACTCCGACACACAGTGTATCCAACCGAGATCAACTCGCTGGCAATGAGGACCAAGGGCGCAGCGATCGGAACTGCCACAAACTGGATATTCAACTTTATGGTTGTTGAGGTGAGTGCAGCGCAGCGTGATTTGTGAATACTGTCCAGACACAGCTTGACCAGGTTCAATTGACACGGGAAATGGCATCAGATCACTCCCATCGGAATCCAAAACCTCCATTGGAAATTCTACATTGTGTGGACCGTGCTCAATGCCTCTTTCATCCCTCTCATGTACTTTTTCTACCCGGAGACCGCTGGTCGGTCACTTGAAGATATCGACGATTACTATCGTACCAACCCGCCACTCTTGGTCTTCCGAGACAAGGACGTCACTTCCAGCAAGAGACCCGACAAGTATCGGATCAGAGAAGAGGAAGAAGTGCGGAGAAATTCTTCCGTGGATCCAACGGTCTTCAGACGGGCAAGCAGAGTCAGTGCCGGCCTTGCTAGCGCTCAAGCCCGACAGGCTCAGCTGGCTGTTGCACGGCAGCATGCTCAAGACGATGACTATGAAGGGAAGACAGAAGCAGGCGACGATGACCAGGGCAGAGTTTATTATAAGGAACAAGTCTGAAAGTCATGGTAGGTCTTATAGCAACCACGGATGCCGTGTTGCGTCGGACGATGGGAGATATGCTTTGTGGAGCTGGCTGATCTCGAGCCATGGAAAATGGAAGATACTGCGGAAGCTCCCGAGTTTCGGATTCGCTGCTCACAATGCAAGAAGTGTCTCTCGATGTATCTCCATGATCTGCCAGATAGGCGCGGGTCTACGGGAAACATGTAGTTGACGGGCAGACCGACTGCAGGCGGAATCAGGGTCTAGTGAAACGTACATTTTTGCTGTCTTGCTCCTTAGTGAACCAGTTGTCCGTCACTAATATGATTCTTGAAGAATGAAAGACTGAACCTACCGGACCCAATTCCACAGCAGGACTTGTTCAATATGACCGACTCAGGTTTGTTGGGGGATTGAGACCGTGGACAGTGGGCTCCCTAGGCCTTCCCTTCGCGTACTGTGGGTGTAAGGCAGAACTCCGCGCGCGACGGTTATTAGCCGCTCCCAGCCAGGAACCTAGCTACACATACTTCAGCGAAGAATGATGCGCGAAGGCTTGCCATGTCGATGCACCTCTGGAACAACTCTCCCACAGCCATGTCGGTAGTTGCGAGGTTCTTTGGAGTCCGAAGATCTCTTCCTCCCCTCCGCTTGAGAAAATCAACCACCTTCCAAGGCTGGATTTAGCCTAAACACCTCGCGCCTCTACCCCAAAGGCGAGTGTGGTCCTAGAGTTGCCAGACAAGATATGCTGGATATGCTGGACAACCAGGGCACACATGAAGTGTCGAGATCTAGACATTCAAATATAAGAGACGAAGAAATGGATAACACAGACTCCGCCAGCCACGTTGGATGACCATCAACCTCCGTGGCCCAGGTAGGTAACCAGTAAGTTCGAACACTGCCTCTCACCACACAACACGATGGCTTTCCTCTGGTCCAAACTGCTCCTTCTCTCCTCCTGTCTCGCAATCTGCTGTGGCGCACTCAGACCAGGAACTGATGTGACCACTACGCCCGGAATACCGAATGGCCACTGGATCGATACATGGGCGGCGATGCCTCAATTGACAGAGACATCGAACCTTCCTCCGCCTCCATATGTACGTACAACAGCCCGGCCCGCCTACTTGCTGCAGCACATTCCATACGGGCTGGAGCAAGAATCAAGATAGCAAGAGTCACCGGCTAACACCGCCACGGCGGACTGGCTTCAGAACGAAACGTCCGTCATCTTCTACAACAGCACGATCCGACAAACGGTGCACATATCCACTGGCGCCTCACAGATTCGGATCCGCATCTCCAATGCCTTTGGACTGACCGATTTACCTATCAGTGCTGTGACGGTGGCTCTGCCCTTCAACGGATCAGCAGGCGTCAGTGCCGTCCAGTCGTCCACGGTTCAGACCGTGACGTTCAGCGGCGGCGACGAATCAATCATCATCCCCAACGGCGCGCTCGCAGCCTCGGATCCTCTGAACTTTGCCGTCAAACCCCAATCCATGCTCACTGTGACAATGTACCTTGCCACAGGACAGGAGGGAACCGCGATCACCAGCCACCCAGGTAGTCGTACGACGTCTTGGATGACTGAAGGGAACCAGGTCGGTACGACGAACTTGACTGGGCCGGTATTGAACAGTACCGCACATTGGTGGGCAGCCCTCTTCCCGTACAAGTGATCCATGCGAAGCATCCGGCTGTCTGCTGTGCTAGGTGTGAAAACAGCTGACCGAGTTCTGTTTAATCGCAGGTATTTTCTCTCTGCCGTAGAAGCATGGTCGCCGCCTGAATACCGCACATTTGCCATTCTAGGCGACAGCATCACGGATGGTCGAGGCAGCGACACCGACAAGAACAATCGGTAAGTATTAACCGTGCCCAGATTCGATCCAGATCCATCCTCTCGTTCCTTTACCCCTTTGATCACTTCTACCAGTCCTATGCACTAACATCACAATCACAGATGGCCCGACCTACTCCTATCCCGACTCCAATCTACCTCCGACCCAACCCTGACATCTCTGGCCATCACCAACCTCGCCGCTGGAGGCAACCGCATCCTCTACGACGGACTAGGACCGAACGTTCTATCCCGCATCGACCGAGACATTCTATCGCACTCGGGTGTACGATACGCCATGATCTTCGAGGGAGTCAACGACATCGGGGTCGCCGACGCCACCATCGCCAACCAAACACTCACCTACACGCGTCTGCTGTCCGCGTTCAAACAGATCGCAACGAGGATTCATGCTTTCGGTATTCCCGTGTTCGCAGCAACCATTACTCCCTTTTCCGCTCCCAACGGTAATACCACGCTGCAGCCGTACACGAGCGACCTGCGTGAGCAGACGCGGCAGAAAGTCAATGATTTCATTCGCCATTCGGGCACGTTTGATGCTGTTTTGGATTTCGATGCCGTGCTGCGCAATAATACTGTGCCTAGCCAGTTGGCGGATGGGTATCAGTCAGGCGATTATTTGCATCCTAATGTTAAGGGGTATGAATTGCTCGCGGAGAGCTTTGATTTGGGTCTGTTTGCTCGCTTTGCGGGTGGGGTGAGTGGATTTGTTTGAGGAAGAGGTGGAGATAGGAGCAGGAGCAGCACGAAGCCTGGTCAGCGGTCACCTCAGTTGTGCCATCCGAATTTGTACTTTTGGTTAACGGGACGACGCTGGCAGCAGGTCGTCCTAGTACCACGACTGAACGGAGGAGCAATACCAACTATCACTATTAACGAGGCCGTGGTTGGAAAGGGGTCCAAGGCTTCGAACAAGCACGTACAGTACCTGTCAACGTGGTATTGGTATACGATGTTGCGATCTAGCCGAGGTACCTAAAAACGAATGCAACGCTATAAAAGCAAATGATGACATTGATTGATGATGATGCCAAAGACCAGACATATCTACATGTACCTTTAGGCAGGTAAGCGATATCCAAAACAAACTCTTGTCACTCCCGATATGTAACTACTCTCCTCACCCTTACCATTATGGTTCCCAACCCCCTTCCTTACCTACCGTGCCGTCCAACTCTTACCATGTGCGCACTTTAACCTTCCTCTCATCTCTGCCCACCAGTCGTTCGACTCGGCGCACTCGTCGCATCAGGATCTCCTCCATTTCTATACTTCCACAGCCGACTAAGCTCCTTGACCTGGACCTGCTGCACGATACCATTCTGCTGCTGCAACACTCCTGATCCTCCTCCTCCTCGTCCACTTCCACTTCCATGTCCATGTCCATGTCCATGTCCATGATTACTACTGGAACCTCGTTCGCTTCGCTGCGTAGTATTACTGTCAACTTGCACCGTATTCCACTCATCAAACACCTCCAAATCCACCAGCGAATCCATGAACGCATTCCCATCCTTGACTCGCCCTTTGGAAAAGTCTGACATGTCGATGCCCTCCATCTCAAACATGTTGTCCATGTAGTGCTGGTTGAATTGGTGTCCAGAGCCGTGGCGCTTGAAGAGGCGGCCGACGAAGCGGTTGAGGTCTTCTTTGTCGCGTAGGGTCTGGCGGCGGTGGAGGCTGAGGCTGTGGTCGGGACTGACAATGTGATGGTGATGCTCGATTGGTGTTGACGGAGATACAACCGCCGCAGCCGATCTGATGGTAGGCGTTGGATCGAATACGTGCCTACTAGCTCCGGGTGCGGGTGTGTGCTGGTAACCTTCACCACTGTTCTTGACGCCCGATCCAAGTCTGACTTGTCCTTGTCCTCCGACATCACTAGACACAGCTGCTGCTGCAGTAGTAAATTGTGGCGAAGACGCCGATGCAGATGCACCGTCCGACACCGAGCCGATATTGTCCACCAAGGTGTCTGCGTTGGTCAACAATCTCCTCGTTCGTGCGACGGCCCGCGATGGCAGGCTTCCCAGACTCTTGGCTCTTGCCATGTCAGGGCGGAAATGCAGAATGCCAAAGCGTGACACATAATCACCCGTGTTGGCGTAATGCTCGATATACTTAATCACACGGCCGTTTTGGTCTCGGTCGCCGCCGCCGGCGCCAGCCTCAACCAGACGAGAAGAAGAAGAGGGGCGACAACTTGTGCTGCTGTTGCTGTTGTTGTTGATTACTCCATCAACGACAGTGTTGGTCGGCTCTGGTGGCGACACTTTCGATATCACGGGTGCGTTCCAGTGGTTGGCGGCATTGCCAAATGTGTACACCTCCAGCTTGCGGACCTGTTCGGCCGCCACGGTCGCATACAGCCAGTCGAGAACCATGCCGCCTTCAATGGCGCCCTGGCTGTGCACGATCAAGACGATCTTGTGTACGGTGGGGTCGGAAATGATGGCCAGAAGCTGGTCGTATGCTTGTCGGATGTCGAGGGTCGGATAGGCCAGGTCGCGTTGGATGATGCATTCGAGAACGTCAAAGATGATTCCACGGCTGGATATTGTATAACCTTGGTCAGAGTCGTGCTTGTTGGAGGAAAGGAGATGAAGCGTAACAAAGAGATTTTGGGTACCACTTACGTCTGGTTATGGATACCAAGCACCGGCCGACGAAACGTCATGGCGAGTCGGTTGAGGTTGGACTGGAGCCAGTGCTCGCTGCGGGACGAGTTAAATGTCAGATATTGTATATATATCGGCACCTGAAGTCGTGACGTTCGCAGATACTGGTTGTGGCGGATGGAAAAGTGTGGCTGGCCTGCACAACAATAACCAGCATGTGTTGTACTTACCCAACAGCGACTCCGTTGATAAACACCCACCGCTCGTGTGGGTAGACCCGTTTCCCCTGGACGCATCGCGGGTCTGACATGAACCCGGATCGTCGACGGCCATTCAGAAGGACAGTAAACCATTGGTTCCCCAACACAAACGCCACAATGTACAACAAGTAAAGTGACGGCAGCAAGATGTAGGCCAGGGGGAACAGCGAGATGAGAAACAAGGTCTGGGCGACGACGAGAATCAAATGGATGAAATCAGACCACGCATTGGGCACGGTCAAAGCCAGCTCGTCCAAACCCTTGGACCTCGAAGGGCTCAACGGTAGGATGATGCTGGGCAAGCCGGCCGTCAGAGGCCAAGTGAAGGTGATCTGGACAAAAAGCCATAAATCGTTGAGCATCAGGAGCAGAGGGTTGGCGGTATATGGGAGTGGTTTCGACCACGGCGGAGTCAGCGTTGTTGCCATCGTCGGCACTGTGCGGATGGTCTGTCAATTGGTAGGATGTGAGGAAGGCGATAGTGGCAAGATGGTAGTTGGGTGGATAGTACCAGCAATAAAGAGAGGCGAGATGCTCGTTCATGAATGGCGTCCGCCGCTCGATAAATACTCGTACTGTACTCTTGGAGAAATTCAGAGGCCCTCGCCAGCAGCCTGTTTAAATGTTCGCACGAACAGGAAGAGTACCCGGGCTTCCTCCCAGTGCATTTCACATGGGGCGTTGGCACGGGCGTCCTGGGTGTATGCATGCATAAATGCGTACGTGCGCGTACAGCATGATCGGTAGGCAGCCGTTGGGAAAAGGCGAGTGGCCCTCAGCTCGGCTTGCATTTTCACATGTCAAGTGAAATAAAGGGACAGCTAGCTGTGATGTACCTGGTGTCTTTGGAGTCTGGCCCGTTCAGCTGGACGCCTGGGCTTGTGCCTGGCCTGAGGCTGAGGCTGAGGCCGACTTTTCAGCTCCTCCGGAAAAGACGGGGCGGAGACAAGGGAGCGAGGGGTAGGAATATTGACGTCGATCTCGAACCAATGGATCTTGGCTTACCTTGGGGGCGCCTTATACTGTTGTACTTGAGAAAGTCACACTGGAAGCGGGTCAGTCTTCAGTCTGTGCACACGAACAAAGCAGCTTCTGCAGGAATTAAACCAAGCTGACCGGTGTGCCGGAAAATTAGGAGGCGGAGGGACATGATGGGCACGGTACTCGTGCAATGATTCGATGAATTCGCCTAGGTAGGGATGATGACAAGTACAATCTTTTCCATACCTTAACAGGCACGGGGAGAGATAGGTATCAGATACCTAGCTAAGGTAAGCAAGCACGGTGAGCTTGCGACGAGGATATTTACCACGAGGCTTAGGTCATGCAGTGATTGATTCTTTCAATGGCAGCATCAAGAAGTGAACGATGCGAGTTCTTCATACCGAGGATCATGTCTTGGATTTCTCCCGTCCTCCACATCTCTTCCCCAGGCGGGTCTTAACCATCTTCTTTTGGTCATAGCCTCAAACATCGGCCCGATGCCGAGGTTAAGCCCACGATTGTTATACTCCCCTATGTGCTCTCGAACAACGAAGAACCTAAATCATACAAATATTATTAAATATTCCTATATCCCATCTTCCAGACACCAGCATCAGAGCATTAACAACTAAACGACCAAAGCATATACAACTAGGTTAACAACTACTCTACTCAACCACCGAACTCCAACCATCCTACACCAACAGCGACAGCGACAGCGACAGCGGCACAAACACTCCCAGATCAATATCATCAACACCTCCCGCGGCTGGGAAGATACACCAGCCAAGTCTCGCAGGAGCCAGCCTCGTTCAGCTCAAGCAACCTCTTAAGCCAGTTCAATTCGAACCTGACCATTCCACTTCCACCATCACCATCCCCTTGCGCCAAACAAATCACCAGAAAATCAAAATCAACCATGTCACCATCACCATCACTCCCCAACATCCCCCAATCCGCCCAGGAAGAAGTCTCAGTCTTCTCTTCCATCCCCTGGTGCCAACGCATCCTCTCCGACCCAGAATGGCGCGTCGAGCAATGCACTTCACGGGTCCTGAAACCCCAAACGCGGGAGGACGCTTTACTTTCGCAAAGCCTAAAGTCCAACGACACAATTAAAGGATGGGTATCATTATACAAACGTCCACAAAACACCACCGCCAATTCCACCAACACTAACCCAACCACCACCACACCCCCCAATCTAACAACCGAAGTCCTCACCCTTCTCTCTCTCCAACCCGGTCTCAACGGCTACCCAGGCGTCTGCCACGGCGGCATCGTAGCCACCATCCTCGACGAAGTCATGAGCATTCTCGTCACACGATGCCGTACCTCCCAGGGCGTCAGGGGCGACAACGTCACTGCCGATCTGCACCTGACGTACGTGAAACCCGTGCCGACGCCCGCTGTTGTACTATGCCGGGCCAAAATCAACGATATCAAGGGGCGCAAGTATTTTGTCGATGGACAGATTGTTGATGGAGAATCCGGGACTGTTTTGGCAAAAGCTGATGCTTTGTTTATTACGGTTCAGAAGGAAAAGTTGTGATCTGCCCAGATTGCTTCCCTTTTGACTTTTCCCATTGGTTCGACTGAAGCATATCCAAAGGTAGATATCAATGTTTCATGGACGTCAACGCGGTCCAGATTCTTGCATAACACGGGTGGTCACCAAGGCATAGGATACCGATCGATACTGATTGACAGAACGAGTAATATCATTATCAGCCCAGATGCGAGCCCCTAAAGCTATGGGCCTATGACACTCGACAAGGTTACCAGGTAATAATATTGATATCCTCGTACCCATCCATGCTAGGTTACACGCATGGTCAACCAAGAAGAACCAAATGCCATACTAGTATCCGAATCCAACGCTCCCAGCCCATTATTCCTGCTCTGGCCTCAAATACTCCCACCTTGCCCGTCCATCGGCATCTTTGATCCCGCCCACCTTTCCGCATGATCCAGCACGGTAGGATACACATCTTTGACAGCCTCTGCACCCATCCAGCAATCCAAGTGACCATATCCAGGGAACACTTCGCGCTGGTACAATTCCGACATGCCAAAAATGCCCGTCAGAGTAGTATACGACTTGTCTGTGTTTTCGGGAGTGTAAACCACATTGTCGGACCCAGAGATGAAAAGAATCGGAAGACCTCTCAACCGTTGCAGATTTTCCGGTGTGACCAGCGACTCGAGGATATTGTTGGTGACTTCCCCATGTGTGCCTTGGTACATAAGTTGGCTGAGCGAGTTCATGCTCGTCCCTCCCAAGAATTTCGACAGGTTTGTGTGCGTTGCGGAATTAAGTCGTTTATGAGACCAAAGCCTGTAATGCGTCGTGTTAACAACAAGCACCAGCATGAAAAAAACTTGCGGTACTCACCTTCCAAACACCAACTCGGATCTATGGCAGACAACACTGTTGCACAGTTCCGCAGGAGATCCCACAGGGTACAATCGCACGACCTGGTTCAAAAGCCGCTGCACCAGGGAATCGTGTTCGGTGGAAATACACGAAAACCAGTTTCCTGCCACCAACTTGTAGATCTTGGTCAGCGAGATAGGCAACGATGCTTTGACCTTGTTCACGGCTCCAAACATCGGGTTGAAAAACACCTGGGATGCTGTCAGGCCGCTGATCCATTTCGAGTCAATGGTCCCGTCAAGCAAGCCGGCCGAAAGTGCCACCGAGCCAGCACAGTGAGCAATGACATAGATCGGACTGGTAGACCCCTGCATCCGATGGATTGCCTTGAACGCCGCTTGGATGTCGAGCCGGGCGTCATACGTAGTATAACCTCGCTGGGCATTGGGAGTCTTGCCAGTGCGGTGCGTGATGCAAAACACCTCGTACCCTGCTGCTTGGAAGTACTCGACAGCATTGGTGTCAATGGTTGGCAAAGCAAAAATCTGGTGATCAACAGAAGCTCCAGGGATGAAAAGGATTCTGCGCTGCTCCGAAGAAGAAGGTGTTGTTGGTGCCCATCGTTGCAGAGTGGACACGACTTTGTCAGTAGAAGTGATCTTGATGGTTTCGACCGGCGGCTTTTTGTTCATTTCATAACCTTCAAATGTGGTCGTCGGATACTGCATAATTCCCAACGGACCTAGAAAGTTGGTCAAGACTTGTGCGGCGAAAAAGGTCAGGAATTTCCCGGTCGAGAACAGCTTCGATAGCGTGGTAGGACCATGTGGTGTGAAGGTGGACAGCTCGGCCGCGAAGTCTTGAGGCTCGATGTGCAAAGTCCCTCTTCCTACAGTTTGATCGCCTTTGGTCAATGTCACATAAAGCGTGGATGTTGCTTTCCAGGTTGACCAAGGCTTGAACGCAATGGATTGATCCACAATCTTGTAGCCATGGAAGTGGATGATCTCGCCACGGGTAGACACCATGTCAAAATCATAGGTCAGGTTGGTCGTATCTGGAGTCCGTTGGTCTACATTGAACAGGTTGAAAGCCCCTCGTAGAACCATGAACGGGGATCCTGGCAGACCGGCACAGGTAAATGTACCCGTGAGCATTGCAGGATGATTTGACCGTCCGATCACTTGAATGTCAGTAAGCGCAGCTAGGAGGCAGTAGATGATTCTTACGTTGGTCAGTATCCCAAGCATGACAATTGAGGAAAAACCTCGCACTGCTTCCCGCTGCCTGGGCAGCGTCAGTTGCGACGGCGAAGTCGGATGCTTCATTTCCAGTATCAACTTGGTCTTCAATATTGATAAAACCCGTCATGACCTCTGCAAATTCGATCCCCTCGGACTCGGAAGCGCGCGCTAGGTCGATGATACGGTCAGCTTTGCGAAGTTCCTTGCTCATTGGCTGTTGATGGGCGGGTCGTCCAAAAAGGTTGAGTGTTCCTAGTGGCGTTAGTATTTTTGCTTGCCTGTCAATGTCGCGTTCTTACCATTCTGCGTAAGAAGATCAACTTTGACGTTATTCCGCTTCGCAGCTGCCTCGACAGACCGTTCTGCGAGAGCAGTGATGGTCGCGAAAGGATTGACGCCCAACGCTGTAGGTAGAGCTGCGCCATCGACAACGATGATTCCGTCATGGACTTCTTTCCCCTTTCCTTTCAAGACTTGGCCATATTGGTTCACTGCACCCTTGACACCAGTGTCGTCGCTGCTGATGGTCGCTCCGCCCATGATATGGACCGTGATCTGCAATGGTTAGTACCGTATTTAGTAAGTCGGAGAGTCTACTGTCTTACCTCCTGCTCTCCAAGTGCAGCAAAGAAAGGAGAGTTGATGTATGTGCCACCAACGGCATTGGTGGCTTTGGCAAGTATTCCATTGAGATGTCGAACATGGTCACTTCGTCCAACTCCCAGAAAGGTCAACGTCGGTCTGTCATTAGGCCCCAGCCTCATCACCGCTTGGTTACTGTCATGCGACATGATCAGATAAGTCTGTGACTTCTCCAGGGCGCCCATGGGCGCGTAAGGATACAGTCTGCTGATATTTCGGGCGAGCAAATGTTGCAGTCGGTCTCTGATCGTGTAGTTCTTCGGGTAGATCTTTCCGGGAAGAGCCTCCAGCATACCCTGAAGTACGGGTACCAAGGCTTCCGTGATGGCACCTTCTTCAATCACAAAGCCATCAAGCGGATTTGCCTGAGCCCGGCAATCTATAACTCCCGTAATCGTGGGTCCAACTGGTTTGTCAGGGCTGGGTGACACGCTCCCTAAACCGTTCGCTTCATACTTCGTGTTGTACCTGCCACCGATATCAGCGTCGCTGTTCCAAACCTCGCGCACCGGAGACGGTACCCGAAAGCAAGTATATCGCCGTTCCCGCTCATGTCCTTGCCGACTTGGTTGCTCATTTTCATCCCAAGGGCTTTACTGCGGAGGAGGATCTCAGTGGTTCCAAGGGCTCCAGCGCCCAAAAATACCAAACTTTTCGCATGCACCCACATCAGATCACGATAGATGTTCCTCTTGAACAACCCACGTTTACTGCCATGCCAGGCAAAAAATACCAGGTATCCTTCCTGGGTGGGATGCTTCTTGATGTAACGCGCCTCGCATTCGCAGAATCTGTCCTTGTCAGCAGCTTTCAGGGGCTGGTTAGCGGTCGTCATACATCTCGGCTCCCCAGTTCCATGCATCGCTCAAATATGTCACAAGCGTGGAAGACTTGCTTCCGTCGTTGACGCCGGTGCTATCCATGCCTGTGAGAGCGCTGGCTTGCATTTGCTTGAGTCGAGAACAAATCAGCATCTTGAAACGATCATGGGATGGAGGTGTGCATACAACGCCTGCATAGTTTGGTCCATTCTCAAATCTCGTGGTCTGCGGCACCCGCTTGAAGTTGTTTTCCAGTCCTAGTAAATCAGCCTGCTTTTTTAGCAGTTCCAATTTGAGCAAGGGAGGAAAATCATCCGGATATGTTTCGGGCTGAAGCATCTGCGCGGCACGCTTGTAGTCTATGGGCTGTCAGAAACAGCGAAGGCCACAGTCAGAAGTCCACCCACATTCATCCAAAGCGCCCGGCTTCCGAAGCTCTTTTGGCCATTCAGGAAGGCTCATCGCACCGTCGTCCGCTTCCAAGAAAACATTTGCATTGAGAAGACTTGTGCCTCCAAGGCCTGGGGGCATGATCAGCCGAATGCGAAATTCGGGAGGCATGGTGTGAACGAACCACTGGCCACAAAGGCATTCTGTCCGGCTCCCATCACGAGCTGGTAGAGTTTTGTCGGATCACCCACCTGTACAGGTGTGCCGGGCTTGTCTCCGGGCGCGAACAAACCCGAGACACCAATCTCTGGAGCAGCTTCTGCGAGGTTTGAAGGATATTCCCCGGCTAGCTAAATGTGAGAAATGGAGAACACGCTGAGGATGAAAACATACGCCATCGTTCTTTGCCGCGTTCGAGAACACAGACTGACTGTCCAGCCCTTGCCATACGTGAGGCTGCAACACCTCCTCCGTATCCGGACCCGATTACCACGACATCATAGGTGTGCCGTAGTAATTCGACAGGCCGGGAGAGCCTAGGGAAGTTGTTGTTACCACCATGATAATCGCTTGCCTCGAGTTTGGACTGCGATCGAGACAGTGGACCTCCTGGCTCGGTGGTTCCGACACGATACGGGGGTGCCGGGAAGGTTGGTGACTGTGGACCTGGGGTGGAGGCAGAGACACCAGAGCTGCTGCTCTGACTCAAGCTTTTCGTCTCGCTGCCATTGCCGGCCACTTTCTGGGATTCTGAATCCATCATACAAGCAGTAGAGGCAGGTTATGAGACGCAACGAACGTGAATGAGGAAGAAATGGACAAGATAATTTTATACCTGGGGAGTATCAGCGAACCGCACGGGTACTTGATATGATGAGCTGAGCTTGCAGACAAGTTACATGGTTGATGATACAGCAAGTGTTCAAACCCACCGGTGCCCTCGGGGCTGGCTTCAATCCACGGGCTGGGGTCTTTTGAGCATGTGAAAATTGAACAGGGATTGGACGTCCGCCATGGGTAACACAGGACAATCGCACTGTGCATGAGGAAACATGTCCAGCACTGACGCATATCTTCTGCCATAGGAGGAACGTATCTTAGGTCAGGCCCAGGCCTTCATGGTCAAGGAGGGATGTGTAACTTGAAAGTCTGCAAAGTAAGACGAGCGGCGTACCCCTGGACCCGGAGCGGAAAAATGTGCCACCGAAGCAGATCCAGACAAGGCCTCTCGTACTGTACAACGTTGTAAGCACCCTGTCTGGCTGGCTGACTGTCAGTTACTCCTGGGGCCTCCCGTGTCTGCATGCAGTGGTGGCTCATCAGCCTCAGCTGAGCTTGAAGGCTGCTTCTGACGCTCCTTCGTATCGCGGGGTATGTGAGGCTCCATGCTGTTTGACATGTGAAAGTGCTTTGCAATGCCATCCCGCTCCAGAGTCTCCTGTCTTCGATCCTAGGTAAGCTCGCGGCATCAAAATTTCAGCTAGCAGCGACAGTTCCAGTGTTGGCGAAGATCTGAGCGCGCTCACAATGGCGCCTAAAGTCATATTCCTCATGGCCGACTATGGCCACGACCCCACTGGTATCTCAAACTGCGACTTCTGCGGCACCCGTACACTCGCTGATGGTAGACAGAAACAGCTATTCCATGGCAGGTGTTTGAGAACGCAGGATTTGAGGTCTTCTTTGCCACGGAAACTGGACAATCGCCGAGGTGTGACGATAGAATGCTCTCCGGGTGGACCGGGACTCTGCTAGGAGCCAACGGAGCCGCCAGAACAGCGTATGCGGCGCTGTCGACCACGTCCCCAAATTTTCAGAGGCCTTTGTCGTGGATAGACTTCGAATTCAACCTGGAGGATTATGACCTCGTTTTCCTCCCAGGCGGCCACGAGAAAGGCGTGCGTCAGATAATTGACTCGCCACGCGTTCATTATCTCCTCAAAAGCTACTTTCCAAACACGAAGAAACCGTCCAGCAAATGTCTGGCAGCCATATGCCACGGCGTGCAGGTATTGGCAATGGCGTCCACCACCGAAGGCAGAAGCATCTTGCACGATGTCCACACCACAGCGTTGCCGGCGGTGATGGAGCAGGGCATCTTTCACGCGACAAAGCTGTTCCTCGGGGATTACTACAAGACATATGGGGCAGGGACAGCCTCGGTCGAGGATATCGTGAAGGAGAACTTGGCAAACAAGAAACAATTTGCCAGTAGCATCAGCCCTAGACCGTAAGTTCACCACTCGCGCAATCTCGAATTGACAGGTTTGGTTCGTACGTTGACCTTCACAGCTTTGTCGTTCAAGATCCCCGTTATAATTACCTTTCAGCAAGATTTCCCCCCGATGCGGAGTTACTGGCAAAGAAGGCGGTCGAAATGATGAATGCTGTCAGACAGCCTGCTTAGCATTAACATCGTCTGACTTGGAAGATGTAGCACCTTCTACAACCGACGTAGACGTTTGCAACTTCGCGCGTTGCATTTCTCTGAATTCTTGCCTTGCATTGATGTTGACCTTGCCAGTCTGGATGGTCCTCCATAGCTCTTTAGGGGTCATTTTTCCTTCCCCACCAAAAAGGCTGAAATCCACATCGTGCATCATAGAGTGTCGCAGAGCGTACACAACACTGTGTCTTCCTTGGGGATTTCCCACGACTCTGTGTGCGCCCGCATTCATGGATTGAGCGGAAAGGGCCTTTAGCGTCTGGCCAACCAAGATAGCTGCCCACTGTGTACCAATGGGCGCATCGACCCAAGTGAGCTGCGCGGGCGAGGAGTTGAGGCGATCCAATACCTGTAACCCAGCACCATCACCGACACACAGGGTCAGTAGCCCCAAGTCCGCGTGCTCTTCAGCCTTTCCAGTAGAAGGGAAATAGCGAAAGAGTCGCATCAGAGTGTAGGTCATCCGGTCCCCGGAATCGGGCAGGTCCAACGTCCCGTCCAGTATATCATTCCACACAGAGGTGTCTAGATCGCTGGCACGGGCAATGTCACAGAGTATCCGGAAGAGGAGAAGGCCGGCTCCGTGCCAAGCTACTGCCGTGCTTGTCTCGAGGCTCTCAACAAGATGCGAGGATGGGATGGCACTGGAGGCCGGAGTGGTGTGAATGCGGCAACGAAAGGTAATGTATTCCTTCTCATCCACGACAGGATAGTATCCGAATTCAGTCCCTTGCGCCGAGGGATACAAAGCCTTCTTCTCCGACTCCGGGAGATCAAAGTATCTCGACGACGCTTTAAAGAGGCCGGACATGCTTTGCGAGAGGGTGGCCGGTAGCTCAAGGAATAGCCATCCCTGCTGTGCCAGACGAAGTAGTTGCGCTTCGTCTAGTAGTGGTGGGGGCCCACGAGGTGGCGGCGGGAGGAAGTCTTCGTTGTCCATATGCGACTCAAGCTCGTGCGAGAGCTGGTGCTGCTGTCGATGACCGTGCAGCCTCTCGCCTCGAATGCCCACCCGCTTGCTCTGAAGCTACCGGAAGACAAGGAGGCAAGTGATGACTAGTCTGCTCAAGAGAAGGGATCCCTGAAGATTGATTCAAGATTCAAGATTGGGTTGAAACGGCTGTCGGCGGGCAGAAGGATTTGCGCAGCGCGCGTCATTTGCTTCCCAGTACATGAACCTACACGTTGTAGGTATCTAGGTGAGTCCAATTTAGAATGGCAAGCACGCGACGCGCCAGAGCACCACCAGGCTTTGAGCCACAGCTATAGCGAAGACGTTCCTCTACCACTAAGTAGGCATACGACTAGCAGATCCTAGACCTGCTGTGTACAAAAACCCTCAACCCTAATACCTTCTCTTTAGGAACAAACAACTCAATTCTTCACCACGACACTGGCAGAGAAGAAGTCTTCGACGCGTCGTGTCTCTCGCGTCGATGCTTGTACAACTTGTATGATCGCACCACGTGACATGAGTTACACGTGACTGTCACGTGCATTGGCGACCGCTCAGCACGTATCGCTTGCCGTATACCGAGCGTAATTCTCTTAACAGAACAAAGAGGCGCCCAAGTATCTACCAGCATTGATCACCACTGCCATTTTCGACGGCTGTGGCATTTTCCTGCCTCACGCTACCAGATCTGGCATGCTTCGTACAAGGACTCCAACGGCGACTGTATATGGGACCTTCGGCTTGCTATACCCACTTTAGACTATCTGAAAGGCCTTGGAATCGATATGACCTGGCTTTCCCCTATCTACGACCCACCACAACACGAGATGGATTACGACATATCCAACTATGAAGATGTCTGGTCGAAATACGGCACATTGGCTGCCATGTATACATTAAGCCGTTAGACTCATGCATGTGGTATGCAATTGATCATAGACCTTGTGGTCAATCACACGAGTGACGAGCATCGATGGTTCCGGGAGAGCAGGCTAACAGACACGATGCCTAGAGTGATTGGTATATATGGCGGGATCCCGGGATCCCAAACATGTGGATGGCCTTCCACGCCCGCCCAACAGTTGGAGTGCAGCGTTCAGTAGCGTTGCTCGGGAATACGTACCAGAACAAGACCATTATCTACGCCTCTTTACTCCTGCCAAAGCCAACATCGTCATGCAGCTTGCCACAAAGCCACCCAGGAGGATGAAGACCCCAATTGCAGCTCCTCGGCTTTTGCTCCAATCCATTTCCAGACAAAGCAAGAACCCAGGATGGTGAAAAATTCGAAAGCTGCTCAAATATGATTGCATCAAATATGATTGAGTGTTTCTGACGAAAGTACCAACCATCCCAGCCACGACCAGGCTTGCCACGACACTCCCTCCGGTTGCTCTTCCGGTTCCTCCTAGCATGAGGATGGACTTCAGGTGCGAATAGCCGAAGCTATTGACGATCATGGAGCCGAAGCCACTGACAGCGCCATTGACAATATGAAGACAAAACGTTGTGCAGGACATTACCCAAGTCTTTGAATCCATGAGTGTCTCTCTGACTTGGTACATCTTGAACTTCTTGTTCTCGATGCCGGTTTGTCCTTTCGTTCAATGGCGATGAGTCGTTCCCGGTCGTGGGGGAGGTGTGTTTTAAGCTGATTTTCTGGCAATGTGAGCACCACAAAGAATCCCCATACGGTGGTAATGGCACCGAGAATCAGGTGTTGGTATTTCCATTGAGGGAGAGCCCCTGGATGTGGCCGATCCCAAAGACCAGTAAATTTCCAAGCAGTACCCCAAAACCACACGACGTGTACCAAATGGAGAATTGGAGAGGTTGTTTCTCTCTTGTCCACCACATGCTGATGACGATAGAAAACCCAGGGGCAACTGCACACTCGGTGACACCCAGGAAGAATCCGGTCATTATTCCGTCAACGAAGAGGCACGGTCAAGGATAGTGAGAACTGTACCTTCGCACGAGGAAACCCTGATAACTGGTGCAAGCGACGCGAGCATGATCACAGCACTCCCAGACAATGAGTGTACATCCAAGGAACTTGGCAATCGGCAGTTGCTGAGCCAAGTACGACGCCGGAAGCACTGGAGATATCATCAGCCTTTGTTCTAGGGTTCTCTCCTTCATGGGTCGAATCTTACACTCAGCCAAACAACCGCAGTAGATAATCAGAGTTGCTTTTAAATATTTCCTCAGATTGGGAATGGGCTCATGGGGTTTTAGGGTTGATACCTGCAGCGGTATAGAGGTGCAAATCTTGAATAATGCCGAATCGAGTGGCGCCGCTGAGGATGACTTTGTCGATATACTGAAACATGAAGGTGATCATGATAAGTGGCATGATGTGCCAGCCGATCTTTGGACAGGCACGCCTCTCCTCTGCTGCGGTAATAGAGGCAACTGGTGACTCTGAGACCAACTGCATAGCAACCTCTTGACCGGCTACATAGGGAGCAGATCTTGAGCCGGCCTCGACTTCCGCATGCGAAGGACTTTCTGTTCTTTCAAGATTCATAGCTGGAGATGACAGGTAGGGGAGTTTCGTAACTTTGTCGAAGTGAGGGTGATGAGACTGTGTTTGGGTGGAAGGTTGGTCCCCCAAGACGCGCGCGAGCTTCAGAGATTCATCGGCATCTGTGTCCACTTCTTCAACACGATCCGAGCTGGAAGCGATTATACGAACAAAAGAGCGTCAATGGGCCCAACATCCCGCTTGAATACACCCATTTCGGAATATTCATGTCGATAACCCCGTAGAGAAGACGTCCTAACCCACAAAAATTCGAGACCAGCCAAGGTGTGTTGAGTAGGTACTAGCTCTCCGGTTTGTATATCCGCCGCTCTCTACATTCGCTGCACAAGAACCAAATACTCACGCTGGGTAGTTGTGACAGAGTCCATGATTCAGGGGGAATGCCCTGGGATGGCATGATCCTACTAGACCCCTTTGAAAGGCACGAGACCGGTATAGCGTGGATCCAGTTGGTTTCAAGTACGGGCTGGAAATTCAACTACGACTCGGATTCAAGCGGCTACTGTGCTAGATGAAAGGGTTCCTCGAAAGTAATGCCGGTCTGTACATGGCGGCGGATAGCATACACGTCCATGACCCGTGCGACCAATTCTCCGTTTCCAGACCAAATGTCGCCCATGCAACGCGTACCACTCTGGCAGACATGGGGCCTACAGACTCCTTGCTCGGATCACTGGAGCCACACCGAGAATTGAGCCCATCAGACAGAGTTGGAGTTGTCGGCACAGGAGAATGCAGCAGAACCGCCTGACTCCTTGTAAGAGTCAATGATGCCCACGATGGACCCGTATGTGCCAACAACCATCAAGAAGGTGCCGATGACCACGACGAAAACGCTGAACCCCACCATCAGCAGCCATTTAGTCGAGCGCTCAGCCTTGTCTTTTTTCCAATTATCGTAGAGCCACATGCACCCCATGGGCTGGAAGGAGAGCAGCGTTCCGAGGAGAGCACCAATCAGCGAGACGAGGCCGCCAAAGACGGGGATCGTACTGGCTATGATAAAGGCCGTTATGGTGATGCCTAAGGTACAACTGAACCAAGTCGCCCAGTGGACCAAGGTGGGAGTCGAAAGGTGGACGGACCCGCGCAGGATGCGCACGAAGAGGTACTTGCTCGGAACCTATCTCAACGTTAGCTCCGACGTTAGATAGTGCTGTACTCAGCTGTGACTCACATGGATGACGAGAGTGGTCGTCACCAATAGGCCGGGTAGAGCGAAACCGTAGCTGATCTTCTTCATGAGGTGACCCGCAGAACCGAGCGCAGGCGAAGCGACGTACGACCCGCAAAAATAGTAGACCACGACTCCGATGGACATGTAGACTGCTGTAACGCCGGACTGGCAAATAAGCAGAGAGCGTGTATAGTGGCGAGGATCCCTCATTTCCGAGACGATAGCAAAGAAGCCCGGGGTCCCCGCATATGCGAAAACGAGCGAGGATAGCGCAGCGCTGGCGTCAGCGAAGGACGGGTTGTTGAAGAGCTTATAGTCCGAGGACCAGGGTCCTTCTTGGGGTGCGGCGGTTGGGCGATCCTGTACACCAACAGCAATGGTGACTGTGAAGACTGTGTCGACGGTTAAAATGTGACCGACCGTTTTCTCGACTTGTCAAGAAAGACTTACTTGCGGTGAGAATGCACGTTAGTCCCAGCCATGCGAGCCAGCTAATGCGGCCCAGCGTCTGGATGCTGCCGAGCAAGAAGCCGGCCAGGGCCGCAACAGCGACGAAGATGGCGGTACATGCACCGTGGGTCGATACCGCGTTGAGGCCGATCGAGATCCCCAGCATGCCCGAACCGGCGACGAAGGCCCAATCTACTCTGGTGGTCAGTATGATGTCGACGCCACGGTTCAGACTGAGGGGCCACCGACAAAGAATAAAAGCACTTCCGAGGATATATCTCCCAGTCTTTCCGAACATCAAAGCGCCGGCGTCGTCGATGCTGTAGACGTCTCGATGCCTGAGCTTGAACATACCGACCATATAGTCCGACCAGGTCGTGATGGCCGCGATGACAAGCAGGCAGATGACTCCCGGTATCAGGCCCAGGACGTCGAAGACGGCAGGAATGGACAAGACACCCAGGCCGATCTGGGTCTTCATCATGAGGGCCACTGTCCCTAGCCAACCGACCTAGATGCATCGTCAGACTCATGCCAGCTTTCTTGCCATGGGAGACATCTTGCATTGCGATAGTTGGGTCCGTCGTTGGTGATGGTCCCAAAGACGGCATCTTGGACAGAGATGCGGCGTGGAATTGTGTCACCTTCCTGCACGGTGGGAGCTCGGCCCAGTTCGGTGCCATCTTCTTCAGTTTTCATCTTGTGCTCTTCGGACATGTTGACATGCATTCGCAGAGACTTGGGCGGTGATGCAAAGATGCAAAGCTACAGAACAAAGTGACTGACTGAGTGTTTTGGTCGGGTGTCCACCGACTTTTGAACCCGATGGTGCATCTAGGATCTCAATGCCCCCTGACCATATCGTTCGGACCTGAGTCGCCAGCTGAGGTATAAACTTGCGCCTCGCCACTTTCGGCAATGTCCTCTGGCCAAACAACAGCAAGAGCACTATCTGTGGTGCTATCTGACAGGCCGGGGATAACGCTTGATGGCTGATGGTCTGGGGTAGTCATCCACTCGGGCGGCCTCCCGACCCTTAGGCCTTGTGAGAGAAGTATCGGGTGGATGGTCTGCTGGATACCGGTATGTCAGGCCGAGATAACAGTTTCGTGTAAGCGACACCTCGGAGATGCCATGAGGAGGATGCGGCAAGTCCTCCGCGATATCTCCTCCTGTTCAACGTCTCTCCCGGGGTAGGTGGGTGCGTTGGGCATGATGCTTATCGCCGATCGCTCATTACTGCACGAGACTGATTCCTCCATCTGGTTGCTGGGGGGAAAGGTTCATGCGGACCCTAAAACACCAGATGCAACAAAGGCCGCCTCATGGATGATGGAAGAGTGCAAAAGCTGTACTACTGGTATTCATACGTGGTGTCCACATTTGAGGGCAGCTGCCACCAGGTGGCCGCAGACGCTTATCGGGCAAAAATATCCCTAGGTACAAAACCATCAAAACCTCATCTCATGTGGATTAAGTGCGGTTGAGCGAACGGGAAGCCCTGTTCTCCACATCCTATGATCGATTTCCCAAGAAAATCTGCTCAAACATTATAAGACCTTGGTGAATTTGTTGATGGTTGCGGTATATCATCAAGCACGAGGGCGTCAATACGCAGCCCGTAATGTCGCTGGACGTGACACAGGGTTGGTAACCAATGTAACCAGATCATCTTTATCAATTGAACAACCAAGTACGAACCCCCACCAGTATAGGTCCCGAATTCTTTTGTCTGGCCGGACTCGTGGCGAACTCACCAAAACTCTAATATGCTTTGGTTGCTGATTGCTGATTGCTGGAGCCATTCTTTGCCGTCCACCGCACTATGGAATGTCCTGCGACAATCTCAGAGATCCAGAGCTTAGGCGTTGCTGGGATACAGGACATGGTCCAGCTGGTGATACTCCTCTTTCAAAGTTCGAGGTGCCGTGAAGCGCATCAGCATGTTGGCACTGCCGGCCTTGTCATTGGTACCACTGCTTCTGGCGCCTCCAAAAGACTGTTGACCAATAATAGCCCCAGTCGTCTTGCAGTTCGTATAGAAATTGCCAGCAGCATAGCGCAGCTTGTTCTCGGCCAGCCGGATTGCGGCCGCGTCTGTGGCGAAGATAGCACCGGTGAGAGCGAAACCACCGCCATGTTTATCGATTGTTTCCAAGATGGCTTCGAACTCGGCGTCAGGATACACAAAGGCAGTCAAGACGGGACCAAAAAGCTCCTGGTCAAAGAGATGGTGGTCTACCGATTTGGCGTTATAAATGGTGGGCTCAATGTAGAAGCCCTTGCTGGAGTCGTATTTGCCGCCGACGATAAGCTCAAGCTGGCTATCCTTGTTCGCAGCGTCAATAGCCTTAGTGATTTTGGTAAATGCTGCTTGGTTGATCACAGGCCCGGTAAAGCTACCGAAGTCCTCCGGCGGTCCGACCTTAACGTTGCCCAACTCCTTCTTGATTTCGGAGAAGAACTGGTCTGCCTTACTCTGGGGAATATAGATTCGAGAGCATGCCGAACACTTTTGACCCGCGTATTCGAAAGAGGCACGAATAGTATGCTTGACGGCGTTGCTGATATCAGCACTGGGATGAATAAGGTGGAAGTTCTTCCCTGAGGTCTCGGCAACCAGTCGTGGAAAGTCGCGATACTTCTTCTCCTTGACCCCATCGGCGATCTGACCGAAAAGACTGCGGAATACATCAGAGGAGCCGGTAAAGTTGATGGCCGATAACTCCCGGTGTGATAGAGCGACTTTCGTAACGAGCTCGGCGTCGCCGTTGATGAATTGAAGGACATGCGCCGGGAGTCCCGCTTCGCGTAGAATTTTGTATACTAGGTAGCTTGCGTAGATGTTGGACGGAGACGGTTTCCAGACCACGACGTTGCCTAGAAGCAGTGGTCCGGAAATCAAGTTTCCACCGATCGCGGTAAAGTTGAACGGTGAGATAGCATAGACAAAGCCTTCCAAGGGTCGCCAGTCGGTACGCCTATGAGTATTTGAACATGTAAGCATATATTTCACCTCTTTGTCTCCACAACGACAATCGGAACTCGACTCACCCTGATTGGCCTTTCTCGTTGATGGTGGGTTGCCTCGAATAGATCTCTTCCGCGTACGAGACGTTGAAGCGGTAGAAATCCGCCAGCTCGGCAGCAGCATCAATCTCCGCCTGCCAAGCGTTTTTGCCTTGCCCAAGCATGGTCGCGGCCATGAGTTCGAATCTGTACTTCTTGGAAACCAGCTCGGCGGCCCTCAGAAAGATTGCGGCCCTGTCCGTGAAAGGCGTATCTTGCCAGGCTTGTTTTGCCTCCAACGCCGCTTGAATGGCGGCGGAAACGTCGCCTTCAGTGGCCGGGGTGTATCTGGCAAAGACTGAAGTATGTTCCGACGGCATGTAAGTCTCAGCATCCGACTTGCTAGGCTGGGTGTGGATTTCTGCTCCATTCTGGATGGTAGGCACTCGGACGGGGATCTTGGGTCGCAACTCTTTGAGAGCAGCGATCAACTTCTCTCGCTCTGGAGATGACGGAGCATAGTGGAGCTGCACGGGTATCAGTTATGTTGAAGGCATTTTGAATTCTTTTGAGGTCTCACATTAGGCTCGTTGAAGGGCTTGGGGGTTTTGTAGTGCCCTGCTGTCGCAAGACCCCTCCTCGTTCTCAATGGCTTGGGAGAGAAAGACCCGGCCTGGCTGAATCTCAGAGTTGTTTGACGAGACAAGCAGATAGTAGACATGCTAGCCCGTGCTGTCATCCTGACGAAAGCGATTGACCAGCAAGCAGTGAGCTGGATTGATTGCGCCGAAAAATAGGTCGATTCAGATGTCCCTGGGATTTCGACCTGGAAAACTTTGGGTTTTGACCATAGCATGCACGGCTCCCCAGACCGGGTGTTTGCAAGGTATGGTGGAGTATCGATTCATCACCGTGTTGCGTCCCTCCCACCACATTGTGTACGAGTGCGTAAGCCGTTCAAGATTGCCTCGGGGACGGTTGTCCTGCCGCCGAACAGAACGTGCCGATGCTGAAGTTTGGGTCCTATCACTCCGTCGACGTTAGCTTTCCCACCCCAAGCGTCGGAAGTGATGCCGTGCCGAAACCTCAACAGGGCTATTTCTTCACGGTAACGGCAGCCGAAAACTCTCAGGCGTGCACCTGTCACCACCGGGATCAATCCCGTACCATCATGCCGGTCGGCCATTGTCCACATCCGGCTATGCTCTTGGTGGCTCGCTCGCGGACCCTGCGAACAAAGCTGGAGGAGCAGTCCCCTTCATAAATGAGATGAATCGAAGATTCACGCGGCAGCGCAGTGTGATCATTACTGCTGTCGATATCTCGTGTTGCCCGGCATGACGACGGCTCGACCACAAGTTCCGGCGCCCGGAGTCTACGTTCCTGCTATCACCTTCTTCGACCCTGAGAATGACCGACTTCGCCTGGATGCCCAGGCCAAGTACTATTCCTACCTAGCAAGCACTGGAATCACGGGTCTGGTCATCTTGGGCACGAATGCCGAGACGTTTTTGTTGACCCGCGAGGAGCGAACGGCTTTGCTGGAGACGGCGCGAAAATCAGTTCCACCGAGATATCCCATCATCGCCGGAGTCAGTGGTCATTCCACTACACAGGCGCTCGAGTTCATCAACGACGCCTACCAGACCGGAGCTGACTACGCACTGCTCCTCCCCGCGGCGTATTTCGGCAAACAGACCACCCCGGCAGTGGTCCGAAAGTTCTACAAGCAGGTTGCTTCCCGCTCGCCGCTCCCCATCATCATCTACAACTTCCCCGCCGTCACCAATGGTCTGGACTTGGACTCGGAGACGATCGCGCAAATCGCCAACGACAGCCCCAACGTGGTCGGTGTGAAATTGACTTGTGGCTCGGTTGCAAAGATCACCCGACTGGCTGCCACTTTTCCTCCTTCCCGCTTCGCCACCTTTGGAGGCCAGTCTGACTTCCTGGTCGGGGGCCTTGCTTCTGGAAGCGCTGGGTGCATATGCGCCTTTGGCAATGTCTTCCCAAAGGCAGTGGTGAAAATTTACAATCTGTGGACCAGTGGAAAATACGATGAAGCTCTTAGGCTTCAAAAGGTGCTTTCCTTGGCTGAATCGCCCACCAAAGCAGGCATTGCTAATACAAAATATGCTGCTGCAATCTTTACCGCTCCGCGGGCAGGCATTTCCGATGCTGTAACTCTACTGAGACCTCGACAGCCGTACGACGAGCCCACCGATGCGGCAAAGGCGAACATCCGGAAGGTAATGGAGGCGTTGAATCTCGAAGAGGAACGGATCGCAGCACCGACCCAAAGCCGATTGTGACGAGGTTCCGATCGACTTCGCTTTTCAATGAATGGGCTGGTCTCGTAGACCGGGGTTGTGAGAGCTGCATTATACAATGTGATCATTTCCTATAGAGCATCAATGACTATATCATTCTAGATCATGACATGTTCTCGGCGTATCGCACCGCATGTCGAACGGCATCGGAAATCCCAGCCCTAACATGGCCCCTGTCCAATTGTAAGAGAGCGTTGATCGTGATTCCTCGCGCCACCGACATTGACTCCTTGAGGGATTCTATCGTCATGGGGCCTTGCAGCAACGTGGAAGCGCTACGGAGGCACTGGGCCGCCACTGCCTGGGCTGCCGGGCGTGCAACGCCTTCAGCAACACTGGCGTCCACAATCGCGTCCACGGCCACCACGGCCAGAGCATGAGTCGCAGCACTGACGGCGGTGACAGTGTTGAGAAGATTCTCCGGCACGAGCTGCGTCGAGCCTACCAGCTCAAATAGCCACGCAACCAGGTCCTGGTCGTCTGCCGAGAGATTGGTGTCGGATGCAATTAAAGTCGCCGACTCATTCACCTGAGCGCCGATGCTGGGAATCACACGGGCGATGCGGTGGGGTGTGGTCGACTCCGGATCATTGTGGACTTTGTTGATCAGCTCGGCTGTCGACACTCCAGCGAGCATGGAAATGATCAGCTTCCCAGTAACCGCCTCAATCAGCTCCGGCGAACTGAAGACCTGCGATAGCTGCTGTGGCTGGAATCCGAGAATGATTACCTGGGCCCCGCGAGCAGCGGCAACGTTGTCTGTCGTAATGACATCTACGCTACCTCGCTGCGCGTCAAAGTGTCGGTGCAGTCGCTCCAGCGATGCACGTGAGGGCGCGGTGACGGAGAATGTAACATCGTGTTGCGTGTTTTTCACCTTTGAAAGCATACCCGATAACAGCGCCGTTCCCATGAAGCCTTGGCCGAGTCAGTAAATGGGCGCTTGGAGATCGTGAGAGTTCTTACCGCAGCCGAGGATGGCGACATGGAGTTTCTTGGGGCTTGGTTGGGCAGGCATGTTGGCGCTCGTCAAGGGACAATCTTCTCAGCGACAGGTTCTGGGCGTCTATCTAGAGATTATTGTGGAAGTGGTTTGAAGAAAAGAGATAGCCAAAGTCGCCCGGGTCAATCAGACGACCCACCCCGGGAGGCTGTCCGAGCGTATCCGCTTTTATTCGGGCTGATCTTAGTGGACACCACCGACCAGTGCACCTATGTATGTGGTGTAAGACGTTGTCTCCGCCATGTCAAATGCTCACGATGCCAGGCGTTCCCGGGTCTACAGAGAGGAGGCATGCGAGGATGCGGCCAGCGCATTGTGCTCAGCCGCCAAACTGTGCGTGATGGCTTTTGCAACGTAGGCTACATTGGATTCGTTGAGCCCAGCGATAGATATGCGGGAGTTGTCCGCCATGTAGATGTGATACTGCTCTGGACCCACGTTGTTAAGGAAGCCCTTCCGCGGCGAGCAGAAACTGGTCACTTACCTCTAAGCTTCAGGACCACCTCTTCCGACAGACCAAGGAAGCCGAACATTCCTGACTGTTGCCTGATGTGATCCCAAGTCCCCAACGCACCTGATGACCCTGGTTAGGCAAATGGAGAGGTAGATATGGAGCGCTCACACGTACCATTCTTGACAAGCAGTTGACAAAGTCTTTCGCGCATCATCTCGATCCGCGAGCTCATAGTCTTGAGATCTTCGAACCACATGCGCTTCAACGACTCGTCCAGGAGAATCTGAGTGGCGATTTTGCAGCCATATGCGGGTGGATTCGAGATCTCGGAGCGTTGTAGTCTTTCGAGCACGGACTCACAGTTTTGAGCGACCTTGTCGGACTTGGTCACGATGATGGTCGCTCCAACCCGTTCACCTATAGTAGCCAGTCAGCCCATGCCCTCTTCGTCGTCGATTTCTTGTTGACTTGCCATAAAGACCCATGCTTTTGGCGAAGGATATTGCCACGGCACACTCAAGTCCTAGTTCATTGACAAAGTATCGGATTGAGAATGCGTCGTCGTCGAAGTTTCCCGATCTGAAGCCCAAATACGCCGCGTCGAACAAAGGGAAGAGTTCTCGCTCTTTCATGATGCGACCAATCTCCCTCCATTGATCTTTGGTTGGATCACAGCCGGTCGGATTGTGCGCACATGCATGTAGAACGATGATCGATCTACGTTCCGCAGTCCGGAGAGCGTCCATGTAGGAACTCCAGTCTAGCGATCTTGAGCCCGGGTCATAGTATCGATATGTGTGGACCTCGAAACCAAGCGATGAGAACACGAGGTGATGGTTCGACCACGTCGGCTCCGATACCCAGACCTGACGATTCAGCCCGCTGTAGTTTTTGATCAAAGCACCCGCCAAGTGAAGGCTTCCTGTTCCAGAGAGACTTTGAGCAGTGGCGAGCTACGGGACAGGATTGTTAGCATAGGTGATTCAGGGGGCTTCAGAAAAGACATACCCTGTTTCCAATGGCAGCATATGCTTCAGACCCGAGGACCAGCTCTCCTACCGCCGATCTGAAGTTCTGGAGGCCGAGAATAGGCAAATATTCGTGGTCCAACTTTCGGCTTGACACTCTTCTTCGGGCCTCACGGACCGATGGTAGAACCCACGGAAGGCCATTCTCGTCGCGATAGCTCCCTTGGCCGAGGTTCACTTTTACCGGAGACGCATCATTATTGTATTGTGCAGTGAGTGCGAAGATTGCATCTTTGGGAAACAGCGGTGCGGATTCAAAGAGAGACATGTTGCCAGAAGTGGTTGCGGAAGAGATATCAGGCTTTGTGTTTATACCGGGTCGTCAGGCTAGAGATTTCTGTCTCGAGGAGTTTTGAGCTTTGATACACCCAGGTACTGAGAAGAGGCACTTTTGTGATTGAATGAAGAGACCAAAAGCAGTGTAGGTGTCTACCCATACAGTGTAGCCGTTCCAGTTGACATTCGTCACGGACATGTTAACCTTAAGCCCGAAAACTATGAGTACCATTACCTGGACATGGTAGAAGTCTACAGACGTCGGCTACACTTCCGATCTATCGACATCCAGAGTCAGAAGTGGGTCACATTCTCCCTGTAGGACCAAAGCAATCTAAGAGGAGCAATCGAAGTAGCAACGAAGTCCCATTCCTGTCTAGATCCATTGTTTATGACTGATCTATTGAAGATACCTCTTGACATTCTCGACCCTGATTGATAATTAGTGCTTCTTCTAAAGTGTTTGACAAGGTAACTTACATGGCAAACGTGCCGGAAGACGATAACATAGTCCTGAACAAAGTAGGACCCAGTCCTCGAAAGAAGGCCGGGAGCTTTCCTTGCCGCCATGTGTGCACGGTGGCTGCCCAAGCATTCTTGTATACTCGATTCTGCCCGAAGCCGTCGTTCTGGATCAAGGTCTTTACAACATCAAGCGGGTAGCTTCCAACCCAAAACCCGATACCAGCCAGGGCACCGCAAGGCGCGATCAACCAGGTCGGCAGGTTCTCTCGTCTGTCGCCTCTTGCTTCAGCAAGCATTTGCATGCAAGCCTCAAATGTCACAAAGTAGCAGCCGTAGGCTTGAAACTCCCGCAACACGGCGATTCCCTGCCCTCTGAAGATACCTTTCACCCCCGCCGTGCCGTATATTTGCCGGATACAATCCCAAGGCCCGTGGTAGAGCCTGGCACTGCCAGTCCGTCGTTGCATCTGGAGCCGGATCCGAATGTGCTCCACGGGACCGGATACTATGCTGTTTGCAATCCCTGCCGCCCCTCCGGCAAGGTAGAAATCCAGATAAGACAGCCTCGTCACCGCTTGAGGCGAGTTTGCGCTGTTCAGACTTTCTAGCGCATGCTTCACTCTGTGAAATACCGTAAATTGTATACTAACCTACTGCATTGTGAGCAGAGCTTGGGCATGGTCGAACTGACCAAGTTTGGGGAGCACTTACAGCAGCACCCGCTCCCAAGAAAGGTAGCAACGCGCCCTGACAATAATCAATACAAAGTCCTGTGGTTCTCTGGTATCGCAACAGACTCACTTTGTAGAATGCAAGTGGGCCCTCGTTTCTGAAGATATCTGAGACCACTCGAACCACATTGCTCGTTTGTTCCGTTTGCATCCGCACCTTGATCAAATCTGTTGCCAGTGAATGTCATCCTCAACAACACCTCCTCCAAGACTTGCAGGGGCATATGGCCATGACTTACCAAAAGGCTGACCTATTTCACCCATGGGTCAGTATACATGCTTTCTAATCGCGATGATTACCCACCCAGTAGGACCGATACAACACCGCCGGCCGCCCCTGCCACCGCATTTGTTGCAGGAAGAGAACTCAGATTGGCCGGCGCCGCTGACATCTCCATGGTGACGAGCTGCTTCTACTCCCAATGGACGCCGATGTCACCAAGAGCACCCTTGACTCCAGGCAGTACGATGCTCGTTTATGAAGAAGCCATCTTACGACCCGTCATGCTATCGAAAGGTACATAGCAGCTGATACAGTCATCGTGGAACAGGAGTTTCCTGGAAACTTCATCAGATCATCCGATTTGAATCTCAGGTCCCCATTTGGGCGAATCGTCGATGGTGGGTGTGTGGTTCATGCTCGGGAAGCCTTCCGGTCCCTGAAGGCTCTGAATGACACATGCTTCGGTTATCGCCGTGGTGCCCAATGCCTTGATAGGTCCGTGGTGCCGTGAAGGGATCTAGGTCGGCTGATCACACGATAGTGTCTGAGAAGACCGACTTCATCGTCGCCCTTGCAGCATTCGCGTAATGTGTATTTAAGCCGAAATGCTCCACGACTCCGTACAAGCCAACACTAAGGTAGCCGCACTGAGTACATCATTTCAATTTCGAAAGATCAGAGATCATGGGTGCAGACAAAGCAGAGCCTGTGGCTATTCTTGGAGCTGGTGCTTGGGGCCTGTCAACGGCGTATCATCTGCTCAACTCGGGATACACCAACATCACGGTGTTCGACCAGGCCTCCGAGATCCCCTCCCTGTACTCGGGAGCCTACGACCTTAACAAGATCGTGCGAGCAGAGTACGAAGATGAATTCTATACCGAACTGGCACTCGTAGGTCCCCCGCTCTGGTGAGGAAATTGGGTGAGAGGCTGACACGGTCTTTGTGCAGAAAGCCATCAACAAGTGGAAAACCCCCTTCTGGGGGGCCAACTTCCACCAAGTCGGCTACGTGCTCGCAACATCAATTGCAGCACCTGAGAAGGCCGTCAAACACTTGCAGACAGCACTCTTGTCTGTGAAGGACCATCCTGTCTTCGCACCAGGTATCACGGCGCTGAATAAGCCCGAGGAGTTCAAAGACATCTATTGGCAGTTTACTGGCCCTCTCACTGGTTTTCGTGGCTACCACAATCGACTTGCCGGCTATGCACACTCCTCAAATGCCATGCTGGATACCTATCGGTACCTGGGGGCCAGGGGTGTCAAGTTCGTTCTTGGTCCGCAGCGGGGCAAGGCAGTAGAGCTGCTGTACAACAACGCCCAGAACTCCTCAGAACGCCGCTGCATCGGATTCAGGGTCGCGAGTGGCGAGACGCACCACGCACGACGGACTATTGTGTGCCTCGGCGCTTGGGCTGCAAAGCTCATCCCGGAAATTGGCTCGTATGTCGTGGCAAAGTCCTGGTCGGTGGCTCACATCCAACTCACCGAGCGGGAGTGTGACTACCTACGCGGCATCCCAGTCCTTAATGTCCGCGACCTGGGGTTTTTCTTCGAGCCTGATCCGGCCACCAAGCTCTTCAAACTGTGTCCCCTAGGCGCCGGGTACATCAATTCCGACAAGTCTACGGGCATTTCTCTGCCTCCAGGAGATTCTCTCCCAGCCCCACGAGACTACATTCCCGCAGCCGATGAGAAGAAGCTGCGGCGACTGCTGGAGCAGACGCTGCCGTGGCTAGCAGATCGCCCCTTTGTGGAGCAGAAAATGTGCTGGTTTGCTGACACCTCTGACTCGGAATACACGGTCGACTTTGTCCCTAATGCGGGCGATTCGCTGGTAGTGTTGTCGGGAGACTCCGGACACGGGTTCAAGATGATGCCTATTGTGGGAGAATGGGTCGTTGAACTGTTAAACAATGGGAAGCAGATTCTACCGCGGTGGCAATGGCGACAAAGTCATGGCAAAGGTGGAAAAGAATGGGGAGACGCCGTGAGCTGGAGGGTTGGTACGACGGAGGAGATTGCGAAAGTCATCGAAGAGCAACAGAGGGCGATTCGGGCACGGCTATGAACAAAGTAGAAGTTGTCGTGAGATTACAGCCCACAATTAATAAATTGAATCCAGCGTATATCAGCCGTTTCCACTTTCTGCTTTGTCGGTGGTGGGAAAATTGAACATCTCTCTGCTACTAAATCGGACGAAGTTGGCATATGATCATTCTTCTTTCTGGATTCCGTGTTCAATGTGTGTGTTATGCTTCGAATATCCTAAACATTCAACGGTCCGGCTCAGCGTATACCGGGAACGCTGATATGGTGGGCATGGCGGCAGTAATCATACTCATAAGTAGCTACAAGCCACGACAGAGTGTCCCTATACAGTGACACGAGAAGCGGTTTTGAAAGTCGGCCGCAACATCTGGGTACCAGTACGATCGCACGAGCAGCGCAACGGATGGGAGGCCGAAATTGGGATCCATCATGCATTGTACCGGATCAGCCGCATGTCACCACGGAGACGTATAACATAATGGGCACCCTCAGATACCAAGTATTATAAAGACGTCGAGGACCGTCTTTCGGTCTCGACTAGCGTCGTACGCTATTATATAACCTCTAGAAAGTATATAGTCTAACGAGACTCTAGACCCTATTAAAATAGAATAAGTTCTTCGTAAAATTATATTTAGTAGCGGCGACGAGATAGTTCTCTATCTTAAACTAGAGTTCGTAAGAACTTCTATATTCTCTCGAGAAGAAGAGAAGCGTAATCGATCGTCGAAGAGATCGATACTCTTCTATACGAAGTCGATTAAAGACGAACAAAACCGTCTCGATATATAACGAAACTAATCGATAAGAAAATTTTCTAGCTCGAAGCTCGTCTTTTAAGCTCGACGAATTTCTTTTAGTTTCGTAACGAAGACTTATAAGAATTATACTCTTAGAACGACGAGTAGCGATAAAAATTTCTTATCGAGAAAGATAAATTATAGTAGTAAGTAGTAACTTCTCTCTCTAAAAATTTTAGTCTCGCTATTCTTAGATACTCTTAGTTATAAATAATAGTTAGCGATATAACTAAGATATAGTAGTAACGACTACTTCGACGTCCTCGATTATATTCTATTAATCTAGATATTATAAACGATAATATCGTTAAAGAGCTCGACGCGTTAATAGAGAAAGAAATATTACTACTAGAACGAACTCTTTATTAGAATCTTATCTAAACTATACTAGTAGAAATTAAATAGTTATCTAGATTTATCTAGATCTACTCGTATTATTATAGATAATAAGAAATAATAGATTAATTAAAGAAAGATATATAGTAAGGTCTCTCGAGAGATAGAGTACTATTTAGCTAAAGACGGTCTCGAATATCGAGAGCTAGTTATAAAGCGCTCTCGCTAAATAAGATAGAAGCTTCTATAAAGAATATATTCTTCTCGAGATTATTTATCTTTCTTCTATTATATATTATCTCTCGCTCGTTTCTTACTCGTATTTCGTAAACTACGCTCGAAAGCTCTTCTATACTAAATACTATATAAATACTCTCTTAACTCTAATAATAGTAGTATTAGAAATCGATATCTCTATAGAAGAAATTAATCTATAGAGAATATATAGACTTCTAGAAGAGAATCGTTTTAGAAATCTAGAAAGAACTATAATAGTTCTCGCTAACTATCTATAATATTATAGAATTCTTAAAATCTTCGTTTTAACGTTTACGAATAGTCTATTAGAGATTACCCTTTTATCTATAAATTAGATAAATATATCTAGACTTTTATCTAGATAGTAGTATCTATCGTTAGATCTATTTTAAGATATTAATAGAATAGAGCTTAAAAAGCCTCTAAAATATAAGAGTTATTAGAATAACGACGCGATATAAGTCTAGCTAATCTATATCGAAAGATAGTTAGATATAAAGAAAGTCGTTAATAAACGTTCTTTAATAAGTCGCGAATATATTACTCTAGTAACTTTCTATTTTAAAGATAATATCTTAGTATAGTAAAATCTTATATATTAAGATATAAAATATAGTCTTAGAATCGATATACTTCTAACTAACTAGAAGATATAAAAGAAAGTATTCTAGATAGCGTTCGGCGATATTAGGACGTAGAAGTAATATCGAGACGAGTTTAACTTTCTTAAGTAAATAGAAATAGTATAAGAGTTTCGATAGAAGATCGAAACTCTTCGACTATATTTCGACTCTTACCTTAGCGACGCTAAATATCTACTTATTTTTAAACGAGAGCTTAGAATAGCTATTCGAAATCGAATAAAACTCCTTCTAGATACTATACTTTTCTAAAATTATAAAGATTACGCTCTTTTTATAGATAAAAGCGAAAGAGAGATATAAGCTAATATATATAGAATAGCCTCTTTTTAAGATCGCTCGAGAAGATTTTTCTTAAGAAAATCTTCTTAATCTTCTCGAATTATCTAACTAGATTATAAGAATACTAATAGTAATATTAAGATAGTCCTTAACGATCTTTAACTAGAATTCTTCTCGTCTACTAAGATTAAAATCTTATATAGTTATAGAAACGAACGTAGATTCTTAAGTAGTTTTCGTTAGAAGTATTAAGACGATAGTCTTTACTTCGATTATAAAGAAGTCGACTATTAAAAGAAAGATTATTCTAATCTAAAGAAGTCTATAAGACGAGACTATTAAGGAAAAGAAAAGAGTCGCTAGATAGTAGAGTATCTAGCGATAATAAAGAAGTTATAGACTCTTCGAAGACTATCGATATAAGTCTATTAAATCTTAATCTCTCTTTCGATAATCTAATAGATATCGCTATTAATACGACCGAAGTCTTCGATTATAACTTAAATCGTATCTAGAGATATAATATCGCTAGCGAGTCGCTAGAATAGTATAGTAACTCTTATTCTATTATAATTTTTCTTAATATAGACTTCGATATCTTCTATATCTTAAGAAGAGTCGCTAAGTAACTAGATAAAAACTATAAAATTATCTAGAGATTATCTCTTCGAATATATCTTACTAATAGTAAAACGACTTTCTCTAATTAAGCTATTATAAAAGATTTAATCGTCGATAATTTTCGAGCTCGAACGATACTTCGTATCTTAAATTAGGATATATATAATATTATTCTTAGACTTAACTAGCTAAAGAAGTATAGCGCTTTTTAGAATTTTAGTTACTTATATATAACGATACGTAATAGAACTAGAAAATTAACTTCGATACTTCTTCGACTCTTTTAAACTATTAACTATAAAGATATCGAAGAGGCCGGATTAAATCTACTTAGCTTTCGAAAGACTTAGAAGGCGATTTCTAAACTATTTATACTCGACTAGACTTCTATCTTATATTTTATACGAGAATAGAGTTCTAGCGATAAAGTAATCTCTTTAATATTTAGAACTAAGAATAGGCGTTTTAGGCGTATTCTCGAAAGATTTAAAATAGTATTTCGAGAAGAACTATCTATTAGATTTCTAATAAAGCGGATTATTAAGTATAAAATTAATATAGACGATATTAAATTTATTAACTTACTTTACTACTCTCTATCGAAAGAATATTAAGATAAATAAAATAGATAAATTCGTATCTTATTATAATAAGATCTAATTCGACTCTTAGAAAGTCTATAAAGCTTCTCTATACTCTTTATATCTAAATCTAGAGATAAATAGCGTATATATATCGACTATTATCTTCTTAATAATATTACTATTAAGAATATCTACTCTTTATTCCGAATCTAGAACTATCTTAATATTATTAAAGTCGCTCGCTAGCTCTCGAAGACTAATCTTATTTAAGAATATTACTAGGTTTAGATAGAAAAGATATTTATCAAAAAAATCGCCTTTAATACGCGGTCGAGTAAGTATAAGTTCTTAGCTATACTATTCGAACTTACTAATACTTCTTTAATATTCTAGAGGATTATAAACGACGCTCTACGAGAATTTATTAGCTAGTTTATAATTATCTACTTAGATAATATTATTATCTACTTATAGACTAAAGAAGATTATAAATACTATCTCGAACTAGTATTTCGAGTATTATATAATTATAAACTATATATAAAGTCGTCGAAGTATATTATTAGCGTCTAATAGCTTAAATTCTATAGATATATAGTAGATAACGAGAAGTATTAATCTATATCTATAAAAGTATAGGCTATTCTCGAATAGTCTTAGTCTCGAAATATATATAAAGTACGCTAGTTTTTAGGTTTAGTTTTATATTATAGAAGATTTATTAAAGACTTTATAAAAATTACTATATCTTTATTCGATTTATTAATTAAAGTAGATATCGAACTTCGAAAAAGAAAGTTTTAATCTATTCGATAGAATACGAGATACGAGTATATCTTCTAGATACTTAAAAAGACTCTCGCTACTAAGCTAGTTTTATAATAAGTTAACGAATCGAAGCCTTTTCGTATAGAAATAGACTATTTCGAATAGACTTTAGATTATATTCTTCTATAGAAAGAATTTAATAGAAAGTAGTATCTAGTCGTCTATAATAGGCGAAAATTTAATAGAGCTAAGTTAAACTATTTTATATACGAAAAGGAACTTCTTACTATTAAGTATGCTCTTCGAACCTAGATTATATATCTCTAGAATAGCTATAAGATAATCGTCGTAATCGATTATAAGAGTCTAAAATATCTAAATACTACTCGGACGCCTTTAAAGCGTCTTACGCGGTAGATCGATAAGTTTTTCGAGTTTAATTTAGATATTTAATATCGTAAAGACTTTAAAGCTATTATTTCTAATACTATTTCTAGGCGACTCGATTTCCTAGAAGAAAGCTCTACTAATAAAGTATAGATCTTTAGTAGCGTAGAAGTATTTCTAAATATCTAATAAATCGTATATTTAGACGACGATATAGAATAAAAGAATACTATTATAGCTCGATTAACTATAAAGAATAAATCCGACTTAAATCTAGTCTAGAAGGAGTAGCTAGCGCGTATTAAGAATCTAGATTAATACTTTATAGAAGAAGACTATCTATTCTAAAAGATTAGTAATTACTTCGCTCTCTTTATTTCTATATCGTTTTATTAAGACTTTATCGAGTACTATTATAAATACTATAAATACTATAGCGCGGCCGCTATAGAAAGTATCGTTAAGGTATATAAATAGTAGCTATTTATAATAAAGAATATTCTTATATACGCTCGAATTTATAATTAATACTAGTTAGTCTAGAGATAGAAAAAGATCTAGAAAGAACTATATTCGTAGATTAGACGAATTTTCTAACTCTTTAAAAAATAGATAATCGACTTCGTTAGCTCTCTATTAACTACGCTCTATAGAAATTATTAGATTCTAACGACTATTAATTTCTTTATAGACTAGTTAATAGTAAAGGCTATAAAGAATACTACGAATAAAGTAGTCGTCGACTTTCTATTTAAAATCTACTACTAATATAGAGTATTTTAAGAATTATTATTAAATAATAGTACTAATTTAATCTCGAAAATCATCGAGTACTATCTTAATTATATTAAGATAAAGTATTATATTATAATATTTTACTATCTCTAGACTAATAGAAAAATAGAAAGATTTAATAGAATACTAGGTAAAATTCTTACGAAGTAACTTATTAGATAATAAATCCTTTTATAGAACGAATATCTTCTATTAACGTTATTCGTAACTCGTATTAGATTTTATATAGTAACTAGAATAAGTCTATATAAGCTCGTCTACGATCTTAAATCTTAATTAATAGACGATTAACGAGAATTTAATCTATTAAACTTCGATATCGACTTTATCTCGAGACTAGAATAGCTATATACTATACGTTACGAAGTAAATAAATTATTTATAGAGAAAGAGCTATACTTTTAAAAACTATAATTAATACGTTTAGAAACGCTATATCTTTTACTTAAAGAAGAAGATTTCGTTCTTCTAAATAATATCTCGAAGTAGAAATTCGAATTTAACTATTTCGAACTCTTTCGAATTCTAAAGAAGTTATAGTTTAATACTTACGTACTAGAAACGATAAACTAGAAGGTCTTATATCTACTCGTTTATAGAAGTTATTTAATATAATACTACTCGATAGATTTAGATAAATAGATAATCTAATTATTTACTAGAATATAGTAAATATAGCTCTAAATAGTTAGAGATAGTATAACGAAGTCTTCGAATAAAGTACTTTAGATACTTAGTAACGAGTCTAATCTCTTAATATACTATAAGCTATCGATAATATTAAAGTAATAATAAATATCGTAAGAATAATTAGAAGATAGTTTAAGTAAGATAAAGAAGAGCCGTAAAGCTAAAGTAACGCTAATAAATAGATATCGGCGAAATAGAGGATAGAAGCTAATATTCTATAGCGCGACGCCGATAGAGAAGACTACGATAGTCTACGAGAGATAAATTATAATCGAAGTAGCTCTCGCTTCTAATTCTCTAGAGTAGATTATTTCGCCTTTAGATAGATAATATCTCGTCGCTAGAAAGAGTAATAAAGATATTAATACTTTAAGAGTATCGAATAAAATAATTAGAATAGAGTTTATCTCTCTATATATCTAGAATAGATAGAAATAGAAGAGTAATAATAGACTATTATCGTCTAACCCTCTCGATATACGAAGAATAGGGAATAAAGGGACTTTTAGCCCTTTCGAAATCTCTCCGATACTCTAGAAAAGAATAGAGAACTATATTTAGAATAGATAAAAGACTTTAAGGAATTAGAGTAATTCTATTAGATCGTACTAAGATGCCGTTATACGAGATATCTCTATTCTATTCTATATCGAGCTACTTAAATCTATATCGATAGATATCGAAATCTATTCTATTAATATTATAGAGTATATAGATAATATAGTAGATTTATTCTATATAAATTATATAGAGAATAGCTATAATAAGTTAGCTAAAACTATCTCGAGTAAGGAAGAGCTATACGTTATTAGTAGATTAAATTAATCTAAAGATATAAGGCTATAGAATCTTATAGACTAGAATATATCTATATTCTTCTTCTCGATATCTATCGATACTATAGAAAGCGTACTTACGATATCTTCTAGTTCTACTAGAATAACTCTTTCGATACTCGAGAGGAATCTCGTCCCTTAAGAGTACTCGAAACCCTATAAGAAGCGGAGACGAGATAATTTATTATCTTCGTTAGTAGTCTAAAATACTAATTATAATATAATCGAGTCTTTAGTTTCTCGTCGACGATATATTAAAGGACGCTTACTAAGACCTAATTCTAGGCTAAAGATAGTATAAGACTAAATAATCTAATAATAATAGTATTCTCTATAGATAATCTATAGAAACTAGAGCGTAGACTAAATCTCGACCCTTAACTATACTTTATTAGGACGTCCTACGAAGCGCTCTAGATATAGGCTGCGCAACGGGTTGGGTAGGGCAGGGTTTCGGGCACCTACCGCCCGCCCAGTTGACCCATTAGGGTTTTTAAAATTACGTCTACCCTACCCTCGCGGGTTTCGGGTAGGGTAGGGTACCCGACGGGTTTCGCCAAGAACCCAAAATTCTTAAAAATAGCGAGTTTTTCGCTAAAAATAGCGACTTTTCTTACGTAATTACTTACTAATTTACAATACCGTACCGTAATTCTAGATATTTTCTAGTAAAATCGCGTATTTTTCGTAAAATACGGTAAAATTTTCGAGGAGCCTACCCGCCCGATAGGGCGGCCCGACCCTAATGGGTATCGCGGGTAGGGCTTAGATTTTAGGTACCCGCCCGGGGCGCCCGTTGGGCTACGGGGTGCCTACCCAGCCCAACCCTTAGGGTAGCCCTAACGCGGGTAGGGTCGGGCTGACCCGCGCCACTACGCAGCCTATCTAGATATATTAAAAAATCTAAAAATAACTAATAAATTATAGTAAATCGTCTTATATAGCGGGCGTAGAAGAATCTCGCTCACGCTTCTCTACTTATCGTATCATACTAGAAGATTTATCTATAAAATAGACTATTCGTAGAGTATTATCTACTATTATAATAGTATAAGAAAATAGTAATACTTCGCGATCTTCTTACTATAATACCGTTAGAGCCGATTCTAGTAGTAGTATCTCTATTAACGCTATCGTTTCGTAGTAAGAATACTCTAAAAGGCCTAAACTAGAAGTAGGGTCCGATTACTATATATAGGTAGATAGCGGATAAATATTATATATAAAATAAGTAGAAGTAGTAGATTATCCGTATACTAGATAATAAAAAGACGGACGTTCTAGTATCGAGTAAGTTAATATATAGTCTTATATAGACTATATTAATAAATCTATAGAAGACGAGACTAGTACGAATCGTTATTATATTATAATCTAATTATACTTAAGATTATATACTAGCTTAGGAGATATAG